CGCTCCTTACGACACCCACGGGATGAATAGGGGTGGTGACACTCTGTATTCTTAATCTGTCACCACACGGACATTCAATTTATCTATAATATGTGTGTATTTAGAAATATATAAATATGTTTATCAGGAGTCTGATTACCATAGCACAGGCCTAGTTTGGGATCAGACTGCCGTGTGTGAGATGTGTAAAGTTATTATTAAGGTGATAGTGTACGTAACACAACAAACGCCAATTACGAAACTACTATTAACTGGCATATAGATTTAATAGTGATCCTGTGTGCTGAGCCAGACGCCCTGGGTTCGATTCCCGTCCAGGACAAATAATTGTGTGAACGATCATTTGGTTGCCATAGCTCAGGCTCTGCCTAGGTGCCTTTTTACAAGTGTTTTATGTCGTTATCACCTTGCATAATTTCACCATAGCCGTGATAACTGGTGTTTCGCAATATATTTAATATATTTACCGATTGGTCACGCAAAATACGCAATGCACTTGTACGCTGTAAAAAGAGAAAATACGCTTTGAAAGTGACGTGTATCTGAGGTTGTCTTGTAATAGGGCTCCCAGAAAAAAAATGTGGTGTGGCTAGTATGTTTTTTATTATTATTATTTTTTCTATTTTTTATGTTTCACTTCATTTTCTCTTGTATTCGTTTTTTCTTCTTAATCTTGTTTTCTCTTCGTTGTTTTTTCACCTTTAAGTCCTTAATAACGGACATACTAGCACACATCAAAACAATGTTGTGATATATTTAATAGTGCCATTGTATCTACTTGTGAATTGCAAAAGAGTGGCCATGAGTTTGTTTGCCCTTTCTTCTCATAAGGCTCAACCACTTGGAAACGGGCGGTTGTAGATCGGCACAGGCATATCATAGATTTTGTATGGGTTTGATTTTTGTTAAATTTATTTGGTTACTATTTGACAAAACAGAGATTGTTGCTTTTGTGTGTGTTGATCTATGACTTTAGAGTCTACATGGAAGACGATTTCAAACAATTTTGGAAATTTTATGAAATAAAGAAAGTTTGAGTTTGAGTTTAAAGACTATCCGTGTGGTGACGGATTAAGAATTTCGAGTGTCACTCCTCCTATTCATCCCGTGGTTATCCTAAGAGCTGACTAAGGAAACAAACTACGCAGGATAACAGCACTGCAAAGAGAAGGAAAACTTGACACAAACCCTATACCAACTAGTTTGACCAGCATGGTATAGTAGGTCAAAGTCTCCTTTCTAAGGAGAGGCCTATGTCCAGCAGTGGACAAATTAAGGCTGTTGATGATGATGATGATGATAGTCCTGGTTAGGTGAAGACGTTAAACGCCTACACATTTTGTGAAGCCCCTTCATGACGGGCCTGGTAGTCTATTGGTTAGTGATACTGGATTCGATTCAATTCCCACCCGGGACAAATAGTTGTGTGATGAGCACGATCAATGATTTTGTGCCTAGGTATTATTTATCTATAACATGTATAAGTATGTTTATAACAGTCTGGTTGCCATAGCTCAGGCTCTGTCTAGTTTGAGATCAGACGGTCGTGTGTGAGATGTGTGAGATTATTATTATGTAATCAAGGCAAGTCTCTTTATAGATTAGATGTAAAAATTGATAGTATATTGAAAGTAAAGCTATAAAGGGTTTTCCAATAAGAGGTGTTATTTTAGTATTCAAAGAAAAATGCAATTTTTTAAGATAAATGCCGTTAATAATGGAAGATAACATCAGCCAAATGGCTACCACGACCACGCTTACAGGACCATATCCTTTTAATGAAATTTTGCATAACCAAATCGCAAACTGGCTGCCCTATGTCCTCGATAGCCTCACGAATTCCATCTTTGAGGTCTTGAATCGACGCTGGGCTGTTGGCGTAGACCTTATCTTTCACGTGGCCCCAAAGGAAGAAGTCGCAAGGTGTTAAATCACAAGATCTCGGTGGCCAATTGTGATCACCTCTTCGAGAGATAACACGGTCAGGAAACTTTTCCCGTAAAAGAGCAATGGTTTCGTTGCTTGTGTGGCACGGAGCGCCGTCTTGTTGAAAGTAAACGTTGTCCAGATCAATACCATCCAACTCCGGCCATAAAAAAACATTAATCATATCTCGATAGCGCAATCCATTCACCGTAATCCAACCTCATTTTCGATAAGTAAGGTCCAATGACCCCGCCGGACCATAAACCGCACCAAACAGTCACACGTTGAGGATGGAGAGGCTTCTCAACAATAACTCTTGGGTGTTCCGAGCCCCAGATGCGACAATTTTGCTTGTTGACGTAGCCTCCTAGGTGGAAATGGGCCTCATCAGTCAAGATGATTTTTCGATGGAATTCCGGATCATTTTCATGCATTTCAAGTACCCAATCAGCAAAGACACGACGTTGTTGATGATCGGCCGGCTTGAGTTCTTGTGTTAACTGAACTTTATAAGCCTTAAGACCCAAGTCTATGCAAAATACGGTGTAATGACGTTTGTGGAATGCCCAATTCCAAAGAACGACGAGGAATGGACAAACCTGCGTTTTCTTCAACACTTTGGGCTACAGCAGCAATATTCTCAGTTGTTCTTGAGCGACGTGCACGAGTTTTATTCTTCACATCACTAACTTGTCCCAACAGCTCGAATTTTTCCACCAATTTTTGTATTGCGGTCCGACAAGGTGCTTCACGACGACCAAAAAATGCTTTAGTTTTGCGAACTGTGACTGCAAGATTTTAACCATTTTTGTAGTGAATTTTAATAATTTCAATGCGATGTTGAAGTGTGTATCGTTCCATTTTTAGTAATAGCGTAGTTTCTACTTGTCAAATGTAAAAATAAAAGCTTCAAAAGTGACAGCTACCGAAATACCGGGTGATTCAAAATAACACCTCTTGTTGGAAAACCCTGTATAAGAAGGAATGGCTACGGTAGCAAAGAGATATTACTTATTGGGATAATTTAAGAAATCTGAGCAATATCTCCAGCAGATTAGATTAGGCATACCTGTAACTTGAATTGGCTATTGCTAAAAAGTTCGATCTATAACCTAATATACAATTATCACAAGAGAATTCTAATTTCAAAAGTTTTATTACATCTTACCATAATTCAGACTCATTAAATTTAATGATGCCGTTTAAAAAATAACTCTATCAGTTTTACAAACGCAATTAATTAAAAATCTAGGATAAATCCTTCTTAAACCTATAAACAAATTAAAACCTTACACCCCATTAAACTGTCAATACAATACAATCCATGACAGATTTATTCACTTTCAATCAGTTTGATTTCTTAACTTTTTAATTGTCCTCCGGTCCAGTCGATAATCTTACAACACAAATCATGTCATCACGTAAACTAAATAGGGTCAATAGTAATCAATGGAGCGATGAAAAAATTCGCCGCAATTGGTAAATTTTTCTCGCAATTGCGTGACGAGGTCACCATAGGTTCGTGTCGGCTAGGTCACCATAGGAGGTCACCATAGGTCCCCACGGTACCATAGGTACAAAAAACAATAGCAGAAAAAATACACAAATATGCAGACCTTAAGGATGAAGTTTTAAGAATCTGGAAACAACAAAAAGTATACATTGTCCCTATAGTATTGTCCACGACCGGTATTATTCCGAAACATATACATCATAGTTTAAAACTCATTGATCTGAAACCTAATACCTACATGATTCTTCAAAAAGCTGCTATACTAAACACTTGCAGAATCGTAAGAAAATTTCTGCAAATAGATGAACACAATGCAATAGACGAATAGACATAATAAACATCGCCCAAGAACCCGTGGCATTTACTTGACTTTGTCCGTAAATGTCACAAAATACTACCAGCGAAAGCTGAGAAAGAACAAATTTAACATAACAATAATAATAATAATAATCATTTATTTCAGGTAAATACCCATAGAAATTACATTTGTAGAGTTTTCAAATCATTCAATAACAATACTAAAATTATGATGTTACTGCTGCAGTGTTATTGTCTCCTGGTACTTTCTGTAAAATTCTTTTAATATATAATATAAGACGCAATGACTGTCTTACGATTAACGGTACCTAATTACCAATAGGGTAGTTTAAAACAACCAAAAATATCAAAACCTATTGTTTAAAGCTAGTTCTTTTGCTAAGTACTCTAATGTTTGCTATTTGGCGGGGACATAAACTAGGTATTTGTGAAATGTTCTATCTTAATTGACTTACAATGCCAAAAAGGCTTCATAAGACATAAACGGCAAAATACACGTGCAGAAGTATTTGTAGAATTTTATTGTAACTGTACTCTGTCGGGATGGATTTGATTATCACTTTTAATTAAATCCAGTAGTCATTTTAATAAATATTTATTGTCTGTACTCAAAGAAGGATACAATTATTCGAAACTAATTGCTCATGGCATTTTTCATGACACAATTTAACAAAGACAGCTTGGTCTCAAATTAGCGTAACGAAATCCTCAGACACACTATGAGTCGCTCACTATAAACATTTAATTATATCCATTATGCCAGAAAAACAATGATAAAAATAGAACTAAACCGTATACCGATTTATCGTAGTTTAACAAAAGAGATATCTGTAAGAGCGTCTTGATTGTCCGTTAGTTTTAGGCTAAATATTATTGTGTGACGTTACACGAACTTTAGACGCTTTAAGAAGGACAAAAATGACATAAATAAACAACAAATATAGAGAGATGAAAACCTTATGAAAAATATACTCAATGGAATTTCAACCATCACTATGGCTTCTATTTTTATGTTTTATGATTTCCAAATTAATAACTTATAAATCAAATCGTAAATAATCCATAAGGTAGAATAAGAAATGAGTGTATTAATGACAATGAAGACCAAACCATTAATATGACCGCAATGTATAGGGTTTTGTTTCTATTATAGATAAAGACCATATACAAATTATAAATACTAAATCATATATCACATAGAATAGTTTTTCTTTAATTTAAGTATACTCTTTTTTGTTATCAGGCCGAACCTACAACGATTTGAACCAGTACCCCGTGTTCCCCTGGATCCTGACCAACTATGAGAGCGAGGAATTAGATCTGAGCCAGCCGAGCAATTACAGAGATTTGTCTAAGGTAATGCACATATAGTTTCTTTAAACTTTATTATAACGGTCATGGAACCTGAACGCAAAGTTAGTATGAGCGTTCTTCTCTCTATTGAAGCCTGAGTACCGTATTTACCATACTTTTTTATTATCTGTATATTCTTGACGCCTTTCAAACGTACTTAGAGATCTACTGCATTCCTAAAATAAGAAGATTTTTTTTAAGTTGATGACGTATGAAAATTACGTAGAGAATAATCTTTCAGTTCAAAATACCTTTCAGCCCACTCGTGACTAATTTAGTATATCTATCTATATATATAAAAGAAAGTCGTGTTAGTTACACTATTTATAACCCAAGAACGGCTGGACCAATTTGGCTGAAAATTGGTAGGGAGGTAGCTTTAAACCAGGAGACGGACATAGGATACTTTTTATCCCGTTGTTTTTTTTTTTGTTTTTTTTTTATCATGCATGCCAAATGATGACTACAAACTCGTGATCAGAGCGGATAAAAGACAATCTGAAACACACGAACGCACATTTAACGCACCAACAATAGATGAAGTTGCCATCCTGATACTGAGCAAATGCAAAAAATATCTTAAATACATCGTTCATATGACACGTTGCAATACTCGTTGAAGTTTTGGCAAGGAGAAGATGGATGTTATTTTAATATCAAAATGAAATATCCATTGAATGGGAAGTATCAATATCATAGTTTTGATTTTACATGTCATACATTATACAGTGTTTGGTTTTGGTTTTGGTTTAAAATAAAAGGCCAATTACACTGCTTATTATCAGGAAATAGAAAGCCGTAAGAACAAACTTAAAGATTAGGGGACTGTTTGTTTAGAGGAAATTGGACAAATGGCTGGAAACCGATTTAAAATCATTTATAATTATGCTAAAAATATGGATGTTAGTTTCACATACAAAATAATAATTCTACTGTTTTAATTTCGGGTGAAGAAACTACCAAGAAAGTTAGCTGGATAAATTATTACGCATATCGTTTGATGATTCGTCAAAATGCTGACAACTATTTGCTGCAGTTTCGTCAATTGCTTCAGCAGTATTGTGTCGAAATGTACGTCAAAATAGAAACGGAGCGCTTAAGTTTCATTCAGTCGAACTAAGCCAAACTGCGTTCTGAGGAGTATATCCATTTACGTGATGCAAAAAATTAATACTGAAGGAAATGCAGCTAATATTGGTCGATTAACTATTCTGACGGGGACGTACATAGGTAGGGCACGTCATATGCATGAATATGCGCAAGATGCAATGACATATGTTCGTCATTACGGTCGGCCAGATCTCTTTATTACTTTTACGTGTAATTTAAAATGGATAGAAATTGTTCAATTACTGCTTCCCGGACAAACATCAAGTGATCGACACGACATCACAGCACGTGTATTCAGGCAAAAAATGCGGTCCCTGATGAACTACATTGTTAAACAACGTGTCTTTGCAGATACTCGATGCTGGACGTATTAAATCGAATGGCAAAAACGGGGCCTGCCGCACGAACACATTCTTATTTGGTTAGTGGAAAGAATTCAATCAGACCAAATATATGATATCATATGTGCCGAGATTATCGATCACGAAGCCTATCATACCTATATGATGTTGTAATTACAAATATCATAAAATAAAAACACAATTAAATCCAAAATCTGCTCATTTATTGCCTCTAAGGCGGAACAAAGTTCGCCGGGTCAGCTAGTATATATATAAAATAAAGTCGTGTTAGTTACACCATTTAAAACTCAAGAACGGCTGGACCAATTTTGATGATTTTTGTGTTTTTCGATTTGTCGTCGTCCGGAATATGATAATAAATATTAAAATAATATATTCATCAATAAAAAAATATCATTAAAAAAACATCAGTCAAAAAATGAGCCTAGCCATTCATTTGTTATAAATGGTATTACAAAACGCAACTGACAGCTCACGTAATGTTGTCTATGGTTTGTTTTAATTGAACTTAATAATTCTAATTTAACTTTAAAATCCTAAACCTGCTCATTCATTGACAATTATATTTAGGGTAATATTTACAATGCGTCAGGATATTCAGTAGTTCATCATTATGTCATTATGACTGTCCCGGTGGTGCAGTGGTAGCGTATGCGACTGCTGTGCTGAGCTCTCGAGTTCGATTCCCGGGTCGAACCAAATTTTTGTATGATCTTCAAATATTTGTTTCCTACGTATAATATGTATGTATTTACAAAAAAAGTCTATCAGTCAATTTAGCTTTCATAGTACAAGCTCTGCTTAGCTTGAAACTAGATGGCGTTGTGTACGTCAGAAAATATTATTATTATTATAAACCTAATCCAAAAACTGTCATTGTTCACAGCCCATCGGAGCTCTGAATCCAAGTCGTCGGGCTTACTTCGAAGAGCGGTATAACACCTGGGAACATGAATCAACACCTCCCTTCCACTACGGGACCCACTACTCCACCGCTGCCTTCGTACTCAACTGGCTTGTGCGAATCGTAAGTTTAGGATAATTCTCAGCCTTGAATGTCTTAATCCATATTCCATTCCCGATGCTGTGTCTCAAGCTGGTTTTTACAAGTGCTATTGATCAAATTCGTTCTTTTATTTTCACAAAGATAACTCAAACTCAAACCCAAACTCTCTTTATTTCATAAAAAAATTAAAATTGTTTGAAATCGTCTTTTATGTAAAGTCTAAAGTCTATCAACACACACAAAAGCAACAATCTCTGTTTTGTCAAATAGTAAGCAAAAAAATTTAATAAAACTTAAACTTATACAAAATCTATGATATGCCTGTACCGATCTACAACCGCCCGTTTCCAAGGGGGTGAGCCTTATTAGAAGAAAGGGCAAACAAACTCATGGCCACTCTTTTGCAATTCACAGATAGATACACTAGCGTTATTAAATATACCACAACATTGTTTTAATGTGTGCCAGTATGTATACAATACGATAGACGAGGTTTGCTCATCTTCATGTTACCAAGTATCTTGGGTAAGGTAGATAATCAATGGAATTTGAAATCAATCATAACTTCTCATATTCATAGAAAAAAAAATTTATTCGTGGCTCATAAGAACTACCGTGTTCTCACTCTTTTACTCTCGAGTCGTTTATCTGTTTTTGAGGGAATTTGCATTGAATTACTTACTTGCATAAGTCACCAGGTGTGTAGTTAGGTACGACATATTTTGTACGACATATTTTCTGTTAGTATTCACCAACAATTCTGCTACAGAACTGGACTCATGAGACTATGACGTAATGAACAGCACAATCATATGCATATTTTTGGCTCATCAATTTATGATTTTAAAATATCATAATATAATTTAATTGTTTAGATCTCTGATTTAATCTCTGTGTTAAAGAGATTGTTATCTTTAATCTCTAAGTTAATCACGGTGTAAATTAACACGCAAATGATGTGTAACACCAGCACGTGCGTGAAACTTGCTTCAATATGATTCATTTGTCACGGTACAACACTTTTGTCACGTCACCGAACATTTGACACTCAAATTAGATTTCGCCGGACCACTATGTACTAACGGTTATTTCGCTGATGAAAGTGTAATATACTTTTTGTTACAAAGTTAGTAACTCTGATTCACAATTCATTCAACAATCATTGAAATGTTTTGACGATGCAACAATGATTTATCTAAGAACTAGCTGACTCTGCAAACGTTGTTTTGCTATTTACATTATTAAATAATTTTTTTTTGAGTTACTTAATATCCGTTCTTAGCTGACCTCTACAAGGGGAAAAGAATATTTCTACCAAATTTCAAGTCTGTAACTCTAATGGTTCCAGAGATATCGTGATGAGTGTCTAGATACGTGGAAATCTCTTATATTGATTAATGTTTTTTTAATGAAATCATTATCGACTTAAATGTTTTTTTTTATGGAAGAGAGGGCAGACGAGCAAACGGGTCACCTGATGGAAAGTGACCACCGCCCAACTCATGATGTATAGTAATCTCTACATGTCAAATTACGTGCCGTAACTGCTTGATTCATCAACGTATAGCCAAACCGTTGGAGATACAAACTAGTAATTTTGACAGCTGATGCTTGTTGTGTTGTAAGCCCATCCACTAAGAAAGGATTATTCGGAAATTTCGCCTATAATAGAATAGAATAATATTTATTTCATAAAGCTAAAAGGCTAAAATAAGTGATAAATGGTTGTATGTCAGTTCGCCATTTTCAAAGTTAGATACACGAAATAAAAAAATATCATACGAGAGAAACCGCGTTCAATAGCTAGTGAACTATACTCTTCATTCCTTGACACTTAAAGGTGGAGTTTATTCCTCAAATTTGAATGGAACCAAATCGGAAGCTCGAACACATTCTTTCTGATTCAGAGATTCTATGATACCAAACACAAAAAAAACATACAGTTAAATCAGTTAAAAATATTATTAAAATACTCATAAGTACCTTTATGTCTGTATTTTCGGTGAACCTAATAACATCTTAATAACCTTTTGTAATGATCTTGTAAGATTACTGGACTCATCTACTTCTGTACCTAGTTCACTAGAGATTTTCGCGGGACACCATGCTTAAGCATTTTGTGGATCAGGCTCGACCGGAGCGATACCAGGGCCGTACAGAAAACCAGTGTAAAGCAGTTCTTTCACTGCTTTTCACAGAGTGAGTGAGCTTGTCGGAGCCCAAAACCCTCCCACCCCCTGATTGAAGAGAGACTGATAAAGTGGCAACGCACTTGTGACGGTGCAGGTGTCCGCGGCGGCGGTAGTCACTTACCAGGTGACCCGTCCTAAAAAAAGATTTTCCATCGCACTTATGCTCATGCGCACCACACGTTATGTGCACATTTACCTACATTATACATAATAAGATTAGCCAGTTAGCCGTTAATAACAAGATTCATCCATCGTTTGATAATAATTACATGGAAGTAGCGTTTCGCTTTACATCACATGGTTTGGCACGTGACAATGCTGTTATAAAACCTTTTAATTTATGTTCAATAATTATAATTTTACTTCTTGTTCACGTGTCCAAACCCAGATTGTGGGTAGGTACTTATATACACGGTGTACGGGACGTCGAAACGAATACTGAAATAGTGTATTCAGACCATCATTAATTAGACAGAAAATCATTGAAAGTTTCTGGCGGATAATTAAACGTTTTATGCAATCAGCTGTCAAAGGTAAACAATCATTCTCCGTAGATATCGCACAAAAGTAATAACTACATGTGTATTCCGTGCAAACAGTCTACGCACACTAACACAAAACGGCGGGCCGGAGTGGCGAAACCGCGCACTTCGGCTGTTAGATTGATGAAAAAAAAAAAATTACATTTGCTGTTTATTGGTATTTATTAAATTGTTTTATTAAAATGTTCTGTGTACTCAAAATGGAAAATAATTGATGAATTTTCCGGCAGAAAATTCCAATGATTCTCGACTCAGAATCATGGTCTGAATACACTATTTCAGTATTCGGTACGATGTCCCTTACACCTTCTATATTCTGCATTTCAAAAGATTAAGTCTGACGGTCAAAGTACACTCTTAATCAAATATAGTCAATTACAAATGTGTTAGGTATTTGTATTTAAAAACAAAAGAAAAACCTACACTAAAAAGAGAGGTGACAAAAAATAGACGTGCACATAAGTAACATTACAAATACATACATTTACATACAAGGGACTCGTAACTAAGTGGTAAAAGAGTTGTCTAGCACATTGCAAAGTAAGACAATCCTAACCAGGTCAGTCTATGTGACCATTCTTAACACATTGAGACCGTCGATCCCGGTTGCCATACAAATATCTGTGACAATCGTTACGGGTAGTTACAGCCCTAAGTCCGACAACAGTATTTCTACAGAACTTCGAAATCGCTTGGCTTGTGGAGTTGGCAGTTCTCCACGTAAAAAATCAAAGTTCAGTAGTGTCGTAGAACACTGAAAGCAGACTTAATTTCACTTAATATACACACAAAATATTAAAAAAGTTTTATCGTGGCGGCGTTTCCTCTTCTGAAAAGTGCCACTAAAAGATCCGTAGCGGTAGTAGATCACCCAGCACAAGAAGGCTGTATAATTTAGGCATTTACTTACAAAATGCATATTTTAATTAATGTTTTAAAGCTCTTTCTACTATGATGGGCACCTATACCACATATATTTTACAATTAAAAAATATCGAGATCTCGAAGCCAAGCCCAATGTTCGCAATAACATACGTTTGTATTCAATCAACTTAAACCATGTAACCACTGCCGAACTAAACTATTAAGTTATTATTATAGCTATTGATTTTTAAGTGTTTACCATATTATACAACTATTTCAGCTAAATAGAAATAATAATAAATAATTATTTTGAAGACTCCGCCCCTAACCTAAATTATTTTAAACTTTGATACGCTCCGTCACCTCACCTCAACAGCCGTTCATAGTCTACTGCTAGACATAGCCCTCTCCTTAGAAAGGAGGTTTTGACACTATACAATGCTAGCCAGACGGGTTGGCATAAGGTTTATGGCAAGTTTTCCTTGACAGCTCAAGCTGTTGTCCTGCGTAGTTTGCTCCCTTAGTCGGCTCTTACGACACTCACGGGATGAATGGGGGTGGTGACACTTCGTATTAATCCGTCGCCACACGGATGGTAGATTTCTATGCTTACGGTTTCGAATAGATTTCTATTTCGAATATTTAATAATTTCAGTTATAATTACACTCCTATGGTGCATAATATAAGTGTGACACAGTGTTTTGCTACATCTTCTGCACAGAACAATTACACTATATCTTCTGATCTTTAATAATGAAGTACACTCTCGCAAGTCGAACTATGTAGAAATAATGTTTTTACTTATACAACAATAGCATAGCCATACATCTTTCACTTCAATCGTGCCCTTAATGGATCCATCGTTCTCTTTTTAAAACAGAAAACATATTTACAACACGTTGACTAGTTATTTCAAGTGATAGTCAGTAACTTTGAACAATGGCGCGGTGCTATAAGGGGCATCAAAGACCAGCCATCATTGTAAATTAGTGTACGCATTAAGATGTCGACACTAAAAGTGGTGGTGTCAAAACATGCGCATGCGACGACGTGACGTGCGGCGACAGATGCGCATACGATAGCAATTAAATGCGACACCGGTTTAAAAGGTAAAAAAAAATAAAGGGCCGCTGGGAATATGCAAAGAGGACTGTTTACTTTTTATTTAAAATTATACTTCGTGAGCTAAAAGTCAAGTGCGAATCTGTATATTTATAAATATAATAATAATAATAACATATAATATTTCACCACATTCACACAACGCCATCTATTCCCAAAATAAGCAGAGCTTGTACTACGGGTACTAGACAACTGATATAAATACATATATACTTTTTGTCGTAAACACATACATATTATACATAAAAACGTCCAGACCAAATCAAACATTAAATGTTCATGTACACAAATGTTTCACTTGAGCGGGCATCGAACCCGCGACCTTTGGAATAGCAGTCCGTTACACAAACCACTACGCCATCCGGTCGTCGTATTAAAAATGTACAGTCCACATACGGAAGTCACTGAACACAGAAAACGGCTCTTGGACAATCCAATTTTATTTATGTTGCCGTTTACTCCTACTATTTTCCATGTTATGCCTGTGCGGTTTGCTAAATGAAAGATAAACGTGATAGGAAAAAATAACTGTGTTTAATAGAAGAAGAAAACTTAATAGATTTACAAGAAATTGCTAGATATCGATGTGCGGCGAATGTGTGATAGGTCGCTCGGCATGATGTTGCAACGACTACTTATTCATTGTTCAATTAATTATACATATACGAGTATATATATATATATATTTTTTACCACATACACACAACGCCATCTAGTCCCAAACTAAGCAGAGCTTGTACTATGGGTACTAGACAACTGATATAAATACATGTATACTTTTTTTTTGTAAATACATACATATTATACATAGAAACACCCAGACCAAATCAAACATCAAATGTTCATGCACACAAATGTTTGACTTGAGCGGGAATCGAACCCGCGACCTTTGGAATAGCAGTCCGTTACACAAACCACTACGCCATCCAGTCGTCCAGTCGTCGTCGTCAGATGTCAGCATAAAACTATAACAATCGAAATGTACGGGTTTGCTCGTACAATGCCCATGATATTAGTGCCCATATTTGTACTAAACACAACATTAGGTTTATTACTGTTTGTTTGACAGGAGCCGATGACGACAATGTTTTTAGCGCTTCAAGGTGGAAAATTCGACCATCCCAACAGGCTGTTTTCCTCCATAGCCATGTCGTGGAAAAACTGTCAGCGAGACACCTCCGATGTCAAGGTAAGCTTGCGCTTGAAACATTTAAATTGAAGAAGCATCAGTCCAGAAGATCACAAAGTTACTGCAGTATTCATTTATTATTTCGTAACATGATTACTCTTTCTGTTGTTCCGATATATGTACTTCTTTCTTTTATTGGGTTTCATGTAAATAAATTTACTGGAGATTAATAGTAATATCTTTTTAGAGCAAGCTTTTTAGCATTTAGGCACAGAAATCTTTATCCAGTCCGGCCTCTGCCATGTTTGAGAATCAAATTGAATAGCAACCTTCTCTTTTTTAGTACAATAATATTAAGAAAGGTGATTCCCGAAGTAGCTATGCCCGGTACTGCGCAAGAGACGCCGTCGTCTCTCTTACGCAGTACCGGCCTTGCTTTTAGAAAAAAAAAAAAAAATATGCCTTTTTTTAGTTACCTCACCTTTCAACCGAGTTTCACCGCTCGTGGTAGTTCTTTTTTCTTCATATCTTACATAGTAAAAATCTTTTATACCATATTATTTTCTCCAGGAACTAATACCAGAGCTGTTCTTCCTGCCCGAAATGCTGGTGAATAGTTCAGGTTATAAACTCGGCATCCCTGAATCACCATCTGGAGATGTAATCCTGCCACCGTGGGCCTCTTCAGCCGAAGAGTTCGTGAGAATCAATCGAATGGCGCTCGAATCAGAGTTTGTTAGTTGTCAGCTTCATCAGTGGATTGATCTTATCTTTGGTTATAAACAGAGAGGTAAGATTTTTTTTTACTGTTTAATACTGTGGGTCTTTTCCAATTAATAAAACTCATATTAACAATGTGATCAATTCCGGTTTGTCCGGCAATACTGAAGGTATAATTTTAGCTGTGAGTAAATCGCTAAATCTAATGAAATCTTTGTTACGTTTTTATACCAATGACTAAGGCCATGTAGTTACCTACTATTAGGTATATAATCCCTAATACACATATATATAGAAAACAAAAAAACTTAAAAACATTTTTACAATTAATCATGATAACTTTTTTTAAAGTTAAATATAAATTCAAACTAAAATAATACTTCGAATCGCCTCTTGTCCAAACTTGCTTAAGTTTTGTATTTTAATCAACAACATATTAAAATTAAGTTCTCGTTAGTTCCTTTTTACAAAACACATAAAACCTATTTGAATGCAGTGCATTAAGTCATTAACTCGATTCGTACCCTCGCAGGTCCGGAAGCGGTCCGCGCAACCAACGTCTTCTACTATCTAACATACGAAGGTGGGGTCAGACTCGACCAGATCACGGAGCCCGTGACTCGGGCGGCTATCGAGGACCAGATCCGTAGCTTCGGCCAGACTCCTGCCCAACTGCTGAGCGAGCCGCACCCGCCGAGAGCTTCGACGATGCACTTAGCTCCGTTGATGTTCGCCGCGGCGCCGGACGACGTCTGCTTGAGGCTGAAGTTGCCTTCGAACGCGGCCGTCGTTCACGTCTCTGCTAATACATATCCTCAATTGGCGATGCCGGCCGTAGTCACGGTGAGTTCCAGAATTGAACGTTTCGTGCTCGAATTTCAAATTGATGACTAGCGTTTAGCGGCCTCATACGAGTCAAAAAGCTGGTATAGAGAGATAAACGCTAATCAGGTACTTAATGTGTTCTGGCAGGTGTCAGCGGCGCGCGCCTTCGCGGCGCACCGGTGGGGGGGAGGCGGCTGTGCGCATGCGCCGCACGCGCCGCACACGCCGCACGCGCCGCGCCACGCGCCCGACCACGCGCACCACCCGCACCATCCCTTGCTCATGGACCCTGTCTGGGGTGAGACCTACACTCTTGCTTCTACCATACGTCGTCATAAGACCGACCTTAAAAATGCAAACTTTAAACTTTTAGTATTTATTTTATTTGAACCGAGTTTATGTATGCGCGTGTAGCGGCCGGTGGCGCCCAAGCGCTATCCCGACGGCAGTTGGGCGACAACTTCTCGCAGAGAGTGCGCGCGCGCAGCAACTGTTTCGTGACGACGGTCGACTCCAGGTTCCTCATAGCCGCCGGCTTCTGGGACAACAGCTTCAGAGTTTTCTCCACTGAGACTGGTGAGAATATCATCTTAAAGAAGACGCAACTAAGATATATTTAAACAGATATGATGTCGTTTGAAGCGTGTAGACTAGGTATTCTACATATACCTACTTTGTTTACATTAGCTCAGAAAGAAAATCAAACTAGTATGATATGATTACTAAAAAGTTCATACAAATCTATACTAATATTATAAAGCTGAAGAGTTTGTTTGTTTGTTTGTTTGTTTGTTTGTTTGAACGCGCTAATCTCTGAAACTACTGGTCCGATTTGAAAAATTCTTTCAGTGTTAGATAGCCCATTTATCGAGGAAGGCTATAGGCTATATATCATCACGCTAAGACTAATAGGAGCGGAGCACCAATGAAGAATGTTTCAAAAACGGAGAAAATTTATTACTATTGAGAGACGCAGACGAAGTTGCGCGGGTCAGCTAGTATGTTATATGAATAAACTGTTGAACGCGTAAATCTATGTAGACGAGATGGAATAAAATCACAATCACATGTGATAAATCATATGATTTAAATAAAACAATAAACCCTGTGACGGATTTACAAAACCGCTGCTACTTAATTACTATTATTACGCTAGCGAAGATTACGACTTATCTTTAATAACAGGAATTTTGATTGATTTTTAATGCCATTTATCTTTGCCCATGATAAAATCACAATCACATGTGAAATTCCTGTGACTAATACCGATCATTTCAGCAAATGATATGATTTAAAAGTAGCAATACTTTCCATGTCTAATGTAAACCTTGATCGGTATTATATTATATATTATAATAATCAAAGTATTACGCATTCTTACTTGACCATCAAGAAAGACGTAAAACGCTAATTTTTGATTAAAATTCGTAATTTAAAGTGGCATTTTTTCCAAAATAAATTTTTGGAAAAAAAATGCCACTTAAAATTACTTACTTACTGCTAACCAAAATATTTTTCAAGTTTATACTTGAAAAATATTTTTTCATATTATTATTTTTTCCTAAGTCTAGAATATGTATACACGTACTCGTATCTGAAATGAAAATTAATGCTGTGCTCAAAGTAGCAGCTCTCTAATAGATGATAGGACTGATTGCCAGGCGATAATGACGCCTACTAACTCAATATTTTTAAAAAAATATTTTTTTTCTGTGTGTGTTACAGCTAAAATAGTTCAAATAATCTTCGGGCACTACGGCGTAGTGACGTGCGTGTGTCGCTCAGAGTGCAACATCACTTCCGACTGCTACATCGCGTCCGGCTCGGAGGACTGCACCGTGCTGCTGTGGCACTGGTAACACACACATACTCACATACTTTTCTAACTGACTAGAACTTAAAATATATGTCAGTGTCTGTTTGTAATCGAAAGACTCGGGCCTCAATTCAAAAATTATTAAAATAAATACTCGTAAATCATTTCCTAATAATTTGAAAATATATTACGATTTTTGAGGAAACGTTTTTTTTTTATTAATTTTTTTATAAATTTTTTTTTTCTTTTTTATATAATTTTTTTTTTAATAAATAATAATTTAATCTAATAAAAATAAATTAATCATTTCCTCAAAAAACGTAATATGTTTTCAACTACCGATATTTATACCGATGCCAATGGCCACTCGATGGCATCTCAATAGCGTGTCAGTGGTACGAGAGTGGCTTGGCGTAAACATAAAATAGCAGAATTGAGGCCCAGGCTGTGAAAAACTAATTATAATTATATTCTAGCCAAAGTTTTAACTTTAATCTCGGTGGTGTCTAACAGAGTCTCAGGTGTGACGGGTTCTGTGCATGATCACGCACTCGAGTCGACCAATATTCTTATTGTGTTTCCAGGTCAGCTCGCCACGGTGGCATCGTAGGTGAAGGCGACACTCCAGCTCCCAGGGTTACGCTGACGGGACACGACGCGCCTATTAACGGCGTGCTGGTCTCGGCCGAACTGGGGCTGGTCATATCTTCGTCTGTCAGTGAGTGTCGATTACTTTACTATTTTTACCAATAGTGTCTGAATGTTACTGATGGAGTGACTTTTTTTGTAGTTTTTTGGGCTACTGTAGAATCAGTCTCGTTTCTTATCTGAGACTGCGGTAACTCTTAGCCTAGTTCTTTGGATTTATCCCTTTTCCCAATTTTCTCCTTGGGAAAGTATCTTGAACATAAATAAAATTGAGAAACTTCGGTAGGATGATAGTGATGATATCGAGTGTAAGTTATTATCGAGAGTTCCTAATAGTCCACTGCTGGACATAGGCTTTTCCTTACAATGGAGGTTTTGGCCTATTATACTACGCTGGTTAGATGGGTTTGTATAGCGTTTGTTTCAAGTTTTCCTTTTCTTTGCACGGCTTTTCGGCTCTTACGACACCCACTAGGGCCCTCTTAGGACCACTCCTATTCATCTCGTGGGTGTCGTAAGAGCCGACGAGGTTTGATGAATTAAAAATACATATACATATATTTTTAATTCGTTACCCCACGGAATGCAAGTCGAGTGCAAGTTATATCTAAATATATAATATAAGGTTGCCAGTAAAAAAAACTGTAATTCACACTTCATAAAAACGATTACGAAGTGTGAACGAGTGGGTCGGCTACTCGGGGTACGAATAAAAGAGCGAGTGTGTTTGTCCGTCAGACGGTCCGGTGCTGGTGCACACGACGTTCGGCGAGCTGCTGCGCGCGCTGGCGCCGGGCGCGGGGGCGGGGGCGGGGGGCGCGGGGGGGGCGGCCCCGGCGCAGCTCGCCCTGTCGCGCGAGGGCGTGCTGGTCGTGGCGTACGCGCGCGGACACCTCGCCGCCTTCACGCTCAACGGCCGCCGCCTGCGACACGAGACGCACAACGACAACTTCCAGGTCTCTATAGCGACTATCACTCTTTATGTAACTTAAACTATGCTGTCGATTGTTATATCGTCGTCGGGATTCTTTTTTATATAGAAACTGGCGGACCCGACACGTTATCCTGTACGTACAGTAGGACGTGCGTCTTAAACTAAAACAAAAATTGCAGTGACCCGAATTGTGAATCTGAACCGTTCTCGAATCCATTTAAACGCACACAATAAATATCAATATCGGGCCTGTCGCTTAGGAGGAGTTCAGTCATATGCACACGCATAGAAGCATATATACAATGTAAGAAACATCGTAACGAATACTGAAATAGTACATTCATTCTTAATCTAAAACTATTGGAATTTTCTACCAGAAATTTAAACTGTTTATGCAATCAGCTGTCAAATGCAAAGATCATTCCCCATAGGTATCGCACAAAAGTAAAAACTATATATGTATTCTGTGCAAAAAGTCTACACACACAAACATAAATTGGCGGCAGACAGGGAGGCCTTACGCACTTCGACTGATATATTAATTACATTGCAGTTTTTGAACGTATACGGTATTTAATAATTTGTTTTCGGTAAAATGTTCTGTTTACTCATTGTGATATAATTTTAACATAAAAAAATGGATATTATAAAACATTTTGATGAATTTTTAGAAAATTCCAATTGTTTTGGACTCAGAATCATGTTCTAAATACACTATTTCAGTATTCGTTACGACGTCCCTTACACTCTGTATAAAAATGATGATGATGATGAATGATTTTTCGTGCAAAAACACCTAGTGATTATGTGTAAAATCCTGTAAAATAATCAACAAGAGTAACATATCTCTGTTCTTCTCTGTTTAGTTTGAAACAAGATAGCGTGTGTGTCAGACGTCTGAAAGTATTTATTTTTATGAAAAATATATATTTTTTGAATGTTATTGTGATGCGGTCAGTGCCTGGCGCTGTCCCGCTGCGGCGAGTACGTGGTGTGCGCGGGGGACGCGGGGGTGGTGGAGGTGTGGCGCGCCTTCACGCTGGCGCCGCTCTACGCCTTCCCGCCCGCCGGCGCGCCCGTCACCTCGCTCGCGCTCTCGCACGACCAGAAGTGAGCCTTGTCCTTGCTTTGAACCAGGGACTCCCAAAATATTTACGGCGAGAGACCCCTTTTCTAGATGAAATGATACCTCAGACCCCCGTAGCCAAATTACTGCTCTGTTTTTTTTTTAAAGTACAACGAAGATACTTCCTACTAAAATGTTGGTCGTTCTTATAACGAGTTGCTACATATAACACGAGAAATATATCTTGAAAGTTTCAAATAAGAACTTGTGTTAATAAATAGGGTCGATCGCTTGCCAAATGGCAAAATATAGCTGCACTACATGTTTATTCTATAACTGATAAAAAAATTGGTTGCCTGTAAAGTCGGTATACGGGCGAAAGTTTTACGTGACAACGACTTTGAGTGATGAAATAATTTTAATGTGGATATTCATTCGTATAGTAGGAAGAAGGATGAAATAATAGTAACAATTTAAAACAATAAAATAAAATGTGTATGCCTATCTCTCTCACTCTCTCTCTCGCTCTGTCTCTCTCGCTCTTAGGCGGGCTAACTGTGCTCGAGTGGAAGGGACGCGTGCCTTTCACTTTTTATGTCTGTCTCTCTCGCTCTTAGGCGGGCTAACCATGCCCGAGTGGAAGGGACGCGTGCCTCTCACTCGCTCTCATTGTGAGCGCATAACGTGAGCGGAGCGTAACGCAGTTTCTTGAAGTGTCACCCGGCAAACCAATTTATAAGACGTTGTCACGTCAAAACTATGTTAACACCAATTGTAAAAACCTGTATTCGGGTGGGAAACCGATGTCGACCCCGAGGAGTCGATATCGACCACTTTGGGAATCCCTGATTTAAAGCATTACAATATTGACTCAACACATTATATCGTAACAATAGAATGCAAAAGGTCATATCTTACTGCACGAACGACTCACTGTCCGTATTAATTTATAAAATTATAATTATTTAAATAAAACATTTCTAATGAAATCATGTCAGCTTTGAACATTAAAGTAATTCCACCAACTTTATAAAGAAATAAGTATAGGTGAAAGGATACCGTTTTCAAAAATAAACATAAGGTACTTAAATCGAATCCGATGTGGATTCGACTGATTTGTCCAATAATCACAACTTTCTCGGTGTCCTGACAATGAACCCTGCCGCTTGGCTTGGTGGTTTGTGTAACGGACTGCTAGGCCAAAGTTCGCGGGTTCGAATCCTGCTCAAGTGAAACATTTGTGTGCATGAACATTTAATGTTTGATTTGGTCTGGGTGGTTAACAAGTATACATGTATTTATATAAGTACCCATAGTACAAGCTCTGCTTTGTTTGAGACTAGATGGCATTGTTTGAATGTGGTAAAAAAAAACTGATAGTTTTAAATTTTAAAACTCATTTGAAAATTTTTCAGATTCCTGCTAGCGGGTCTCGAAAACGGATCTCTTGTCGTGTTTCACATAGACTTCAACAGATGGCACCACGAGTACCAGCAGAGATATTAGGCCATTGATACTCGTATAAGTTATTCGATTAAACGTCTGTAACCGAACGATCTAGTTTACACGAAAGTTCGATATAAACCGTAAACATTGTTCTTTACTATTCCATGCTGTATATAACCCTCTCGACTGCTGGTAGTCTGAGATACTTTTGTACAGCGCCATCTATTGTGCTCAATGAGAAACATGAATTTATATTGAGATTACGATAAGACCTTTAGAAGCATGTAAGTTATTAAGTTCACTGAATAGTAAAGAACATAGTAATAATTATTTATTCAGGGTGTTTTGTTTGATCTGATGTGATTAAAAAATATCGCCCTGAGAATAGTTTTAACGAGAATATTGTTGGGTTGTAAAAGTCTGTCACATTAATGCTATATTGATTAGCTAAACGTATTAACAAAAAACAAGTACTTAAATAGTTCTAAGTCAAATTGACATTCCAATATATTATAATATAATTGATTTTGTAAAGATTATTTTTTAATATAATGCCGTTACTTTTTTTTCTATGAATGGTACATGTTTATAAGTATATGGATTTGAAATTATAAATATTTACAGTATTTTTTCAGTGTTTAATTTGTTTTAGATAAAAATATTATATGTGCCGTTTGATTTTTAACCGCGTGACTAAAAATATTAGCTAGGTATTGCCGCTTATAAAAAAATAGTAGTAATAGGCAGTGTACCTAACGGATTTAGTTTGATGTAGTAGATTACTTGTACAACGTAATAGACATTGTTTGAAGGTATGAAGGAGCTACATTCCTTTTCGAACATAACATTTTTCCTTTTATTATATTCAGTATAATCTTACGTCGGTGCTTTCTTCCTTCAAGCAATCTCTATTTAAATTATAAATATTTGTTTATGATACCTAATGCAGCTGATACAATAATATTACGTAGTGCCATAGGGAAAAATATAATTTTAATTTAATGCAATCTTTATTTATCTTTATTTTTTTTTTTATAAAGCGAAAAATCTTCAATATTTATCAGTCATTTTTATAATTTGATATGCATTATTTTAAGATTTCATATTTGTGTTTATTTTAACTTATTGATTTTCTTTACATGTGCAATATTTCTTTGCTATTTCTACTGTCTATCAAATTATATGTTTCATAAGATACGATAAGTATTATAAAATGTAAGTTAGCCTTCCCCGGTTATTAATACATTCCAAAAACGAGGTATTTATATGACATTTCTATTTTCAGTTTAGTGCTATTTAGAGGTGGCGGGTAAAGTACTTAATTTTTATTATTATTATTGATAAATGTGTTGTTGTAATTAATTTTTGGTTTTTATTAAATGGTTATAGAGAATTATTTTTGTTTTTTTTTTTACGTCACATTATTCCATTAATAAAGCTTTTTTTTGTGGTAGTTTGATAGAGCTTTTGTGAGTTTACTTTTTTTTTAATTTACTTTGTTTAGTTATTTTGGCGAATAAAGAATTCGCTATGCTAATGCTATGAGAAGTTATTAGATTGCTTTTGTGAGTAATTTTAACAGAAATCATTATAGCATTATTGTACAACTTAGAGGTCGATAACAGCGCGAAAGTGCCAATAGTTTAGTCATTTTCGCTAATTAACTATGTCAATATAAAATTAGAACAAGTTTAGTCTATATTTATAATGATAAATGCTAAATAAAGTTATGTTATGGCTAGGTGACGTTACACATACGTCACAAAAAACATAGTTTTTTACGCATATGTCGTATAACATTGTAATTAATGTACAAGCAATTAAAAACTATATTTTTGCATCACTACGCCGGCACCGCTCCTTCCGTTCTGTGATTTAGGCTTAAATGCACGTCTAGACATACTAAAGTTTATCTTCTCTTTTCCTATCTCTGTGCCAAAACTAAACGTATATGAGAGACAAATCAGTGATTATGTAATATGAAATAACGATAGTTCATTACCGACTACGCTTCAGATTTTTGCCCTATTCCTCCTTATCAATCACAAATGATAAACAATCTACAATCGCATTGTTCTATAAAGAAGTCGATAAAGAGGATTCTGCTAGTTTTATCTAAATATAAAATCTAGAAAAATCTATATAATCTAATCTATTACATAATTGTACAAATGACTCTTGGAACCCTTGAACTCACGTCCCTCTGTAGTTTTAGTGTACTTAGTGACACTTAGAATGTACCTCCTATTTATTATTAATCTAGTCCTAAATCTCTATGCTTGTAGAAAATTGTTTTACCTAGAGGCAATTTATACTTTCTTCTAAAATTTTGTTTCGGTAGTAATCCTCATACATTACTAGCTGCAGCAGTGCGATTTTAGTATCTTTCTACTATCAAAATAGTTAATATAGATGACACTTCGTTGTACACTTAATTTTTATACCCACCTGTACAGAGAACTACTAAAAATCAGTGTGACCAATAAAGAAATCTAAATACTTTTATTCCTTGCACTTTCACTGTCCTGCCTTCACTTCCTGCCTTTCCCAAAAAAATCACGCAACACCCTAAAGTATTTATTTTGTCAAAACACGCTACACGCAATTCTGTCCATTATTAATAAGATAAATAGTTATAGGTTGATGTTGGATTAGAACTAAAATTAACGTTTTTATTTAGTAGTTTAAGGAACACCTTGTATAATATCACTGTCCATTTAAATATAAGCTACATCAATTATAAGCATTGTATTGATATATAGTAAAAATCGCTATAAATCTTTTTTTATTGTTTAATTAGTACGTATTTAAACCACCTAAACACGCTAACATATTGGACCTATAAACATCATATTTTAGCTACCATTTATAACATTTTTGTTGGGCCGTTTCATTACTTTAAGTGCAAGCCTAAATGCCCCATAACGAGTAAATCTAAATACTGCCTTCGCCATAATAAAATATTGCTTGGTTAATTAAAGAAACTCAATACATTTTAATGATACAAAGTTGTTGAGAATATTATAGATAAATTTTAGACTTAGAACTTGTAGAATTGTAGTTTCGTAGTAAGCTTAGTTTGATGAACCGGTCGGCATTTCGTATAAGTATTTTAAATAATCACATTTTTTGTTCGTTATAGAAAAATCAAGTGCTACTGATCACGTGTATCCAGCTCTAGCTTGCTTCATATTTTCTCCTTAATAGTCATAGTAGCATTTGAAATATGGTAGAAAATAATCAAACTTTAGTAATTTTCGTTTTGTTTATACTGCCTAAAATTCGTGTTGTGCGGTTTATATTAACTATAATATATACTCAGATCAACATTTAATTATATACATTGTTTCCCTTTATTGTTGGCCACGTATATATTTTAAATCGTTGTTTTTATTCAATGTTTATTTGTATTAATTGTACTTAAAGACGAAATCTATGTACTTATTACTAGTTACAGTGGTTTCGCTCGCTAGGTCACTAATTTTATAGATTATAATTGATAGACTTGTTAAACATGTTAAATATTGTTACTAATTAATTATTACCATTAGTTAATATTTCACATTACTTCAATTGTAATTATAAATGCACTCGCTTTTATAACTTATGCTGACAAAACTAATAAATTTTCATCTGTTAATTCTTCATCATTTGTTGTGCAGGAGAATTAATTTGCATGACGTGTCTTTTTTCAATATTTAACCAATTAGGGCGAATATGTCCATAAATAAATTATTGTTGTGCTAAGTATATGGTGCGTTTGTATGTAATGAAAGGATCTTGAGTAACGAATAAACTGCATTGATAAAATAGTGTACTTTTTTATATTACCCAAGTTTTCAAAAACTCTATGTAGGATAAAACAACCGTAACCGTTTTGATACTGGTAACACTTCAATATTGCTTTAAGGGAAAAACATTCAACCAGCTTCAGTTAAAATAATTTCTATTGAGTCCGGATTTTTAGATGTTACTTGATGATGATAAAATACCAAATAAAATTAAATATATGTCGAAAAAAGAAGCGTCAGCTGGTATTCAGTATTCATTTTTTGAAATATTTCAAAAAATGATTCATTAAATTTATATAATCATTTAACAAATAGTTTGCACAGTCGGCGTAGTGGCTTAAATCGTCACCTCTCCGCTTCCTACTTCGCCGAGTGTTGTGTGTTCGATCCCCACATGGTATATCACTTTGTGTGATCCACAAATTGTTGTTCTGAGTCTGGGTGTTCTTTGTGTCCATTTCATTCAAAAAATAGTAGTAGTAGTTTCTTTTTATGGGATATGGGGGTAAGTAACTACCACCGACTATAAACACCTAGGACCTTGATTAACAAGTGTGGTGCCGCACCTTAAATTGCCAGAAATAGAGGCAGTGGGGGATGTGGCCTCCAGTTACCTCACTCGCTCGGTGAAAATTATTTATTCTCTAAATATATATAGCGTATAGGTCTTAGCGTATTGGAGAATTTTATATGTCATATTATCTTATTTACTGAGAGTAGCTGTGTGGCCCATTCGGCAATAACGTACAATTCTACAATAATAACATAGTGTGAGATAGTACTTCTATGCAGGGCCATAATTACATTAATCACCGTATGGGTGGAAATCGCTAATATTCTAAACTATGAGGAAAAATTAGTATCGGAGTTACATTATCATGTGAGGTATAATTACTTCTTAAAATTATATAAATACTCGTACATACATACACTACACGAGGTTTTTACTATTAATATGCTAAAAATGTATTTGAAGAGTTTCACGAAGCTAATTTATAAAAAAAAAATGTAATGGCAACAATAACTTTAAAACGTCATTAACATGTCATAATTATTTATTGTTGATCATAAATTAAGGATTATTGTTGATCATAATCATAAACAGAAAATAAACTAACCTAAAAAACCGTAAAAAACCGTAAAATATTACGGCGAGGTTTTTATACGCGCGGAAATAAATCGACACAGTATCATGTTCAATATAAACACAGATTTTTTGTGAGAGGGTAGTCCTATATAAAACGTGCTATGAAAAATCGCTTAGCTGACGAGCTATAAAATATTTTATCTGATCGGTATCTGAAGTTTTGTGATGACTATCGCAGTCTATGAACGTCTGCAATTCAGGAGTCACAAAAGCGTTGCCGGCCTTATAGAAAGGAGTACGCTCTTTTCTTGAAGATTTGAAGGCCGTATCGGTCCGGAAATACCAAAGACTATAAAAAAGTTTTGTTGATATTAAAAGAAAAATTCAGAGTTTAAATTTGTCAGGATGAAAGTCTGAGAGAATGGACCACATTTCTCGACTTTTAGAATGAAAATTGGTGCTAGTGTTAACCATAAACAAAAGAAGGTTTAATCATCATCATCTACTTTTAGCAAATGTGTTTTACGGCTTTTAGGCACATAAGTGTGTCCTCCAGACAAGGTAGAATTCTTACTTGGTTTTCATTTATGATTTTAAATGTACGTTGTGAGATAAAGAGTACATCGGAACTGAATTTTTATAACGAGAATTGGCCTTCAGAGCATTTAGAGACCATAGAGCGCGAAGTTGTAAGTCTTTGAGGTTATTTGAATAACCTGAATGTGAAAAATACATTAAAATTTAATGTTTATGAACTAACTAACCTATTGTCAAAGAAACTACCTCATTTTGACAATTCCCAACTCCATTAGTATGTTAAATATGGATTTTGTTGCAAGGGGGATTTTCAAGTAATAGTGGCAATTTTTGGGGTTAATATTTTTGGGTGTGGGTAACACTGTGTTTAACCTGGTTCCGATCTTTTTCTGTCTCCGATTCTAACCATGGCGGTTAACAACATTTCTAAAAAGCGAAAAGTACGTTCAAATCAGTGTTACATATGTTGAAATACACGTAATAAAACGTTTTATATCAATTGAACATCCCATAATTATAAATACTTGGTTTCATTAGTTTGTGAAATATGTGATGTTGGTGGATAACTTTTATCTCGTCAATTGAGCCACTATTGTTATTGTACTTGTGTTATTTAATTTACAGTTCAACTCTTATGTAAATCGTTTAAATAACATCTTGATTAAAAAATTCGATCTCGGAGACCCCGATCGTTGCGTTATTTTAATGAAATTCGTGAATCATAACATAACCTCTCCGTGCAATTGCAGTTCGTCGGTGACGGAGTTTTCAAGGCGGAACTCAATGAGTTCTTGACTAGGGAACTTGCTGAAGATGGATACTCCGGTGTGGAGGTGCGTGTCACCCCGACCAGGTCGGAAATCATCATTATGGCGACCAGGACCCAGAGCGTGCTCGGTGAGAAGGGAAGACGTATCCGTGAGTTAACGTCTGTGGTCCAGAAGAGGTTCAACATCCCTGAACAATCTGTGGAACTGTACGCCGAGAAGGTCGCCACGCGTGGTCTGTGCGCCATTGCCCAGGCTGAATCGCTCAGATACAAACTCATTGGAGGTTGGTATTTTGCTTACTTTCGTTAATACTTTACACTGTCTTGTTAAAAATATAATTCGTCAGTCATTAAGAATATAAAACAGTTAATATTCCACCCAAGTCAAACAATACTAAACTGATCTGAGACTTTATGGTTTGTTTTACTTCTTGTATCTTCTAAACGCAAACAAAATTATGGCAAGTAATACGTTGACACTTAGAACAATTTATTAATTAATCTATTAATTCAATTTATCTATAAATGTATGTATTTATTAGAAATATACAAGCATTTTCATCAGCAGTCTGGTTAGCATAGTACAGGTTCTGCTAGTTTGGGATCAGATGGCCGTGTATGAAGTTCTTATTATGATTATGCTACTTAATTTTCTATCTATTTTGATCAAGGAGAATGCACATTTTTAATTATTTCAATAAAATGCATACATTGTTTACAAAACACAGTACATTTTTAACTCAGGTTTGGCTGTGCGTCGTGCTTGTTATGGAGTTCTGCGCTTCATCATGGAGTCTGGTGCCCGTGGTTGCGAAGTGGTTGTGTCCGGCAAGTTGAGAGGCCAACGCGCAAAATCGATGAAGTTCGTAGATGGGCTCATGATACACTCTGGAGACCCATGCAATGACTACGTCAACACAGCCACACGACATGTATTGCTTAGGCAAGGAGTACTTGGAATTAAGGTAATTGTCACATTTTACTTTTTTATAAAACTACTACAGTATTATTTAATACTTTAACCCAATATTCTACTATCATTTTCAAGTTTGATCTGTCTTATGCTTGGGAAGTAGTTTTGACCGTGTTAGAATACAAAACCTCAGATCTATAAACTTGATCCTTAGTGTTGACCCAACACTGCTATTTTGTTTAAAAGTAATAATTGATTTTAATAAATGGCAAAAGTAAAAATAAAATTATTATGGGAGAGCCATGCTTCCACACATATGGCCCAAACTCTACCTGATTCTGACAGGGGGCTTGACTTGTGCCTCAGTTGTCCACTTGTTAGCCCCCCTTATACCATAAAAATAACAAAAAATACTGAAGCTAATCAATAAATTATATCATCCCCTTTTTCGTATGCACATTGTACATAAGAACTGATCATTATTAACATTGCCGAAGACACATGTAACAAATCCGATGTGTATTTTCTTATTCATCTTAGCACACACATGTCATGTTTAACAGCTTAAGTTATGGCAGTTACATTCTCAAGCCACTGTCAAAATGACAAAATAAAAAATTAAAGTTAAAAATAGAAAATAAATTTGAATAAAAGCGTTGGGTGCCTGTTGTCAATAGTAAAAAGCTTTGGTTTTCTATAGAAAGCGTGTTGTTTAGTTTTGTTTTTTCCATTAGTGTATTATCATCGGTCCTCGATATATCTACAAAGTTTGAACGAATTCTGACCGTTGAAAGTCAGTCAAAATCACGCGCAAAGGAGTCGGGTTACAAACATACAAGTGAAGCTAATATAATGCGTGTAATAAAATGCAATAGTATGTGTTGGGTTTATGCCATAGTTTCTCTGCTTACACCATTTTATCATATTTGGGCCTGTTAGCCTAGTGTTTAGAGGCTGTGGATTTGACTCCCACCCAGGACAAATAATTGTGGGATGATCATGATTGTTTGTTCTTTGTCTGTGTGTAATTTATCTAAAATATGTATGTACTTAGAAATATTTTAGAATTTTTGTCAGCAGTCTGCTTACCATAGCAAAGACACTGCCTAGTTTGGGATCAGACTGCCGTGTCTGAGATGTGTGAAGCTATTATTATTATTATACTGCAACTGATATTTTATCATTGATATTAAAGCAGTTTCTGATAAATCCACAATTTCAGGGATCTCACGCCTTTCAATGGTTTGGGGTCTAATAATTGTGGTAAATTAACTCAGCTTGTTTATTGGAGGGTCTGTCTCATATGGACTCTGGTACGGTGCAGGCTGGACATTGCTTCTTTACTCAATTTAGGTCTTTACTAGTCCACTGTTAGACATAGGCCTCTCCTTAGAAAGGAGGTTTTGACCTACTATACCCCAGTATAAGGTTTGTTTCGAGTTTTTCTTCTCTTTGCAGTACTGTTATATAGTATGGCCTACTCCTTTCGTCTCTTACGACACCCATCGGAATAAGTAAGTACTGTGAATAAGGGTGGTGACACCCTGTATTCCTAATCCATAACCACAAGGATTTAATTTTTTAGTGTCATCATAAGTAGTGCTTTGTCATAAAAAAAATTGTACCTATTTTTCAAATAACTTAAGGAGTTAATCACTATTTGTTCAATTTTAACAGATTAATCTATATTTACAGGTAAAGATCATGCTTCCGTGGGATCAATTGGGCAAGAATGGACCCAAGAAGCCTCAGCCTGATCACATTCTGGTCACTGAGCCCAAGGATGAGCCTGTACCACTTGAGCCCACCAGCGATGTGCGCTCGCTCGCACCAGCACCGCTACCACAGCCCGTGCCCGCTGTTGCTTAGGTTATAAGCTAATTAAAAAAAAAATGTAAATTTATTTTGGTATTTTTTTTTATCGCTTTCTAGACATTTTACAAGCCCAACGTGTTTTAAGCTCTTTCTATAGATATAGGTATTTGCGTTATTTTTTAGGTGTTTGTGTCAGGTTATAGAAATGTGCACAAAAAAAGTAGAGATGCCACGAATAGTGATTTGGCCGAATAACGAATATTTGGCGGGTTTAAACCCGATAAACTGAAATGGTCAGAAAACGCAAATCCTAACCTAATAGAATTTATTAAAATTTATTTATCATGTCCCGGAAGCAGTATATACACAATTAATATTGGGGAAGAGGCCCTTCATTTGTGATTTGGAAAAAAATACTTCCAGCTTGTCCCATTCTTTGAACAAGAAATACCACTCGGAGGAAAATTAAATAGATAGATACTGTAGAAAACGATTGAAAATGACTGAGATCCTACTTTAAAAACATCAAAATCAGGATTAGTCAAAAAGAATCGGATCACTTTAATGATCGTCCACTAATTTAAAAATTTCCTCCCCCTCGAGACAAAAATGACGTTTGTGCACACCCTTATTGTCCCCATCTTGGACTATAGTGATGTATGCTATTATGATCAGAATGCAGGTCTCAATAAATATGACCGCCTTCTGAATAAATTCTTTCCATGTTTACTTTTGTCACGATTGAACTGGCACACTATTCGCCAGCGCCGTCAGCTGCGCGGCCTCACCATCTTTTATTCTATTCTCAACTCACCTATTTCTCCTTCCTACCCGACTTCTGTGTCCCATCCACGATAGAACCCTCTGTTCATCTAACTATTTCTGCTATGAGCCACTCATACTTCCGCTTGTGTCCACTCCTCCTAATTCAATCCGTACTCTAGAAATCAGGATAGCACCCAACCGCCTCTCATTCAAGAATTCGTACTTAGTACGAGCTCGCATTCTGTACACCCTACAGATTCATATATTTATATGGTACGTGTGTATATTTATTGCATTATTTCTATCTAACTTCTCAATAATGGTCTCTACACATGAATATCTAGTGCACCTAGTCACACATTTCAGCCAAACCCTAAGGTAGACTGGGAGAAAATGCCTGTGGCATTAAGTCCGCCATTGTACAACTAGTATTTGTGCATAAAGAATATTTTCTCAGGAATACGTAGAAGCCAGTTGAAATTAACAACAAATTCTTATGTCCATGGTCACCGAATGGGTTTTTTACCAACTCTATATAAGAGACTAAACACGTGTGTCCAGTTTATAGACGTAAAACAACCGATTTAAAACGTTTTACATAAAATGTTGCCGTTTTAAACAACAAATAAATAGTTTTAAACGGTTGAAAAATAGCCTACAAAAATAAAAAAAAAACTGTTTTACACTTCATCGTGGGCAATTTTGGGTCATCTGACGTTTCGTTTTAAACTTATTGTTTTAATTGGTTTTAAACCGGCCTTACGTCTACAGTCCAGTCGGTGAAACTCAAAATTAATATCACTTATTTCCTCAGCTAGACATGACAAGTAATTTTGTGTTCGCCAACGTGACATAAAGCAGTGGTAGAGACACTAAGTTCCAAAAATAAATTAAACCTTTTTTAAATGTCTACATAATTTTTCGTACCTTTGTCACATTTTATAAAAAAACAAAAATCAAAATATTTCAAACCGTCAGATTTAAAATATCCTGCAAAATTATCATCAGATTTTTGGCTAGTATGACAGGAACATCAAGCTGAACCGTCTGTATAAAATCTAACGGGCTCGGGTATTTCGAAATGGCGATGTTTCGAATTTGCAGTTTGCATTATCGATAATTGCTTAGCTGCGATAATAGCTGGTGTCACTTTAAAATCGTCAGAACTTTCAATAGGAGCATTTTTGGCGTCCAAATAACATAGGTATCCCCATAATTTCTCCCCACTAAAAGTGGAAACATTATATGGCTTTTATTCATTCTATTAGGTACCTAAACTTTCCATGACGGTCGAGTATATCCCCTTTTAGCATCATGGGCTCCCCTACTATTACTTTGTCAGAACGACGAGCCAGGTAATAACTATGAGGAAATATAGGGAGTAGGGAACGAAATTGTTCAGGAAAAGAAAAAAAAAACATGCAATACCAATCTTACCAACATTTTATTTAAAAACCTGTCTACATTCACCCCAAACCAAGTGCGTTATAATTATTGCTAAATACAAATATGTCAATACAGCAAGACCAGTTTAAATTAACATAATACATAATTTGCATCAACTAAAAAGTAATACGTGTAATCACGGACACACTTAACAAAAGGTTTTATTAAAGGTTCACGATAGAAACCTGTATTAAGAATGTTTCTCTTTCAATCATGAATGTATAAATAGATATACTATAAAATTCATAGTATTAGTTTAAAATTTTATTTATAAAAATGATAAAATATTGAAGAATGGTACAAAACAAAATATTCAACATCTTACTGAGCGATAAGCGAGTACGTTAAACCAACAAAGAAGTGATTTTACTGCAAAAAAAGACTCGTTACCTGTCAAGTGTCTGTAACATCTCGAACAAACGAAGAGCACGGTACAAAAACCTTACAATGAACACTTACTACTCTAACTTAAATAACATTCCTTCCTAAATTAAAATTGGACCGTTATTATGTTATTTATAGTTCTCGTACTTACTGGCCAACATGTTTTAGTTTATAACACAAAAAAAAAACATCTTCAATGTGTCATCAACTTTTAAAATATTTCAATATTGACAGTTGACAGTGACAGATAAAACTGTTTTATAGGTTAATACAACCCATGTCCTTCAGTAGATACGAGAGAATGTTTAAATAGAAATTAAACTTAAATACATAGTAGGTATATCCCGTAAAATAATACATTATACTGTCTTTACAACCAAAAGATTATGCTACGAAATGCATTGTAGAAATGTATTGGAGATTTTGTACTGCAATGGTTTGGATAAGATTGTTCTTATACAATTATAGGATGGTCCGTCAAAATATTAATTTGTTCTTATTTCATGTTGACCTTTTAAAGTAATTCAACATTTTTCAGAAAGTAATATTACTATCTAATGCGAAACAAGGTTTTTTTATTTTAGAGTGAGATGAACTGTTTTATAGATATTTTTTTCAGCCGTTTTATATTAAAAAACGTGAATTTATCGAATAATAATAGATTTAAACTGTTATTAATGTCATGATCATCACCTCGATAAAAATCCACACGTTTCTACGTTGTGATGTGAAAAACCGTAACTTGTAAGAGACATTTAAAATCCTAGTGCCACCATCAGTGCGTAGTATTCAGACCCATTCACATTATGTGGTTTTGATACAAAAGAACGTGATGATGTAGAAAGTCTTCTATCCGCAATGACATTATAGTGTACTTTGACGTTATCTGTAATTATAAAAATATTCGTTTGAGATTTGCACTTACGCTAAGGATCAAATCAATCAAATTGTTACTCTTCGAGGTACCTTTGAAGGTAACACCTTTGATGTCTCGAAATATCAATTGACTTGCGCAGATGTCACTTATAGTCCATTCGCGTTAAGAAAATAGTGACGCATCGGTTAAGCGTCGCACCCTGACCCATCCAAGATTTCGTACGAAACGATAATTTCTTGGAAGTTGATTGGTCGGGGAGAAGTGTGTTCGATGCGTCACTATTTTCTTAAAGCGAATAGGCTATAGTTAGAATCGTGACCACAATCGGCCCAAGTTAAGTTTAATATACTGACACAATTACGCCGTATTTGAGAAAGCGCTGCACTTACTGTTGCACGTGTTCCATGGGCGGGGCCATGCGACACACGAGCTGCACGCAGCTCTGTATGCCGGAGCGGAGGATGGCGGGGGTGGCCGGGCGCGACGAGAGGCCCTCGGCCACGACGCGCAGTTCGCGGAAAGTGTTGCGCGTGTAGGGGTTGCGGCGTGATGCGTAGCGCCACGTCACGAAGTAGTAGTACACGAACGGTGTCAGGAGTCCGCAGTACCCACTGTTCGCATAGATAACAACACGCACTTCAAGTACATATCAGAAGAGATTCCTAAAAAAATTTACTTTATCGTTCGCAGTAATGATTACGAACTATATTTGTTCTAAGAGTTTAACAACTCAGTTAATTACGGTATCTCATTCGGAATGCATTATACCGTCACAGTGTATTAAATAAAACGAAACTTAGAAACCCAATTATATTTTTGTTTTAATTTTCAACGTAACTTGAAAATTTTGAGATTTGTCTAATAACTAGCAACAGTATTGACTTTTGTATTCACTTTCATATCATAGCACTTATTAGAGCCAAATTGTGTTTATCTTTACATACTTAACACATTTAGTTCGGTTGGATTACCATGCATTACACTTCATAATAATAATAACTTCACACATCTCACACACGGCCATCGGATTCCAGACTAGGGTACTATGGTAACCAGATTGGTGATAAATATACTGAAATCTTTCTAAATACCTACATATTATGGATAAATTACACCCAGACAACAAAAGATCGTGATCATCACAGAATTATTTGGAATTGAACCTACGACCTCAGGCTTAGCAGCTCTGGTTCTTAGTGACCCTAAGAACCAGTGCAACAGGCCTGTCTTACAGTCAACATTGCCTAAATGAAATCTGCAAGCAAATCTTTACAGATATTTTTACAAGTCGTACATTGCAGCTAGAAGGCGCCGGCATTTCCTAAGACTCACTCTGGGAAGAAACGCCGAAACAAACCACAGAGGTGTTTTTTGTTTAGGTCCGTGTACAATGTTAAAGAGAACTATGTAAATTCAATATAAAATAAATAAGTTCCTATATTATCCACATCCAAAAGAATATTTAAATTCCATTCTAAATATCCTTGTGTTCATTCCATCCTGGTAGTATACTTACAAGAATGCCATGAACACAACGAGCGGGAACAGCACGATCTCAGCGAGCGCAGCCGCGCGCAGAATGTTGCGGGACTGGAACTCCACCAGAGATATGAGCAGACGGGCTACCCACATCGAGTTCTGGCCCAACGTCTGGAATGAAATGAAAACGTTTATTCTGCAAATAGGTTACAAGAACACTTACAAGTTAAACTTTATAGAGCAGATGACTTCGGCCGTTTGTCCGTGTGGTGACGGATTAAGAATACGGAGCCAGTGTGTGTACGGCTTTCTGTGAGTCCAAATGCGCCGAAGCAAGGCTCTCCCACGTGCATATATGTAATAACTTTTACGTGATCGACTTAATTGACATACATATACATAAATAAGCTGGTACACGCTACTTTATTCGCGTGGAATTTAAAAAGCGCTGCCTTAGTGGGTTCGATTCCCAGACCTGGTAATTTTTATATGGTATTTCTGAGAAAAAATAGCCTTAGTTACTCCTTGTATAGGTACTATCTGGTAGTAAACATTATCAAAATTGGTCCAGCCGTTTAGGAGATTACCCGGAACAAGCCGACACAGACAAAAAAAAACTGGTTTAGGCTTAAGTGTCGTGCTAATAACCGTGTGAGCATGAAAAAAACCTATTAATTTGACATTACAAACAGACACTTCAATTTTTTTATTTGTGTAGATATACATAGTAGAACGGGTAGATTGGAGATCCTAATACACATAAGTTATGTAGATCTGGACCAGCGGCTCACAGCGTAGGCTGTGCGAGCGAGTGGTCCGTCACAACTTTCTACTACAAATTGGGTAACGTCGACCTGCCATTATGGTTCGTTAATGTAACTGAGAATCTACTACAAGATCGGTGACAATGGTGCTAATTCTGTTGTTAGAAAACTCTCTAAACTAAACTAAAAATCACTAAATATTAGTTTAGTCTTGTCAAACAACGTTTCGTATTCTAAAAAAGTAGTACTTTTCCTAAAAGTTCATTTTTTTACATTCCCTAAAAGGGATGAGATTATGTTGCTATTTAACTGACAGTATTACGTGTTTAAGTGTATAATATATACTACATAATATATAATTTGTTTGTTTGAGCAGCGTGCCCATAAATATTGTACAGATAGTACCTATCACAAAGCGATTGACTGTATAAAAAGAAAAAGAAGTATTAACAAATTACAACTTTTGTAACGATTTCAAACTTCATTTTTTATCAAAACAAATGTTTTTAACAAAATTAAAAGCGTTTTTGTAACCTCTGATATTTTATGAGATTATGTGATTTTTTTCATATTTTAATATCTTGCGATCAGTTGACAAGCCCTTTATTCGTTATTTTCCTGATATTGTTTCTAAGTCAAATAAAAAAAGATTAAAACAAAGATATATAAAACTTTATAATACTTAACTGTTGCGTATTAAACAAACCTTGGCAACAAAACAATCACAGGAAAAGATATTTAGTAATTGTACTTGTATTTTTACACTAGATGCGCCCGCGCAACTTTGTTTGCCTGTCAAAAGCAATAATCCCGTTCTTGCAACATTTTCTATTGATGGTCGGCTAGTCTATAGCCTTCCTCTATAAATGAGCTATCCAACACTAAAAGTTTTTTTAATTCGGACCAACAGTTTCTGAGATTAGCGCATTGAACCAAACATAAACTCTTCAGGTTTATAATATTAGTATAGATTTTATTGTGTGTTTTTCTACTAGAGATCGCTGAGGGGTCGAAGTTCGATTTCGTTTAACACTTAAGTATTTTGTTGTTGTATTGAGTATTTTAGTATATATTATTGTGTTATGTTTTTGATGATGATGTAGGAATCCTTGTGACTTAGGTCACCTTTTCTAAAATAGACATGTTCATGTTTAAAGCGAAGTTTATAAAAAGGACATAAACTTATACTAAGTTGGGTATCGGGTAGGGTTAATTAAGGGCTGTCCGTGTGGTGACGGATTAAGAATACGGAGTGAAACCGCGTCTAATTAACGAGTATAACAGGATTCAATATTTCTTTTAGTATCAGAACCGAATAGTTTTTTTTTAAATAGTATATCTGACAGAGAGAGGAATCCTGTACTTTGGGTAAAATTATCATTAAATTAGTTTATATGAATTTCGCATAATAATTTTGAACTTTTAAATATTTCTTTCGTAATGTTTGTATCATTGACTAGCTTATTAGTTTAGTTAACTGAAAAGATTTACTTGCAGAAAAAAATATCATTTCATTTAATATCTCTTTAGTTCAGGGTGTGAACCGAAGTATGAAGAGTTGTAACGATGCTCGCTCGCTACCTGGCAGTGTGGCCATCGCTTTATACAGACCATTTATTTCAGTATACTCGTAAATGTTGATTATAACAATCTAAATAATTAGTCTTATAAAACTTTAATTAATAGACTGCACGGATGGCGTAGTGGTTCAAGCGGTCAGTACGCGGCCACGTGCTACTTTCTACTGCGCTGAGTGTTGTGGATTCGATCCCTACATGAGACAACACTTTGTATAATCCACAAAATGTTGTTCAAAGTCTGTCTATCCTTCGTCGTCGTCGGCATCTTTTAAAAATACATTGGTCCAAACCTCACCATAAACACAATATTAAGCCGATGCACACAGGTCTACTAATGAAAATATGTTTGCAACGTCATGTCGACCAATTGAAGATACATACTTGAAGATGACAATAATTTACAAAGGCAAAGATTTCTTAGCTAACAACATGAAATGTGAAGGAAAAATGTATATTCATAACAGACAATATGGCGTCACTCGTACACGGCAAACAATTAAAACGTACAAGGAAGACACACTAAGGTCGAGTGTTACTATGGCAATGAGACAACCAACGCGCTGAGCAGTTTTAAATTCCACAGTCAATCTTCGTTTTTACATAATATCGTTTAACTATCATTTTTCGTAACGTTTTAATATCATTTTTCAAAACAAGAAAAGACCTTTTGTGGGTTGGGCCTTATTGGGCATGCTAAAAAAAAACACTTCACCTTTATTATATTTATTTATATCATCGTTAGCTAAGTAGACAAGACTATTGTTGTTGACGCAATTGAAAGTAAACAGAAATATTTAGGTAATTGTTTTTTTTTCCTTTTTAGTGACCTAACCTAAAAAATAAACATGAACACCACGTCAATGCCACCGTATTGTGTGTTGTAAGCCAAGGCATTGTCATCAATTAATAATTGATTATTAATGTTTTCTTTGTTTTAACATAATAGGAATAAAAGGAATTTTCATAGTGAATTATTAAACATCCAACGTTGACTGTAATAAGATTATATCGTAGTGTGACCGAAAATTGAATCGGTATTCTGCTATAGTCTCAGTAATACTTTACTACGAGAATACCTTTTATTTATTTATTTTTAACTTTTTGCACAAGCACATGCATCGGCGGACTTAATGCCTAAGGCATTCTCTGCCAGTCGACCGATTGGGCGATACTGAGAAAGAATGAGGTAGGTGCAGTCTTTTATGACATTTGTGATATCGAGAATAGATTGGAATCAAATTTTGAACAAAATTTTATAACCTTCTGGTATCAGTACTAGCCAGACTTCCCTGTACAAAGTAGAAAAATAAAGAAAGTACCTCCGCTTATTAAAACAGAGTCTATCAAGGCCTTAGTCTAAATAAAGCGTCCGCTTATTAGTTCAATTTTATTTAGATGCTACTAATCTCTTTCTCCGAGTTGAGGAGTAAGGGGCAAACAAGCAGGCAGGTCACCTGAATATAAGTGACTACCGCCGCCCATGACATGACACCTGCAACTTAAAGAGACCCCTGCCCCTAAATTTTACGGGTTGAGCTCCGGTCACCGCACTCACTCACGCAAAGCAACAAAAAAAAAGGGTTTTCTGTGAGGCCACGTTACCACTAGCCCATGATACCGAACCATGGCCCTTCCACGGTTTCTTTAAGTCTCAATAATCTTGAAATTTACAATTCATTCTCATATTCTATTAATGAAAAGAGATGCACGCAACAAAAATAATACACCATCAAAAAGTATAACATAATTTCACAAAGAAATCCAATAATTAAATTGGATGACTTCAAATATAATTATGTAATAGGCCTGGGTATCGATCTCTGTGGTCATGTGGCCTGACATTTCTGGGTTAATATTATTATAACATAGGACATACACATACACCGGAACGACAGGAAATTATGTTGACTATATATTGAACGTCAATAAGGATTATTGTGGCTCGTCTCGAGCCAATAATACTCAAAAATGCACGGATTCATGGACTGCACTGATGGCGTAGTGATTTAAGCGGTCACCACGCCACTTCCTACTACATGGGACGACACTTTGTGTGATCTACAAATTGTTGTTCTGAGTCTAGGTGTTCTTTCTGTCCGATTCATGCATGTTTGCGGAACTTCTTTAAAAAAAAATGTAATATATTTTCCCACGTTCAAATAATATATTGATGGATTAATTTTAATAATAGTGATCCATAAATGCCGTAATACGATTAATTATTTTAAAATACAAATTCTAGAAACGTAATAAAACAAAAACTAATTAACTAACGGTAAATTTAAAATATTGAGTAATGAAAATTCCTTTCATTTTGTTTCCATGGAACTTCAATCCACGTTATATTACATTATTTTATTTATCACTTTCATAGCAGTCTCTTCGCGTTTGTTTAACTTTATAGCCTTAAAGATATACCATTGTTTCAAGCTTTTGTATTTGGAGAATACTTTACACGTCACGAAACTTATAATGACTACTCATAGTCACTAAACGTCACACTTCGTTAACTCTCCCGTCCTTAACATCTCACTTAATTTGTGGATGTGTCGGGAATAATTTACGTAAATACTATATACTAGCTGACCCGCGCAACTTCGTCTGCGTCTCTCAATAGTAATAAATTTTCTCCGTTTTTGAAACATTCTTCATCGGTTCTCCGCTCCTATTGGTCTTAGCGTGAAGATATATAGCCTATAGCCTTCCTCGATAAATGGGCTATCTAACACTGAAAGAATTTTTCAAATCGGACTAGTAGTTCCTGAGATTAGCGAGTTCAAACAAACAAACAAACAAACTCTTCAGCTTTATAATATTAGTATAGAAAGTATAGATTAATTCAAATATTATTAAGTTAGTATACACGCTGACGTGGGAACGAGTAGGTTAGCACATTGCAAAATTAAGCAATGATAGCCAGGTCAGTCTATAGATGGGTGACCATTTTTATTACATTGAGACACATCCGTGCCTCAGAGAGCAGTTAGCTGTCGGTCCCAGTTGCCATACAAACATCTATGGCAATCGTTACGGGTTTTTCTTTTTCTTTGATGGGGTGGAAAATCCTCCTGCTCCTCGGGGACTCAGGAGCCAGGGGTATGTGGTGATTCCACTAAAAACCACCCCGACGGCCGGCCTCAGGTGCCCTACTCTGGGAGGACCTGGACCATGTTATTTCAGGTCCTTCTCGAATTGACACCATGCCTAATCAGGCCCTAACCCAGGGGAAAAACCACTTCCCCCCCTCGATCGCGACGTGCCGGCCCAATTTCGTCTAAATGCAATCAGGCTGCCATATCCCCTACCGCAGCATTCAATCTAACACCAGAGGTCCCCACTCTCTGGCGGCCCGCGGTCCCGTCGGCGGCTGGTATGATCGCCGACGTCCTCTACACACGGGATCGGCCTCCTCCCGAACGGGTAGTAGTCCTAGAAAGTCCGACAACAGTCTCTATACAACTTCGATATCGCCTAGTTACGCTCCACGTAAAACATTAAAGCTCAGCAGTGTCATGGTAGACAGAAAGCGGACCCCAACCTAGTTTGGGACAGATTTTAACTTAAACCACACTTTAAGTTGACACCGTACCGTACATTACCAGTACATGCCAGCACGCAACAATTGTAATAGATTAGATAAGTAATAAAATAGATACTTACATCAAGAATAGTTAATGAGTACGACGCGGCGTGCAGCAACGCGAACAAGAAGATCGGAGTCAGGACCACTGTGTCTGAGTTAAGGGTACATTATGTTCACAAAATGTTGGTAAAATACTAATATGTAGATTAATGTTAATCTCGTACCTATAACACAAACTTTAATAATTGTATTAACTTGTTTCAACATTACAACAACTCATGGATAATAGACTTGCAGTGAACTATGATTTATCATTCGATTTGTCCGTACGTAGGTTAGGGTTGCTACTGCCAATAAGCTGTTTTTAGACGCTATTTAACAGTAAAACTAGTGTCTTTTTTTATTACCATGGAGGGAATGGTATCTATATATAATAAAAATACTAGATTTACTGTTAAATAGTCGAAATATGGTCTTTATGCATTGTCTGAAAACAGCTTATCGGCAACAACGCGTGAGTGAGTAGCAACTCTAACCTACGTACGAAAAAATCGAATGATAAATCACAGTTCATTCACAGTTCATTGTGATTTTGCCCCATTTGTAATGGATAATGTGACTCACTCATAGGTGAGAATAATGTGGCAAATAGAATAAAAACCACAAAAAAAAGCCGTGTGGTGTCGTGGGACACCCGATAGGAACGAAGTTGTGACGATCGAGTAAAACTGATTTGACACGATTTTAATTACAACGCCATCTATGAAAGCGGCTATTACCTACATATTAAAAACAATTAAAACAATTTATACACTGGTAAAATCTCCTTGCGAAATGATTTCCTATCTATTCGATAGATGGCGCTGAATGTCTGACAAGATGACACGAAAATAAAGATCAAAAAGCCAATATCACGTGGTATTCCCAGGCGGTCACCCATCCAAGTACTAACCACGCCGATGTTGCTTAACTTCGGTGATCGGACGAGAACTGGTGTATTCAACATGGTATGGACGTTGGCGAACGTTAAAGCAAATTTAATGTATGGTATCCACAGTCCAACTGTGGATCATCATCATCATGATGATGATGATGATCCACAGTTGGATGTCAATTTATATTAAAAGTGTCGTGACCAATTTTCGTAAGAATTTTTTCCGTCTAGCCCCCTTTCACAACGCGCGATAAGGAATTTCGTTCCAAAAAAAAAAAAAATGGACTGCGTAAAAAGACGTTATGTCTAGAAAACGAGTTAGTAGTGAGCTGACAAATAATAGAGCAGAAGAAAATACACTGTGCTGATTACAAATAAAAGATGGCAAGAAGATTATGAACATATTACCGATAAGGCATTTTAATGAATAAAACAAATACATTTTGGTTACACCACTTATAACTCAAGAACTGCCAAACAGATTTTCATGCATTTTGATTTTTAGATTTGTCTCCGCCCTGAATAGCAGAATAAGCATTAAAATATTTACAAAAACATCATCATCATCTTCATCACCTACAGCCTTTAACAGTCCACTGCTGGACATAGACCTCTCCTTAGAAAAAGGTTTGTGTCAAGTTTTCCTTCTCTCTGCATGCTGTTGTCCTGCGTAGTTTAGTCCCTTAGTCGTCTCTTACGACACCCACAGGATGAATAGGGGTGGTGACACTCCGTATTCTTAAAGTGTCACCAGACGAACGACAAAAACCTTTTTTATTTGAGAAAATGCATTTTCTCATTCATTATAAAGGATAAAGGGCAGAGCTGGGACTAAAAAAACTGCGGGGGACTACTACCTAGTAATAGATGTGAACTTCAGCGAATGCGATTTTAATTTTACGAGGAAATTATGGGACACAAGGTAGTGACACTTTGACATTATATTATACAATTAGTCAAATTGTGTTAAAATTGGAAAAACTGTAAGCGAGGAGGCTAACCTTGATTTTCGTGTATAATTATGTATAAACAGTTATTTAAACACAACATTATAATTTACGTAACTAACGAGTTTGTGGCAACGTATCATTTAAATGTCTTGGAGCATAGGAATCCCTTGTTCGTATAATATTGAAAAAGGCATCAACATAATTTTTCTGATCTCATTCTCAATTTGATTTGGGGTCAGTGCAATGTATAAGACCCATACTACGAGACCCATTCAGGGAGAGGGAGGTCTTCATAACACCACGATTGGTCACAGAGGCGGGGGGAAGTTAAACCAGTTCTAAAAATTGTTTCACGTAGTATGGGTTTGGCTAGTTTCTGTTCTTGCCGTGCTGGCTGCCTACCTGTCAGTTGTCACCAACAAACGGGACCAAGAAAGCACTTAAATTGGGGATAAGAAAACGGACAGGGCCAAAAAGGAGGATGACGAAGACATACCCTATGTTCGTTCAGTAATGAGGGAGGAAGACAGAAATAACTGACCAATTGAAGTACTAACATAAATAATGTACTATATAAGTAACATAACCTGACTAAGTAAGTAAATCAAATGTGTGTCTTCTATTTATATATAATATTGAATATTCATGAACAATAAGAAGTCTTATTTATTGTTGAGATTAAGTAAAGTGGCTAGACGCTATAATGATAAAGTTTCTGCCTGATACACAGTTCATGTTGCAACACTTTAAAGTATCTATATGTTAATTCCGCTCTCGATGTCGGTTCTTTTAGTGATATATTCGTATAAAATCTTCATTAATTAATTATATTTTAACGTATATCATAACGATATAAAATATTTACACAAGCCAACTAAGTAAAACGTAACATTTTTGTTTCGTTTTACTTTCGGAAGAAAAGTGAAAGTACGTGAATCAACTTGGAATGTTCTAGAGAAAATTGGTATCTTGATTTATTCTTTGAACCAGTTTTTGTCGACAGCCAGTTAGTTAATAGTTTAAATCGTACTCTAGAGAAAAATAACATTTTGTTAGTTTACGAAGTATGATATCGTTGAATTTCCATAAACAAATCAAGATAGAGAGTAAATATATTGTTACAATAATATATTCTGAAAAGCTAAACAGCGAAAATTAATAAGCCTGACTCATTCCGTATTCGCCCTGATATTGCATTCATCATCATCAGTGAAATAGCACTGGTGATTCTACGGTGATTATTTATTAAACGGGCTCTTTACTAAGAAGTGGCTCAATGCTGAGCTTAGAATGTGTACAAATACAAATGTTCACTTTTGTAGTTCTAAAGTTTTTTTTTTATGTGTCTGTATTAACCGAACCCCGTTTAATACAGACATATCTTCTTTTTTTTTTTTTCCGTGCGGAAATCCCCTCGGATACCACCTGTCGGTGGTATGTCGGACTCGAACCGACTAAAACCGCACGCCGTCTCGGGTACTAATAGCCGGGGAACCAGGTATGCCCTAGAAAGGAAGTCCCTGGTACCCCGACATACCTCGGGTCATCTACAGACGAGTAGACGACCCCCCCCTTGTGGGAACCCCATGTTCCCTGTGCTCCCTGGAAGCGAGCGCGCTTCGCAACGCGCTCGCCGCCACCCCGGCCTGCTTCTGCTAGGGTGACAGATGGCCTCACCTGTCACCCCCAGGCCTGCGCTTATGGAGGACGGAGGTCGTTCTGTGACCTCCGGCGCCTGAGTCGCCTGCGGTACCTGGCCCGTTCCCGGGCCTGGCGGGCCGGGAGAGTCCTAAACCTGTCCCGGTCCCGCTCCGCCGTCTCCTTCGCGAGCATAACTTGCTCGCAGAAGGAGACGGCAGAATACAGACATACCTAAGTTACGTGAGAAATGAAGCACACTAACGTTTATGATGTTTAACGTTTAAAAAATTCAGTTTTTTTTTTATTTTATTTAAGTATTGTGAAGACTTACAGTTATAAAAAACGCAAATAGAGATCTGTAAGCAATTTTGTAAATTAAATAAACGTCATATACTTACTTTTCGAATTACCTATTAGTAATTATTTGAAATTAAACAAAGATTCATTAGTGCTCGCTCGTATCCACGCATATTTTACAAAAATAAATGTAAGTATCCCAAAACAATCTCTTAGGTTTTTTTGTCCCTTTTTTCGTGTTTCGGGGGAAGGGGGTCGGGTCTTTATAAACATTTATGAAACGGACACAAAGAACTACAAAACTCAATACATTTCCTCACATATCTGTAGAGGAGATTGGATTTTACTCATAGATAAACCATTCTTATCTTGCCGCATGTGTCGCCAATAAGGTTTTATAGGAAAATAAAAATAATTAGGCAAATCCGATAACTGTAAATTGGAACATAACAGCATATTAAGTAAGCTTATAAAATGTGTAGTTTCCACGATTGATCTCATCCATGGAAAAAGGGAGGCAAAATTTGGAAACCAATCCATTTTTAAACAATTTCTTTACCTCTAAACTTCAGTAAATACAATTACGCAACTTCTGACTATTTTTGCCAATTAGAGACATACTTTGATACTGTTTGACATACTTACATTTTCGCTAGCTATATATGTATTTTTTTTTTAAAAGGTCTACTAGCAACCAAAATTACTAGTATTCCCGTTAACCCCTCCCGATAAGCTAAATTGCTTGTGTTAGGAGTGGGTTTACGTCGGTAGTGTACTGGTCAGGATTTGAACCCACGACCTATTGATCGCAGGTCCCACGCCTTAACCACTAGACTACCGCCGCTTTTAAATTATTATTCCTTATTATTCCTCTTATGTATTAGCTCCTGTAACAGGAGAGGCTGATGTCTTTAGAAAAGGATACACAAGTTGGGTGCAACATTCATGAAAATAAGTGAGTAGAAGAGATAATGCGCGCTGTCTTCTAAGAAGAACCTCGCGAGGAACTCTCTTGACACGCTGATCTCGCGGGCGGGTATGCGCTGGTGCAACCGCAGCGCTGATGTCGCCGCGTTTGCAAGGAGGGCTTTGTAGAATGCTGACACTGGACTGTGGAAGAAAACAAGCGTTAGGAACATCTGCTGGAATTAAACTTGAGACCTTGGATTGAATCTTGAGTGTCCATGGGCCGTGGTAGTCACTCAGGTGACCATTCTGCTCGATTGCCCCCTATAGCATAAAAAACTCACTAAGTTTCTTAGGGACACCAGAAGTCAAGCCTCCCCCAATATCACAAGTACTGTGGTAATATTATTGTGTACTTTCATTACAGGTTACTTATTGCATGTAACATGAAAGAATTATTTAACATAATATATTTATTATGTTAAATAATTCTAATTTCTCGTCTAATTTTCGTTTAGGTAACACGTCTGCTGAAGTACGAAACAGAATATAGGGTTTTTATGTGAATCCGTTTATTATGTCTCACAAAACTGCTACTTATTAAAAAATCCCACAATCAATCAGGGTATTTAGAAAAAGCAGAAGTACAGGTCACCAAAATACCTACAGTACATTTGGTATAGATATAATCTTTGCAATAAGCTAACTAGAAAGAAAAAACGTTTATTCTGGCAATAACACAACACTTCAGACAATTTTGCAGCTTGAATTACCACTGACGCTGGTTTTCAATTGGGCCCAAAATGACGATATCCGTAAAACCAGTTGTAGACCCTAATTGCTACGCCGTGTAGATACATCATACGGTTAATAACATATAGCAATAATATTTAACAAGACAAATAATGCTAATATAACTATATCAAGTGAAACGCCATTTTTACTAACTTGATTACCATTTTTTATTTGGTAAAGTAATACATAGTAAGCTAAATATCCTGCTACTCCAACTGGCAACAAACCGTGCAGCTGCGTTGATATAATTAATTTAAACTTGCTAAGTGAATGTATATCATATTTTAACTACCTAAAGTCTAATAGAACACATTAGAGGATCGTAGAAAAATATTACAAAATTATTACATCAATTGGGATTCATAGCGCTGATTGAGAACGCCAGGCGAGCGTACCTAAATTCATTAGGTATCCAATATATTGAGAACATAATGAGGCCTCTTCAGAATAAAGCTTCTTTGGGCTAGGCAGTTTTATTCACCTAACTTTAACCTATCGTTCATTCGCGTTAAAAAAATAGTGACGCATCGATGAAATTTGGTTTCAAGTTTTCGTACGAAACGATATTTTTTTGGAACCTGATTGGACAGGGAGCGGGGCCTGATCGATGCGTTACTATTTTATATATTAATATAAAAACGAATCAAATATCTAAGCGAATTAATCATGTCGAAAAGCATAGGCGCGGAGACATCGTTTCGCTGATGTGAAGAGGAGTCAGCACGCGACGTGACTCTCATTGACGTGACAATGTGTCAATTTCTATAGCGAATATTACACGAGCGATGATTAATGATTAGGCACATTACATTACCCCTACGGCCTTAGGCAAAATTTACTAAAATGTTGCCGTGCGAATAATATTCAACTCTATGCACTTGTTGCAAGAGTTGTTATTGAAACGAAATTCTTTATCGCACGATACACGCTCTGAACGGATGGGAGCAAGACCGCAAAATGTGTAACGAGACTTTTTCCGACACTTTTTGCTATAGGTTTCCTTAAAAGCGAAAGGAACTTCGTTCCGACCGGAGGGTCCATAGACCCCTAACGCCTTTTTGTAATACCAACTGTGTTACTTTAAGCTATACTAGTAAACTATATAAGTCTAGACTTTTTTATGGCATAGTGGGGCAAACGAGCAGATGGGTCACATGATGGTAAGTGACTACCGCCTCCTATGGACGCCTATAACCCAAGAGTCACAAATGCGTTACCACTGTTTAAGTTCCTTCCCCCCAGAATAATGGGAGGGGGGGGGGAGGGGGGCTCTCGTTGATATCTGACTCACTCAGACTCCGGTAAGCTCACTCATTCAGTGAAAACAATGGAAACAAAAGCTTAATACCGGTACTCTGTGAGACCGGTATTCTGTGAGGTGGTATGACTCCGGTCGAGCCGGCCCATTTGTACAGGAGCATGGCTCTCCTACCAAAAACAAATTATTAACCAAAGAAATGCTTTTGCCACTATTTTAAGATGGCCTTAATTAGTCCTTATTTAAATAGTTAAAAACAGTTTTCTTTTTTTTAAAGCACCTTAAAGGGAAGGAGAGAAACCTTAAAGAAGTGCAAATCAAATAACAGTTATCTCTTAAAACAATTTACTAAATATCAAACGGTACTATAAATAAAAAAAAATACTCATTGAATTGAACTTACACATGATACTTAATTCAAGGTTACGATGTTTTTGTATTCATTGTATAACATCCACTTAAAGTGTAGAAGGAAACTAAAATTGTTGAGAAATAAAGGATTCTTACTAGGTTTACCACGCACTAGTAATTCTTAATCAGACAATACTTTTTCGCAAACGTTTATAATCGTTTTCGCAATCACTACGAAGTTGTATGGTACTGTTTACATTTAATAATTTTCTTGTTAAGTATATCACACACACATTCACACGCTACATGCGTACAGATACATTAATTTCGACGTAATTAATAACGGGACCGTCTGGCGCTGCGGCGGACGCTGATGGTACATATTTGAGAATTTGGTTATAATGAGTGCATTATTGTTACGATCGTCGACAAATACAAATATTTGATTGAATATTTTAAACTAGCAGTCACTAAAAGTTGAGGGTGGATTTGTAACATCGTGCGGTGTTCCGCAGAGTTCGGTATAAGGGCCGCTGCTGTGAAACATTGGCTACGACTGGGTGCTTCGCGGTGCCTTCTTAGATGGTATCGCCGTCACGTGTTATGCGGACGACACGCTTGTGACGGAGTGCGGCAAGACGTACCGTGAAGCAACCCTGAGGGCCACGGAATGGGTTGCCCAAGTCGTGTATCGGATCCGGCGGCTGGGTCTCGAGGTGGCTCTGCACAAATCCGAGGCCTTGTCCTTTCATGGGCCTCGAATGAGGCCTGTGGGGACTCGATGACTCCTGCAGGGGACTCTATTCGGGGGTCGTGCGGTCCATGGCCCTTTATGGGGCCCCAGAATGGGCGGATGCCTTGAAGACCAGCAACGTCGCTCTACTGCGACTGCTGGTTATCAGGGTCATAAGGTGATACTCCTTTGAAGTGGCGAGTCTCCTGGCCGGTACTAAACCGGACCTGGAGGCGAGAGACTTGTAGCTCTGTATCAGTGGCGCGTGGAGCCGAGGGAGTTGGGTCCAGAAATCCCAACTCCGCCAGGTATTTGTGGAGGAGTGGCAGGAACGACTTGGACAACCAAGCGCCTTATTGCGTTGTTAAGACCCGTTATGGAGGATTGGCTCAAGGTGCATCACGGGACCCTCTCATACCGGCTGACGCAGGTGACCACCGGGAAAGGGTGCTTCGGGGATTATCTGTGTCTCATCCGCAAAGAGCCAAAGCCTGAGTATCATCACTGTGATGGCCGGGTGGCACTGGCAGAATGCCCGGCGTGGGATGTGCAGAGGCATGACCTCGTGGCGGCCATCGGAGTGAGAGAGTACGATTACGAGTACGAGTAGAGAGAGAGGATGATTGCGGCCATGGTACGGACCGAGAGCGGGACCGGGAATTAGAACTCTCCCGGTTTGCCAGGCCAGGGAACGGGCCAGGTACCGTAGACGACTCAGGCGACGAAGGTCGCAAAACGACCTGCGTCCTCCATAAGCGCAGGGGTGACAGGTGAGGCCATATGTCACTCTAGCAGAAGCAGGGAACACCGTGGTCCGATGGCCCGGAGTCCGTCAGGGTACCAGGGATTTCCTTGCTAGGGTACACCTGGGATCAGAGACGGAGTGCGGTTTTTGGTCGGTTCAAGTCCGACATAACCACGGGTGAAAAAAAAGGGGTGGTTTGTAACAATAAAAAGATGTGATGTTGCTGGTAGGTGAACTTAGTTACGAGCGTTTGTGTTATAATACTTAAAATGCTTACTGTATTCAAAATGCAACAAATGTTTGTATTGAGACCAGGGCTAACATAGTTCTGCAAAGAAGTAGGCTTAATATTTACGAAACATTCAATGAAACCACCTTAAGTGTAAGTTGTTTTTTTTTTAATTACGTGCATGTATCATTTTATTATATAATCTCTTAAGTATTACGTCAAAATGTGTAGTATTAACTTTATTTTTTTAAAGAAAAACTGTGAGACGTTGGGTGAAAAGATTATTCTCAGCGACGCGTTGTGGTTGGTGAATATGAAATAAATTTACGTCGAGGTTTTGAACAACATTATGCTACCATACACATTAGTAAACTTATTTTGTTCAAGATAACACCAATACACCTTGCAAGTATTATTAGTGAACGGTTTCTTTAACATTCGTATATTAAGGTTATTCCGTGACCAGCGCGATCTCCCGATCTAAACCCTATGGAAAAAATTATCTTTACACGGGTTTATCTTTACACTTTATCTTAATTTCAAAACTAAAACAATATAGGTAGAGTCACAATAAACGGATTCCAGTTTTTAATATCTTGTGAAAAATGTTTAGTAAATAATAATAATAATATTCTAGCACATTCACACAACGCCATCTAGTCCCAAACTAAGCAGAGCTTGTACTATGGCTACTAGACAACTGATATAAATACATATATACTTTTTTTTGTAAATACATACTTATTATACATAGAAACACCCACACCAAATCAAACATTAAATGTTCATGCACACAAATGTTTGACTTGAGCGGGAATCGAACCCGCAACCTTTTTGGAATAGCAGTCCGTTACACACACTGCAAGTAAATGCAGTGATCACCAATTAATACTTTCAAAAATATCATGAAGTTGCTAACCAATAATTTTTAATCAACCCGATCTAAACCCTATGGAAAAAATTATCTTTACAGGGGTTTATCTTTACACTTTATCTTAATTTCAAAACTAAAACAATATAGGTAGAGTCACAATAAACGGATTCCAGTTTTTAATATCTTGTGAAAAATGTTTAGTAAATAATAATAATAATATTCTAGCACATTCACACAACGCCATCTAGTCCCAAACTAAGCAGAGCTGGTACTATGGCTACTAGACAACTGATATAAATACATATATACTTTTTTTTGTAAATACATACTTATTATACATAGAAACACCCACACCAAATCAAACATTAAATGTTCATGCACACAAATGTTTGACTTGAGCGGGAATCGAACCCGCAACCTTTTTGGAATAGCAGTCCGTTACACACACTGCAAGTAAATGCAGTGATCACCAATTAATACTTTCAAAAATATCATGAAGTTGCTAACCAATAATTTTTAATCAACCATTGTCTTTATTGAAATAATTTAAGTTATAGATGAACCCACACAAGGCGACAACAACAACAGGTTGATTCGTCAATGTACATACTGTCTTTTAAACACTTAAAAAACATGATCATGTTGATGATCACACACTGTTCATGAAATATAAACTTTTCAAGTAATTTTAAAGTTTATATTCCATGAATAAGACTAAACCTCCAGCAACATCAATTAATTTCTTATGTGTATAAATATTTCATTTTATTCGAATGTTCAAAACTATTCGGTATGTGTGTATTTTTCTTCTTTATACCTATCTCATTCAATCAAACAAGAGATAAAATGTGGAATAGGGATAATTGGACTAAGTATCTTCCACCATAGACATTAGTTATATTACTTTTTTATTTATTTATTTTAAAAAACACCTCCTGCCCTAGGAATATATCCTGTTGCAGGGGACTTTACAAACATACATGAAACGGACACAAAGAACACCCACACTTAGAAAGACAATTAGTAGATCACACAAAGTGACGTCCTATGTGGGGATCGAACCCACATCGGTGTAGTAGGATGTGGCCACCACTACGCCACTAAACCACTACGCCATCCGCATATTATTTACTCAGCTATAACTGCCTATTAACACTACTTATATATTCTACTTATGTACTTATCAATATGACACTTACTTGTTAAATATAGGTAGTACATATCCTATGGTAAATAGTACTGTGAGAACACGGATGGCCCATAGGGCAACATCCACTTTGTTAGCAGCTACATGGGCCTTCAGTGCCGGGATCCCCTTCGGTGGACCTGTGTCTCCAGCTTGGTGATCTGCTTGATCTGCCATTTTCTTCTAACAACAAAATTTATAATAAGTCCTAATGTTTATTTAATACACTTAGTTACTATTTATTTAATTAAATTATACTCAAAACCTTAGATAATTAATTAATTGCACAGCCTATTACTTCTAAGAGAGTTTAATAATAAGAATAGATTAAATAGAAAAATGAGTACCATAGAGTACTACTAGACTATTATATTATAGGCTTTGGCCATTATCTGATAAGAGATGATAAAAGTGTGTACAAGAGTTTTATATTCTGTACCAATCTACACAGCATACTTTAATATCCAAACTACAATAAATTTTGGCTGAATGCGTTTACGTGACTATACCCACAGTAGAAAGTGTCATTAGAGAAACACTTTTTAGAGTTTTAATGTAGTTCAGTAGGGCAAGCACGAAATTTCGGCAGACAAAACTGAACTGAAATTAAAACTTAATAAAAGGCTTAAAACTCATCTGACAGACACTTATTAACATAACATGACTACCAAGGACACAATAACTAGGAAAACCAGTTTGAATGATCAATTATTAACTAAAATTAAATACATCACCGCAATGAATAGCCAAAGGCGATGTTAAAAAATTATAAATTGGTTAAAACAATATTTATTCGCAAGTCATACTTACATTTGAATTTAAGTAATTAAAATACACAAATATATTAAACTTTTATGATAAATTGGATATAGTACACTCACAACGCAACAAATCGAACATGCATGATTTGCCGAATGACATATGACAGTATAAAAGAACTTGCCAGCTACGCAAGGTAGTGCTGCTGCAAATGAAAGAAGACTGTTTTTATCGATAATTCTTACCTCGATGGTACTTTTTATGTAACTTGTTGTTAATATCATACTACTCGTAATGCCGAAGATTAAATCAGCTGTTGGCATGACGTGGCATCCCCAAGGCATGCGTTGCTACACTATGTGATGTAATTATGTTAATAAATATATATTTTGTTAAGAAAGTTATATACATCAGTTACAAATTGTCTATCTTTAATATGATGATGTTACCTAGCAACTGTTGTTAATTTGTAGTCAAGAATAAATTTGTCAATAACAGAAACTTGCTTTCCATATTATATTTTATTTTATTATATTAAAGTGGTAGCAGAGCGTAAACAATGGAGCAAGCATTAAATGCGAGTAAGATTCAAATTGGGAAACTAGATTCCAATAATTATAAAACATGGAGATTCAAAATTCTAATCGTGCTAAAGGCAATACCAGGAGGCATGTTCATCCTCGAAGGGAAGAAGGTAAGACCATCCTTGGCGCTTTCGGCTACTGGCGATGCAAAGGCTAGTTATGAAAAAGATCTCCAAAGTTTTGAAAATTTGAATAGCGCAATTTTAATTCTGTTGACAACAAACATGTCAGATGATATTTTACAAAAGTTTTTGCGATTTGATTCTGCTAAAGATATGTGGGATGAGCTAGAGCGCACCTATGGAGGTACGTGTGTAGACAAGACATACAACTTATGCCTGAAATTCTTCAGTTACAAAAAGGACCCAGAACATGACATAATTACACATGTGTCAATTTTAAAGAATATTTGGAGCGAGCTATGTACGGAATTGCAGAGTGAAACAAAATTACCTGAAATTCTTTTAATATGCAAGATACTAGATACATTACCTCCAGAATATCTTGGTTTTAAGTCCAGTTGGCTGTTGATTTCAAAAATGGAAAGATCAGTTGAAAATCTGACAAGTCAATTGTGTGCACAAGAGAGAGTCCTGCGTCAAGACACAAATGTCACAGAGGAGACTAGTGCAGAAGCTTTGTATACAAAAACAAATAAGGGTAAGAAAAAGAAGAATTTTAACGAGCCTAAATGCAATTATTGCAAGGAAAAGGGACATAGAGTTAGAAATTGTAAGCGGTGGATCCAAGATGGAAGGCCGCCCAAGGAAACCAAGACCGCAAACACGAACCTGACTGTTATGACAATAGATTCGGCTGATTTTGGAGAAAGGAAAGATTTAGAGAATTGGTTCATTGATAATGGGGCTACCAATCATGTTACCAATCGAAATGATCTCTTTCAGACCTTCAAATATTTCAAGAGCCGTCATACAGTGACTGGCGCGAATGGCCAATATATTGAAGCCCTAGGCATCGGAAATATTCTTGCAGAGGCTGATGTAAACGGAAATGCAATACCGATACTACTGAAGAATGTCTGGTACGTACCCAGCATTAGCAGGAATTTATTTTCAGTACTTGCAACCCACGACATATCTGACAACAGTGTTTTTGAATCTACCACACTAAAATGTACACTAAAGATTGATGGACAGGTAAAGCTGATTGGCACCCGCAGCAAGTTTGGAGGACTCTTTAAAATTAATATAAGATGTCTGGAACCAACTGTACGAGTCAATCAGGTGTCCACAAACACAAATTTGTTACAGCTATATCATGAAAGATTTGGACATCAAAATAAAAGCCATGTGAAGAAGGTGATTGAAAATGAGTTTCATATAAAAGTACCAGTAACCAAGGAACTCTGTGAAGGTTGCATCTATGGCAAATCCCATAGACTTAAGTTTGGGACCCGAGAGAAAGCAACGAGACCTGGAGAACTTGTATATGCTGATGTTTGTGGACCCTTCCCATATTCTATCACAAAGTTGCGATATTTTGTTCTCTTCAAAGATGATTATACAAGGTACAGATTTGTGTATTTTATGAGGGAAAAAGCTGAAGTACACGCGAAATTGCTACTTATGCTTACTGAAGTAAAAGCATCAGGAGTTGTCATACAAGAACTTCTTAGCGACAACGGTGGTGAGTTTGTCAACGCGAAGGTACAAGCTACTCTCAAGAAGGAAGGTATTGTGCAAAGATTGACAATGCCCTATACGCCACAACAAAATCCAACAGAGCGAGACAACAGGACCGTTGTGGAAATGCCGCGGAGTCTAATGTACGCACATGCAAAAATTCCTCCTGCACTTTGGGCTGAAATGATATCTGCTGCGGTGTACATCTTAAACAGAACAGGCCCAACCTCTGTGGATGGAAAATCACCGTATGAGTTATGGCACCAGAAGAAACCCAGACTGAGTCATTTAAGAATAATAGGATCCATTTGTTATCCACATGTTCCCAAGCAAAGACGAAAGAAGTTAGACAAGAAGGCACAAAAAGGAATATTAATTGGATATGACTCTGACAATGGCTACCGTATTTGGGACAGCAACTCTTTCAAACTGATTCGTTCCAGAGATGTCACTTTTAATGAGAATCCTTTATTGGGTCACTTTGAAGAGATTGACGAGCCTGTTACCAATCAGAACAAAACTGCTGATAAAAATTCCAACACCCTGTTTGACTTCGTCATTCCTCGTCAGCATGAATGTTACACGCCGGCCGACACGAGCAACATCCAGCAGACATTGACAAGTCATGATGAAAGTATCGCATCGTCTTCTCAGCAAGATGAACATGCTGCTGAATCATCATGTGCAGAGATTGAAACTGCGAGTGAAGATGACGTGCCAGAGGCTGAAACATTTTTAGAGGCGGAGGAATCCTTTTACGAGCCTATATCCGAAGAAGAGGTTAGCGATGTAATCGAGACAGATCGTCAAGTCAACGATATAAATGAATCGAGGCCAGACCGTAGAGACGATTCGTCTTTATCTGCATCTGAGATCGAGGCTGAAGGCAGGATGACGCTACGAGACCGATCAAATCTCAGGCCACCGGCTAGATACAAAGACTTCATTTGCAACATTTGTATGAATGGCAATTCGATAAGCGATGAAAATCGAAAAGAGCCAAGTACATTTCAAGAAGTGATGGCATCTAAAGATTTTGATGAATGGAAAAAGGCAATGGATAATGAAATTAATTCTCTAAAAGAAAATGAAACATGGGAAATGGTAGATTTACCCAAGGGCAGAAAAGCGATCTCAAGCAAGTGGATTTTTAAGATCAAGACGAATCCTGACGGATCGATTGATAAATACAAAGCCAGACTTGTAATAAGAGGTTTTTCACAGAAGAAGGGTTTAGATTATTATGAAACCTTTAGTCCTGTTGCAAAGACAAGTACCATAAGAGCATTACTCAGTATAGCTGCTCAAGAAAATCTCTCTCTATGTCAGTTCGACGTTTCAACTGCCTTTCTATATGGCAAATTGAAAGAGGATATTTATATGAAGCCTCCAGAAGGATATTCAAACAATGATGGTAAAGTTTGCAAACTTAAACGAAGTCTCTATGGACTTAAACAAGCACCGAGGTGCTGGAACTCTACTATTACTGAGCACATCCTCAAAGTTGGCTTCATACAGAGTGAGGGTGACCCCTGCTTGTTTAAAAGAGAGGGAAAGAACAAGTTATTAATAGCTTTATATGTTGATGACGGATTGATAGCGTCAGCAAGTTCAAAAGAAACTGAAAAGTTTTTGGACGAAATGCGTCAACGCTTCAAAATCACAACGAAATGCGGTTCCTATTTTCTTGGAATTGAAATAGAACGTAAAGTTGATGGGTCAATCAAAATTGATCAAAAGAGCTATGCAAAGAAGCTACTGCAAAGATTTGGCATGCAGAATTGCAAAGCTGCAGTAACCCCAATTGTTAAAGATAACGTGCTAGCTTCGAAAGACAATACGGATATCCATGACTTTCCATATCGACAGGTTGTTGGAGCATTATCCTATTTGATGGTTGGCACTAGACCTGACATTGCTTTTGCAGTTGGAATAGTGTCACGGAAGCTAGATAATCCAACATCAGAAGATGTAGCGAGAGTTAAGCGAATTCTACGCTATGTTAAAGGCACCCTAGAGTATGGTATAACTTACAAATCTTCCACTGTAGAACGAGGCTTAAGATGCTACAGTGATGCTGATCATGGTGGTGATGAGACGACTGGACGCTCCACCAGCGGCATGATTTGCCTCAACGCCAATGGTGCAATAGCATGGCAGAGTAAACGTCAGACTACTGTCGCAATATCTTCTACAGAAGCTGAAATAATTGCAGCAAGTGAGGCCGCCAGAGAAGTTATATGGCTTAAACGGATCATGAACTTCATGCAGAGTAATACTCAGAAGGAGATTACACCACTCTTTATAGATAATGAATCCGCTATAAGATTAGCTTATGATCCACCTTACGAAGCACACCAGCGAACAAAGCATATAAGGCTTAAACATTTTTTCGTAAGGCAGTGTGTCCTAGAAAAGGATATAAAAGTTGAGAAGGTTGATACCAAGAATCAACTGGCAGACTTCTTGACAAAGCCATTATTTAAGCCTAGGCTTCTAGAACTATGTAAGCTAGCTGGAGCCTCCACTTAACCAACAGTTGCTTGAAGAGGAGACGGAATGTTAAGAAGGTTATATACATCAGTTACAAATTGTCTATCTTTAATATGATGATGTTACCTAGCAACTGTTGTTAATTTGTAGTTCAAGAATAAATTTGTCAATAACAGAAACTTGCTTTCCATATTATATTTTATTTTATTATATTAAAGTATTTAATAAAAAATAATCTTTTTCCATTAATAATTTTAATATTATATTTTTAGAGCAATTTCGCATCACGTTCTATCTGAATCCCTGAAAATACTGATCTAATATTGCTTTTCGCACTACCTCCAATTTCTGAATACGGATATGGAAGGCTGACTGACTGGATTCGTAAATTAAACAATATAACGCACTATTGAAAACGCTGATACTAATCAAAGCCATTCAAAGGTCACGTTTCATCATGACAACTAGAAGTTGTCATGATGAAATTGCAATTGCATTGCATTGTACGTACGAACGACACAAAAGAAGTAAAGAATTCTGGGTGCGTTCATACATACAATGGTACTACTTTGGTTCGTCAATAATCTTGACCGAAATAGAGATTCAAGCAAAACGGAAAGACGGATCTAAGTGCATAAGCTACCATAGAAATAGTTCTACGACTACTTTAGACCATATATTGTAGATTTCATAATAATGTTCATATTTTTCCTAGTTAAAATTTTAATATTAAGATCATGGCAGGTTTACTTTCGTTAATAAGAGGGATAGAACTTACCATCATTTGCCGTACCGGAATGTCCATCCAAAGAAAACATTTCAAGTACATTGCTACACTTTATGGATACTGAATCAAGAAAAGTTTTTATGTTGACCAATAGCGGTATTTTTTTATTCCGTCAATAGCGAGAATTAATAAGCGATGATAAGTGATAAAAAAAACATTAGAAATACTGTTATTGGTAAGAGATTTAGTTCTTATAAAACATTTTCCTGCAAGATATTGTCTACGAACCTGAAGGGACCGAAGACACAACTCGTTCTCCATAACGTGAGGAGTGAAGGCTTGATTTTGAACCCGGTTTAGCTTTAGTAATTTAATTTTATAGCTCTTATCGTATAGGAAACTATAACAGTCAATTGTACTACGTATAATAGATATATTTAAGCGGCTAAGGTGCTTTTGATGCACTCCCCATCCAGAACAAGATAGAACTTTCAACAGATTTATGTACTTTGAAATATACATAATTTACTTTTGTTTGGAGATATAACTCCTAAACTATGTAACATGCTATTGACATCCTCACATCCTAGTTGGAGTGTGGTAATAGCTGTATCTATATTATGACTTGAAACATACAACACAAAATCATCGGCATATTGAGAAATGTACACATTTTGAATGTTTTTGCAAATTTTTACAGTTGCTGCATTATAAAGCAATGGGATGAAGGATCTCCCTCCAAGGACTCTAATTCCTAATTGTCTAAAACTTAAATAGGTTCAGAGGTAGAAACAAATCCTTGAGCCCACACATAATTTATCTAAAGTTTTTAACAAACAAGTAATATTTATGTTATCATATGCATTCTCAATGTCAATAAAAGAAGCTGCTGCCAGTAAGTCCTTAGAGAAGCATATTTGAATATGAGAAACAAAAATTGATAGACTATCAGTGCATGCCGAGCCTTTCAAAAGTACAATTATCGTAAACTATACGCTCGTGTTTTTCGAATATATTTTTTTATGATTTAATTTTACTACCATCTTATGTATCTCATTTTAGGAAACCCTTTTTATAATCGTTTTATTATATTTTTTTAAATCAATTGCACGGATGGCGTAGTGGTTTAAGCGTTCGCCATGCCGCTTACTAATTCGCTGAGTGTTGTGGGTTCGATCCCCAAATGGGACGACACTTTGTGTGATTCACAAATTGTTGTTCTGGGTCTGGTTGTTCTTGAACACTCGGACACCCGTTTCATGTAAGTTTGTAGAGACCCCCGTACACAGGTGCCAGCGCTGCCTTTTTAAAGAAAAAAAATCATTTTTGTAAGATTTTACTTTTTTGGGCATCATTTTTGAGAATTGGCAACGGTAAACATAAACAGCTGGCGGTGACTAGAGATGTGACGGGCTCTAGCCCGTCACATATCTAGTCAATGCACAGGAATTGTCAAACTGATTCAACTCGGTATCGTATGGCTATCGAATAAAACATACGAAATTGATGTGTACGTTTTACGGTTTGTCAACGTTGGTAACCAAGTTTACATACAAGCGTTAAATTTGACATTACCCATACTAACTGACGACCGACGCGGCGATGGTGTGAATTGTTTAGTAGTTTTTTGAGAGCTAAGGGCAATACATCAAACTACCCAGTCAAGTAACACGATTACCAAGCATATTTTTTTCTCATTTGGTGAACATAAGTTTGGTGGACATAAGAAATATATATCAGTTAGATCCGAATGGTTAGTAAACCGTTTTACGCACTAAATTATTATTTAAGTGACGACGCATGCTAACCGTATCCAATTTTGTAGGAACATAATAATGTAGCTTGTGCTTGTAGGTAAATTGTTAAATATATATGCACGCATCGCCTCAGTTCAGAATCAGTTTATAGATAAATCAGTTTTGTTCGATCGATAAAGCAGGATCCGCGAGCACGACAGTATGACTTGAAGTGTAGCGCTCAGCTCAGCGGTTCAGCGTTATCATAAGAATGATAACGCTGAACCGATTTAAACCACCGGCTAACCGAGTCAACGCGCTTCATGCTCAAACCGATTAGTAAAGTCGAGACGTTCCACCACTAGCTGTGACAGCTGTTGAATTACGGACTTTACGGAAGGAAGCTAGATAATTTTAACCTAGTAAATATTCCGAATTAAATGCTTTATATTTGTTATATTTAACATAAATCAAAATGTACAAAAGTACTTTTACAAGTTGGCTCAATACTTTGTTTAAACTCAATGAGTCTTACAAAAAATACAGTGTTATAGCTGCTGTATTAAAAAAACCCACTGTCGGCAAAGTTACCGAAATAAAGGTAAAACAGTAGCCTAGGAGTAGAATACAAATAAAATGTAAAATATGATGTGTACTTCAATTTTTATATATATTTTAGGGTTGGGTGAAAAATTTACGAAAGCAAAAAGATCTTATTTTTGCCGATGTAAGTGATGGATCGTGTGCGCAAAAGTTACAAATTGTAATTCCAAAAGCCCTTGCAACAAATTCTTTGACATATGGGTCCTCGGTTCATATTACCGGTAAAATATCCAGTAGTCCTAAGGGACAAATCGAACTTCTTGCAGATGAAGTAAATGTTTTAGGACCTTGTGTTGTTTTAGATGGTTATCCATTTAACCCTAGAACAACACACTCACCGGAATACACTAGACAATATCTCCATTTACGTTCAAGAACCAACTATATGGCAGCAATTCTAAGAGTAAGAAGTGCGCTAACAAAACACATACATGATTATTATACTTTGAAGAAGTATACTAACATAAATACTCCTATTTTAACTTCCAATGACTCCGAAGGTGCTGGGGAAGTTTTCAAATTACAACCAGATAATGAAGAGACTGTAAAAGCTATGATGCAAGAGAATAAAGACAGAGATTCTGTTTACTTTGGTTCCAAGACTTTCTTAACTGTATCAGGGCAATTACATTTAGAAGCAGCCTGTAGAGGAATGGGTGATGTTTATACATTGGGGCCGACTTTCCGAGCTGAGAACTCGAGATCTAGGCTTCATTTATCAGAATTTTATATGTTGGAAGCAGAGCTGGCTTTCTGTAAAACTATAGAACAATTACAATTAGCTATTGAAGAATTAATAAAATATATATTTGTAAATATTAGGAACACAAATGAACCTGATTTGTTTTTGATAGATAAAAAGAATGTATCTCCAACATGGATTGATAAACAATTCATAACAATAACTTATGATGAAGCTAGACAGATTTTACAGAAGAAAGGAACAAATGTGGCTGATGAAGGCATTAATAAAGAGCAAGAATTGACACTTGTGGAACACTGTGATGGGGTTCCAGTCTTTGTGGTTAAATGGCCTAAAGATATGAAGTCATTTTACATGAAGGAGTGTGAAGAAGACAAAACAAAGGTATTTTTTTTTTTAAACAACAGCCTGCATTAGGAATATATTCCTGTGTCGTGGGGGACTTTACAAATATACATGAAACGGACACAAAGAACACCCAGACTTAGAACAACAATTTGTGGAATACACAAAGTGTTGTTGTAGTAGGAAGGGGTATGGCGACCGCTTAACCAATACGTCATCTGCCAAATTACTAAAGCAGTTTGTGCCATTATCTATATAAATTAAATTTTATTATTTTTAATTCTAAGCTTAACTCTGTGCATTTGTTTTTCATAAGCTTGTCTCTTCCGTTTGTTCTTATGAATTTAATTCGTTTTAAGAGGCTCAATTCATAGTTATAATATATTTGTGCAATACAACAGTCATAACAGTCTTCTTAATTTCAGGTGGATGCTTTAGATCTCCTAACACCAATCACTGGCGAAGTAGTTGGTGGAAGTTTAAGAGAAGATGATTATAAAAAATTAAAATTAAAATTACCATCTGAAAAATTAAATTGGTACTTAGAATTGCGGAAATTTGGTAATATACCCACTGGTGGGTACGGACTAGGCTTAGAAAGACTACTTCAGGTGTTATGTAATGTACACAATATAAAGGATACAATTCCCTTCCCTCGATGGCCACACAACTGTGACATGTAAAACATATGTAATAGTAATAGGCTAGTTGACTCAATTTAAAAACTTGGTTAATTAAATACTTTAATATCTATTTCATCCCAAAAACCCTATATTTTAAAGAATAAGCAATATTTACTTTACGTATTTTGTATTTAAAAAAAAACAATTTAAATTTCCCTTGAAAACGCTGAATAGTGTCATGGCGTCATGAATGACGTCACAGTCTGCGAAATAAAACTGTTTACATCTGTGTCCAGTGTCAACTGTATTCTAAAAATGAATAAGGAGTAACCTGCTCTGTTGTATGAAAACGCCAACAACAACAATGATGTTTTGCATCATTGAGTTAAAACAACACTAGAGAAGCAAACCTCATTATCACACGTCGAAAAAAGTGTAACCACTTTTGAACTTTGACGACGTAGCTTTGATACCACTAAACATTTGAAAGTAAACATATTTATGTCTCATTTACACGCGAGACAAGAACAATACCATCGCTCGGATTAGACAAAGACAAAGATATAACTTTACGATGGTGGGCCAGTGTTGACTACCGTATGAAATTTTACCCATAACAACTAAGAAACAATTTTTTTTTTAAACAATTTTGTAATAAAATAAATTAATTTAAATATTCTAAATACTATATTTCGAATTGAATAGAATAGGTATAAATAATAAAATAACTGGAAATATTTGGTTAAAAGGGTTTATATTCAGTGTAATATCAAACTGCGCTGTGAAGCATCAGTTTTGTATACAATTGTCTTTTAGACTCTTTTTTATAAGTTTGTGTGGATATTTTACTTTCATGATACACTCTTATTTTTACGTATGTAAAAATAATAGCATTTAATAATAAAAGTGAATGATCAACTTGTACTGATAATAAATAATCCCCAGGGTGTATTGCAAATTCTATTATAATTTAAAAAACAAATAAAAAAAATATATTTTTATTTTATAAAAAAAAATATTTATGTTTATTTACTTTTTTATTTTATATTTTTATTTTTATGATAAACATTTATTATTATTCTCTTTATTAAATTTTATATATACATATTAATTACATTTTTAAATATATTACAAAAGAAATAAAAATACATTTAAAAATATAAAAAAATAGTAGACCACCGACATCGGGTACAGGTACCAGGACACCAGTGGTTAGGACTGCAAAGATAGGAACCTACTCACTATACGAGCCGCGTCAAGGAGGACTGCCTTCTGTATCTTATTATTATTATTATTTTGTACAATTATTATTTAAAATTGATAATAAATTAAGAAAAACAATGAATTAATTTTTTTGTACAAAAGTCTCCAGCAGAAGAAGTTGGCAGAAGTGCCAAGCTCGCAGTGAACGTTCAACGGGTCCCTAAAAAAAGGGATCGGTCCAGCCCTAACAACTACCGTTCTTCCTATATTTTATTATTATTGGCAAAATGTTTAAAAACAGTATAAAGCATATTATTTCATAAATTATAAATTCTCCCACTAATCTGGGAAAACCAAAATGATTTTTTAATGGTAACACTGATTCTAAATTACAATTATCAGTGTTTTATTTCAATTATAGCCTTATTTACGATATTATCAATACAAAAACCATAAACTTACACGTGAAAAGTAATTCCGCATGATTTATTAATGTTTTGTGACCTTGAATCGCATTCTTTCACTACGCATTTAGCCATTTTGGCGATTGTTACTGTCATGTGTCGCTATGTTCAACTCGGTTGACGCCACATTGAATAATGAATTGACGTTTGCTACGCATATGCCTGTGGACATATGTGCAGTAGCAACGATTTTAGGCGGTAATTACTCATCTATGTAAGTATTATATCAATGTTTTGCATGGCGTGACGAAACACTTTCTGATTGGTGTTCGCTGTCACGTGACTTAATGCCTATATTGTACGAATTTATTTAAAAAAATATTAATAATCTTTAACTTTTATGAGAAATAGACTGGATTTTTCTTATCTATATCCCTTCACTTATAATTTGAAACTATAAACCAAGCAATTTGTTATTAGTGGAAACTAGCCTATTATAATAGACAGTAAGCATGATTAGGCATTCAATTAGCCATATTGTGACTTGATATTGGTTGTAAATGATCATGTGTAATTGTAATAAAACAGTATGTATGTATGCATACTTAAGCAAAACTTTGTAATTTTTTACCACCCTTTCCTCTCGTCAACCAAAGTAAGCAAAGCTCTTACATGCTTAGGTAAACATTGTATTTTTAATCTGTTCTGATTTCCTTAATGGTTCATGAGCAGCATTTAACAAGTCTAGAAATAAGGATTCTGTTGGGTGCTTTCTATCGCTATTAGGTCGATGATAAGACGGCGTGCCTGACATACGTGGAGTTAAAATATAAAACCAAGGCGCGCACCTCTAAATTATCAAAATTTAAGTGCGGATTTATAGCACTACCACAGTAATGAGGGATAACATTCTGAGGAAACCTTCACATCTAGATATGTAACCATGATCTAACTCGTCTGGTTTTCCTGCCTAAAGGTAACGAAGGTCAGATGCCAATCGCTTCAATGTAATAACCAGAGTCGTCAAATTCTGGATCATGGTCGTAGCCTGAACCCCAAAGTGAGAGCTTGGGAAGCAACCATTGATTCACCTATTTTAATATTTGAACAAATTATTGACATTGCATTTAACTAATAATAGAACAAAATATAGTAAAATTTAAGAAGTCAACTTATTTTGTACCATTATTATTATGTGTGAGGGTGTATATGTGGATCCACAATGCGTTTTGGGATTTTCCTGAATGGGTGTTTCGCTTTCGTGTATAGACAAGTTGGGTTGCCATGTGTTGAAATCAAAATCAATTTTGCAGCAAATCCAGATAAGTAAATATACTCAAAATCAAAATATTTATATTTTATAAAATTGTTTGAAATCGTTTTAGACTCGTAAGTCACAGATTAACACACAATGGCAACAATCTGTTTTGTCCATAGATATATAAACATCGAGAGAACACGGGGTACTGCTGCTTGTAAAAGGCAGCGATACAGGCAACAAGTGAGATGGATACCTGATATTTCCCTCCGTCTCTGTTTAACTGGCTACTTATTAACCCCTCGTATTCCCAACTGCTATTCAGAGCTCGACTAGAAAGAGATAGAAGGGACTATCTATTATCCATCTCTCTCGTTGTCTATTTTGTAAAAATGGGGCTCTTGTTCTCTCTAGGTTAAATCTCTATGAATTGTCAAATTGCTGACGTAATCACCATCCAGATTCCCCATCCCGCATGTCATCAAAAATAAGCAAATCAAAGACCCTCATCCCCCTTTAGTACTTACTTTAATGCCTCTAACTTTTATTGTCTCCTGCCTATAATTTATTCAGACTTGTAAATAAAATTTGTGTATTGTTCAAGTGTGTATTATTTTTCCTCCAAAAATATTTACTGTTCTCGCAATGGAATCATTTATTTTAATTTCATAGATGCCGACATTTTCTACGTTTCTGGCATTTGGTCTGGAGCATCTGAATGTTAGATAATAAATTTTGTTGGTTGCGATACGGGACGACAAGGATTAAGGGATATCTTAGTTAAACACAATTTAGTTTAGTTAATCATTTATTTATAAATTAAACTAAGTAATGTGACATTCACATTGTGATAGAACAAAAGTTTATTGGTACAAGACCAACATATGATTGCTTTAATATTGGAATAATTAACCTGACACCATTTTTGTATTCAAATAGTTTGAACATTTTAATTACTATTTTTCACTATGCTTTTTAAACTAAAAAGGAAAAGATGTAGGTAGATAAAGAAAGAAATCTCAATAAAACAAAAGCACTTATAATCAGAGATTCTCTATAATTAAGTATATACACTCAGACATTCATAAATCATACAAGTTCATACAAACAGTGCAAAGTAACAATTTGTACCCTTAAAAAATTTACTACAAATATTTACAAAATTCACCGTATTTACACTAGTACATGATATACAACATTAATTCGTAAATTGTAACAAATCAAACATACAGCCGCTGTAAGATAAGTCGTAACTTAAGTTTAATATCACATTTTGTTTTTAACAATTCATAGTACGCGGCCGTAATGCATATTATCTACGGTGACTGAAATATACACTCCGATTCATCAGTTCACCGTCAGCCGGCTGACATAGCATTTTTGGGGTTTCTTAAGGCAATGATGTACAGTTGGTAATAACCTAGAAGAATATCTATTAGCAAGCTACCGTACAATTAAATTTTTTATCTTATTAGGCTTAAACCACTGTACGTGTCACGTTATAAGGCTGATTAGTATTTTTTGTACATGGAGGTTTTTCACTCATCTATTATACAAGTACGCTGGTCTAATATTCTAAAAAAAATGACAGTTGCTTTTGTGCAGTTGTGAAGCGCCTTTCACGAGGGTCTCGGGAACTAAATTTGACAAATGTCAAATGTTGATAAATATTGATGTGATTATTCCATATCGATGTGTCAATCTATTTTTTCACCGAGTTTCTTTATTGGATATATTTATATTATTTTATTATAAACTTTCCATTTCTATTAGATGATTTTACAAGCCTTTTTCAAATTTCTGTAAAAAATTATAAGTACTAATACATATAGGTATATATGTATATTAGGTTTTATACATTGCAACAAAAAATACTTAATGTAACTGGTAAAGAACGTAGTTTTATGGTCACCAAATTATTTGTAATAATACCTACATTTTTTTTCAATCTGTATTTTTTATTTTTATTTTCGTATCCTATACATTTACCTAATCTTTGACTTATTTATCGAGCGAAACGAGATCTTATCAAAAGCGGAAAATTAGAGTTTGAATGTATCGTGTGTGTATATTTATTCGATAACAATTAGAGTATCGCTTATCCGATCTTCACGACATTTTGCAAGTACATTTCTGAAGCAAATATTTATTTTACGAACGTTTATGGGCGTAGTCTAGTTGTTGTCGAGATACGAAAGCCACCTCTTATTTACAAGGCGAAAAGAGAAAGATTTTAATGTAACTCATAATAAAGATTGAATGAAATTAGAAATTAGGTTGTAAAATTGAGTAGTAAGTTTAAAAATAAAGTAGAAATTATAACAAGAATTTATATCGATTAAGTGTTGCGATACTTTTTTATCGCTGGTTATGTCTCATCCCTAATTTTAGTTACACGAAACTTTACACTGTTTGGCGAAAATAAAATGGCTTCAGTTTGATAAATACATATTCAGTCCAGCGTACTTTTATTATAGAAGTCAGTGAGGTTTTTACGAAATTGATTGCAGCCAACTCGCAAATACAACAACAAAACAAGAGACATTTAAGTCAATGGTACTGGTTATATCGCGGTTTCACGTATATGCCATGAATAAACGAAACTATCAGCTTACAAGATAGTTAAAAACTTATTTTGACCGGTAACCAACCGGCCAAAACCGGTGTTAACCAATTCTTTACCAATTACTGGAGCCCTAACCACTCATGCCCCTGATTCTAGGGGGAGTTGAAGGTGTCTATGGGTGGCGGTAGCCACTTCCTATCGGCTAACCCACGTGCTCATTAGCGCCCTATCTATATTAAAAATTATTAACTAAGGCCTTTTTCTTATCATTATTTATAGATCATCTAACAACTATGTTCAATGCTTCATTAAAAAAGATAGCCAAGTTCATTTTAGTAAATCGTCAGTACCTAATCTTAGATATCACCAGATTTATTAACTATATTTGTTTAGGAATACTACATGTATACATTTTCATTCCTAGATTTCTATACGTAGTCTTATGAGCATTGAATTATAATCACGTTTTCGTGAATATCTCATTTGGTCTTAAGATGACTTGCGCATTTAACTAGTTTGAGCATTCGACGCAAAGTATTTATAGTTCATTGTGTTAAGAAAATAGCCCCGCATCCTGACCAATCAGATTCCAAGCTTTCGTAAACACTATTTTCTTAAAGCGAATAGACTATAGTGCGTTCGATCACTGCACTAACCCCTATATTGATTTCGATAAAATACATTAAAATAAGTCCAGTAGTAGTTAAATACTACCCTAAAATTAACTTGTAGTCCCCTTAACTCTGGACGTATACAACCTACAGGGGTTAGAAGAGTTTGTAAAGACACAAAACACTTTGCGGGAATCGAACCCGCCGTACCGAACACTGCACCTTCCGTGCAATCGAGGTATACAGGATTTGGCCAAACAGTAAATAATTTGTATTACATAATTGAACATAATCCCGACAGTTCATTGCCTTTACACACAGGAGGTTGTCTGCTAAATTGAATACCTTCTAAAGAAGGCTTCAACTTATATTCGAGCTCCGGCTCTTCACCCGGCGGTAGTGGCTCGTCGTCTGCGCTAACGTCCTCCAGTAAGTTTTTATCCTGTTCGTGATTGGTAGATACGAATGTTGGTAGTGACTTGGAAATGTTGATACGGATTCCGCCGACTGGTAGGGTGTTGGCGGGAGAGTTAGCTGCGTCCAGTTGCAAGTTGCCGTCGATAGATGACTCTACAGTCGCGTGCGTCGTGTCCACAGAAGCAGGGATCGTCGATTCTTCTGCTGTTATAATTGGTTCGTCGTCTGTAAAGAATACGAAAGTTAAGTGATGTTTATTCTTTTAGAATTTTACAATGGATTACTAAAAAATCGTGAGAGTAACGTACCTGGGTCTATAGGCTCCTGTTTGATTTTAATCTTGCTAAAGTCTATTTCAGCCTGGCGGTCCCTCTCAGCTCTGGTAGCGGTGGTCTCATCGTCGGTGTCGTTGTCATCATCTACGACCACTTCCTCCACCGGGTCCGCTTTGAAAACAACGTCATCCTCATCGCCTTCATCATCTTCTTCTTCGACAATCTATGGATAAGAAACATACATGTTAACGTGGGGAAAATCAAAACCAAAATCGGTACTATTGAATACGAATCCCTTTAAAAAAAAAAATTACCTCCACAGGCTCGGACACATCTTTATCTTCAACGACTTCCACAACAGATTCATTATCCGATTGGTCATCGATCGTTTCGTCGACGTCCTTGATTTCGATCGCCTCTTCCTCCATCTTCTCGACGGGCGTGACGTCATCCGAAGACTCTTCTTTGGCCGGTTCTTCTTTATTCAATGACGTCTGTGAGATACGAATCGCGGTTAGGTTTCTTTGAAGAATGATAAAAAGGATTTATAGAAGACTAGCGGACCCGACAGACGTTGTCCTGTCAAATTTGACACTGCGATGGTAGCGCCGTCTGTCGGATCCAATGTAAAACATTCCAAAATCAACAACTACTAATAAATTAAAAATTAATTAAAAAAACATTGTCCAGCGGACAAAATTGTGAATCTAAACCATTCCCAGATCCCCTTGAACACACACAAAAAATTTCATCAAAATCCAGTCCAGTCCAGTCGTTTGAGAGAAGTTCAGTGACATACACACTCATAGAAGAATTATATATATAAAGATATGGAAAAGATAAAAAAAGGGCGTTCGGGCACCTTGTAGTCTTCGAAGCAGAGCGGATGGTAGTAGTCGTCGTCGTGCTTGACGGCGTTCCGCAGGTGCCACTCCTCCTTGTCCTCGTTGTAGAACTGCTGGAACGGGTCCCCGCACAGCGCGCACGTGTGCGCGGCGGGCGCGCTGGCGGCGGCCGAGGGCGCCTCCGCGGCGCTAGGGCTGCCCCCCCCTTCGCCGCCCTCCGCCCCTGCCGCGCTCGCCCCCACCGCGCCGCCCGTCTCGAACCAACTTTTTTCTGAATAGAAAAGACGTCGATGAGTCTCGTGCGACGCAACGAGGGCGATAAACGTCAGCGAACGTTCGTCGTCGTCACCTCTCTCCTCCAGGTCCTCGACCTCCTCGTACTGCACCCAGTCGGACAGGTCGTAGTGCCAGTGGCGCGAGTGCGCCCGTCGCGCCGAGTCGCGGTCGCGGCGGTTCTGTCGGAAGTGCCAGTCGAGGTGCTGCGAGTAGCGCACCGTGTGCTCCGGGGGGAAGCGCGCGCCGCAGCCCGAGCACTGCATGCCGCCGTACAGCCGCGACACCAGCCCGGGTTGCTTACTGTCGATATGACACCCGTTTTTAATCACGTCAGATCACACATATATTGACTTAATTTTATCAAAACAAAACCCTATCAAAGCTGTTTAGGACTTTTCGACTCCCCTGTGACTTCGCTGCAAATAAAGCTAAGGCCTAAATTTTTAATGTACAATAAAATATTATTTACTTGTACCTAACTGTTCATGTTACACCTAATTTGAATCGACTACCGAAGCCAGGCAAATCTAAATTCTGACCTACGGCATAAACGACATTTAGAGATATGCGATTGCAAGCTACTTTTGAAATTCATAAAAGTTTTCATCACTTATACCCGATTCCCACTACTAATCAAAGAAAATATGTGTAAAAACCCGTAAAAACGTTTAAAAAAGTATACACATAAAACGCAATCTCCTGAAAAAGTTCAGCGTAATTAATTAATATACAAGAAAATACTTACACTCTCAATGTTTCAGGTTTCATGAAATCTACTCGATGAATCACATTTTTATCTTCTCGAGGCTTCTGTTTAACTTCTTCGACCTTTTCTTCTTTATTCTCAGTCTTAGGTTCGCTCGGCACCTGAACTATGCCAGACGCTACTAATTTAGCGAACAAATCATTAACGTTAATGTTCATAGGAAGTGCTAGTGGAGGATTAAGTGGTTTTTCCTCTGACGGGATTTCCAGACCTGGGATCGTGTCAGGCTTGGAGAATAAAGGTTCCGCGAGGCTATATTCCGAGCTGGAAGCTTCGACGACGCTTGATGGCATCACACTCGCTAGCATATCGAGACCTATAAAAAGTACCATGATTAGAAATCAAGTAACGAAAATTTGAACATATTTAAGAAAATCAAAAGTATTTAATGGCAAAAATGCAAACTTACCTAAGCTCTCAGTGTTGTTGTCTGGGCTTGGACTCTTCATTGGTCTGTTTTCTGGTTCTGGATCAGTTTCCATAGCATTATTCTCTGGAACCTGGACCTCAACTTTTTCAACAGGTGGCACCAATGGCAAACCAACACCTTCCATATTAGTGATCTGAATGTATCCAGGTTTAACATTTCTAGGTAATGCCGAGAATCTAATGAAATACTTTTCTTTACCAACGAATATTGGTTTTGGCAATTCACCAAATGCTACTTTAAATGGCTGCTCGTTTATCAAAACAGTTCTTAACGAGTCCACAAAGCGAATAGTTAAAAATTGACCATTGACTAATATCTTTTGGACTTTGGCATCCAAATATATAGGAAACATTTGAGTAGCGTTCACTATAAGATTAATTTTGCCAGCAACTAAATCTGTGCGTTTTATTTTGCCAATATCAACTTGAGGCATGGGTCCTTCTAAATGAACTAATCTTGGCTTTCCGTCAATAATTACACCAAATGGTTGTCCCCCGAAGAAACATTCATACCAACAACCATTTATGTACAATTCTCTTGTAGGTGCACCGAATTTGATGTCGAATACTTGGTCATCAATATCTACTTGCTTATAATCTTCATTAAATGTCAGAACTATGGAGTCTTTGTTGTCAAATGTTACTCTTCGACAACCTGGTAAGAACTTAATTTCTCTAGGATCATCCCACTCCAACATTATTACTGCTGTATCGCCATAGAATCTTATCTCTCTAGGAACGCCATCAATTTGAATTGTTTTGACTGGATCTTGTTCTATATATTCCAGAACTTTGAAATCGGTGGGTGGAATAGGGAAACTTGGAGCACCCAGAGGGGGAGGAGACTCTACCCTTTCGTAAGGTGCAAGAGGACATTGGCCTTGACAAATGCCGAGTTTAGGTGTAGGTAACGGTGGAATTGGCATTCGTGGAGGTTCAACAAAAGGAGGCCTTGGAGCCCTCTTATCGAATTTTCCTCTAAAGTAAGGAGGCATTTGACCTCTATACCTCCTAGAACCAAAATCATCTCCTCTAGGTCGCTGCTGACCTCGCCACATCGGAGGGTACGGGCCGTACATAGGCATTGGGGGTGGGAGAGGTAGTAATCCATGCTTAGGACCATCAACGCCATCGCAATTTGGGACTACCCTCATGTCGGAATCCTGCAGTCCTTGGCTATCAGGTGGTGACTTCATGAACACGGAGGGAGTTATTCTTTCATCTATGTCTCCGAAATTATTTCTCTCGCTCGGGGAAGACTTAGGGCTCATTACTTTGTGGTTTGAATCGTGAATAGCATTATTGAGCTTTCTCTTTGAAATTTCTAGCGACTCCCTTTGCTTTGCTTCATTGAGTTTCAGTCTTTCGTTCAACTGCAGTACTTGGTACATGAGTGTATTGTATTGATTTTTATCAAGTTGGCCATCGTTCAAATGCTCTTTAGCCTGTGACATGATGATAGATATTGATTTTTTATTAGTAGTCATGTTGAAGTTCTTGTCGAAATCCTGATCTTCAGCACGAAGATCAATATCTTCGCCGCTAAGAGTGCGACGCCTTTCCCTTTCAAGACCTGCAAAGAAATTTCATAGATTAATTTCACGAATATTATAAAGCTGAAAAGATTTTTCTGTTCGGTTGAACGCCCTAATCTCAGGAACTACTGCTCCGAACAGAAACATTATTTTACTGTAGATAGCTCATTTATCGACGAAGGCTATACAATATCACAATACCACTGATAAGAGCCGAGTATTCATGAAAATTGTTGCAAAAGCATTAAAGTTATTTTATTTTTAGTTGTATTTTTAAAAGTTGTTTGCAAAAAGACTACATAAATTATAGTACAACAAACATAACGAAATCAGAAACTTACTTGGTGATTTACTAAACAGCAATGGCCTTCCAAGCCTGTCTTTTCCTTTCGTAGCTTCTGCAAGTTTTGCCCTCACCAAATCTAACTTCGAAGGTGTCTTTTTATCATCTCGTTTCTTCACTTCATGCCAATCTCTCTTTGGGGAACCTTTCGGTGATAACATTGGAGCTTCTTGTTCATCGTCTTTACTATCAGACTTCGGTGATGATGTGATGGAGGGCGGAGGAGGAGCATTAATTTCCTCGACTTGTGGGAGCTTACGAAGATCGACATCCTCGTTACCGAATAGGCTGTTAAAAAAAATTACCTTGGTTATTTTTCTTCTTATAATCTATCAGCATTAAACTTCCCCTGTTTAAAAAAATAGAAATTCCCCTGTTTAAGAAAATTACCGTCTCATTCAATCGATTTGCATAGAGTACCCTTTGTCTAGAAAATATTACGGCCCCTGAAGGATAGAAAAGTACTCATAGGCGAGCGAAACCGAGGGCAAAGCTAGTCTAATATAAAATAATGTAATATAGCAATGAGTTAGATTACAGATTACCTATTTAACACACAACAACTGGCACTTGCAGATACCATTGCCTTGTCCATGAATCTCTAGAGAAACATACCAGCAACATTGGGTTTTTATTTGGGAAAAATAAAAATCAGATGATCTAATTGTTGGATAGTAATATGCACTCTAAGATCACAGAGTTAACAGATAATTTCCTTTGTTTTTTATGGTTTAGGGGAGAGAAACGAGCAAATGGGTCACCTAATAGTAAGTGACTATCGTCGCCAATAGACACCAGCAACTAAGTCATAAGTGCGTTGCCCCCTTTTAGAGGGTGATACATGTCAGTGTAGAAACTGGCTCTTAAAAATATTGTAACTTGAAAGTTTAAAATTACAAAATCAAAAAATCACCAATTTAAAAAAAAACCCTTTCAATGTTTTATGTAAAAGGAACCTATAGGATGGACGAAAAAAAACATCATCATTTTGCGTATTGAGGGGATACCATAAAAATATATTATATAAGATTTTTACTACTTTACATATAAATTCAAATTTACAAGTTTCTAGCACTAACACAAGTATCGGAACGGCGGACGGACAGACAGACAGAAAGAAAAAAATGACAACACTAAGGGTACCTTGTTAGGACTTCGAAACTCTAAAACGACTGAAAAGTTGTAACAAAACCAATACGTCTTTATACAATAAATAGAAATTAGATATTTATCAAAGTACTTACACGTCAAATTTATCAATTTTATTCTTCTTGGCTTTAACTTCCACGTTTTCAGTAGAGTGCCTCTTCTGAGCAACCGGGGAAGCTTTGGACTCGGTGACGACAGGATGCAAGACCCTAAGATCAATATCCTTATTTTCGACAACGACTTCTGCGGGCACATCTGTAAACAAGATTTCTTGTTTATGTAAATAAGGTGGAATTTCCTTTGTGCTTTTTATATTGCTGAATTACCTCTTTACCTACAACCAGCTGTTGGTATACTAACGTAACTTGCCTTGTGTGACTCTGAACATATGTTACCTACCTGTATATTTGTACGTATTTTTCATTTGAACTACTTCCTACCTACCATACCTACACTTTCTTGCACAGAAATAACATATTACTTTACAGTTTATGTTAATTTCATTTATACCCGTGACTAGTCACAGGTATAAATGAAACTAACATGCAAAAAAATTGAAAAATATTTAACTATAAAATGATATATTAAATAATGTGAATTCAACCTAGTGGATATATTTTATGTGAATTTGAACACGACGAGTGTTGTAAGTCATGGTGGTCAAGAACCCACTGGGGAAAGTCCTGGAAAGCGGAACGTGGGATCCGAATGAAATGAGTGGGGGCTTTGGAAGAGAATCATGTTCAGCAACGGACGTCTTCCATCAGAATTGGTCACTCCCTGCTACTTTGTCGTTGTTTTAAAAATAAGTGAAAAGATGCGTCTGTGAATACCAATTTGCTCGTTGTGCTTTCTAAATGCCTAATGCGATGATTCATAGTTACAATTTTGTTGTATAAATTTCCAAACAACCCAACAACAGGGCATTTAAATCGTGACGGTAGCGCCTCTCAGCAAATATTCTCGTGGTTGTGGGTTCAAACCCTTCCAGTACAATACCGCCGCAGACCCATTACACGTACATGAAAATCAACCATGAAAACTTACACAAAATATATGTATTGCCTAATTAAAATTTTTCTCACAGTATTTAAGGCTTATAAATTAAAGTAAAAAACAGTTATCGCACGATCAACATAAAATAAAATGACAGCCTTTTAAAACCACACATTTTCAATATATAAAACAGTGAAATAGAAAATTTCAGACTACATTGACCGTTTCAACAATTTAGCTTGACATAGAATATTTCCTTGGTAATTAATTACCTTGGGTTAATTAAGGCGAGGTAGTTAGCCTATGGTAAATACCCTACCTATACCACTTTAGAAAAAAAAAACAAACATAGCTGCAACACCTATCTTTAAAAGTTAAAAAACCACATTAGCAAAACGTCACAACTTATTTACATTGGCATTTGGAATTAAAACTAATCAGTCGATTGCATTTTTGGGTCCATTGGTATAACATTTTCAACCTTACAAACCATATGGACACACACATACCAAATACGGAACAGATAAAACATTGGCCTTATAATAAAAAAACTGGATTAAAAACTCGTTCTACATAAAGAAATCTAAAAGTTAAAAAACAACAAATCAAGGGTCAATACTGCTGTACTGAAATAAATACTACCACCAATCAGGTATTCTACCTGCCTATGGAGTAATTCTAACTAAAGTTAAACACACACTGATTACGGTCTTAACCGTAACCGCCTCAAACTGATGCGAACGGCAAACTTTATTATAAAATACGATATCAATTTAACCAATAAGAGGCAAGACCACTTACCTATGCATTTCGTTCGATTTGTAAGTGATTGGAGTTACGAAAAGGCTATAAATAATGACAAATATTGTAATATATAGATTGAATTTAAAACGACGATACAAGGTCTCCTGCTAAACATACAAATTGACCTATCTGCTAAGAATATGCTATAATGATGTGGACCAATGAGTTAATTACTTCAATTTTAGAAATTATGGGCATATGACGTTATTCTTTTATGAGATTAATAATAATTATCAATCATTACGATGAGCAAAATACATATATCTATGTATTAATAAGTGACGAAAATTGTTTGTACCCCCTTTTTAGACAAATATGGCGAACATGTATATTTATGTAGAAAAGTACACAAAGATAACATTTTGAAACAGGATGCGCTACAGAGTTATAATTAATATGTGAACAGCTACATAAAAGTATAAGGATTCAGTATATATTTAGAACTGTCATAGTACCTACAAGTGTGTATAATGGCAGTTCAAGTTATAGCGGCAAATGAAATAACATCCAAAACGAAACAAATAAAACTTTCGTACGAAACGATAAGTTCTTGGAACCTGATGGGTCAAGGGCCGGGACTTCATCGATGCGTCACTATTTTCTTAACACGAATGGACTATAGTTTGAATCGTAACAACTGTTACACACACGCGCAATTATTTTTCACGTCACACGTTTTTTTCGTCACGTAGTATAAAATCACTTATTTTAACTGATGATCAATCAATGAAATCAAATCAATACTATTGTTAGACTGTTCAAAGTTGTCCATCTAACCTCTATAGACCCCTCGCTCTTTTAAATAATATAAAACTAAATAAAATAGTTATAAACTCTCAAAATAATTAAAAACAGGCGAATTCTGATTTATCTTTAGAATATAATTTCCAAAATAATTAAAGAATTCGACTATTCTTGATACATTTGAACTTTTACACATACTAAGAACTATACTATAAATTGGGTAGGTTCAAGTAAAAAGACGTAGTTTGGGGACGTTGCATAACATGTTGGTGCTGAAATGTCAAAAGGGCCGATGAATGGAAATGGCAATGAAGTAGTACCTAATATCTTCGTTTGGCAGAAGACGCAAAGGTCAGAAAGTGCAAAACGTAACTCTATGAGCGTTTGGTGGACAGGATCAGATATGGTATAGGAGGGCAAACAAGCGGATGGGTCACCTGATGGTAAATGGATAACGTTGTCAACGCATGCAACTGAAGAGTAAAAAGTATTGGAACCTTTGGATGGAAAAAACTGACAGGCCGCTACCAAATTTTGTGGGGATTACACGTAATAATAAAACTGCCTTAAAAAAATATTCTACCAATCTTCTCAGTCTATTTCAACAGTTCTAGATGGACAAATCCGACAAAAAAAAACTAGACTGTGTACACGAAATACAAATCTTATACGAAACCAATTTTTAAAGCAACAATAAATCAAGTTTTCATACTTACGTACTTCTAAAAGTAACAGTTATTTATATCACCTTAGTCCACATTCAAATATATTTTTTAAATTCACTGATACGGTTAAAAGTAGTTACGACAGGACCCAGAAATGCAATAGAATTAATGTATTTGAGTTTCAACTTGTGACCAAGCTAAGTGTCCTTTAACTTAATAGATTTTCTCATATTGAAGCTGTACTCCAGTTCCATGATGTCCACGTTGATGATGTCCAGTTTCAATTGTAGAATTCTCAACGAACGCGAAGGTTTCACTTATTATTTGCTCATAACCCAAATAATTGAATGTTCTTTGTTCAATGCAATAACCAAATTGAGTGAGTTTGAAATGTAAGATATAGGAGCACTAATATTTTAAGATCACTTTGTCACAAATATAGAAAACATCTAGTCATCAGATCAGATTGAAAAATTGAGAGCTTCACTAATAGAGTAAAATACTAATTATTGTGAATTCGACAAATTTAAGAAATGGGACAAAAAACAGTGTTGGTTCGGTAAATTCCAGTAGAAGGGTATAAAGTGCTGACGTAAAACACGTTAATATGAATACTCCAAGAGTTAAAAAATATTTTATTTCGTCACAACAAGCGTCATATTCGCTCACGCTTAATACTAACATAACAGTAGTACCGTCACAGTCGGTGAACGGCTCACAAGATATATGGGAATCCTCCCTATTGGATAGCTTACTTGTGGGCGGCGGTTCCACTACGGCTTCGGGGCTGTCGGACTTCTCGCGATTGCGGCGCATGTATCTCTCCTTGTGGTAGTTGCGGAGCTCCTTGAACGCGACGACTTCGGGCGACGGGGGCTTCGGCTCGGGCTCCGGAGGAGTCACACGCTCGCGAGGTTCCTTCGCCTCCTTTCGAGATTTTTTATCAGGCGAACTCGCCTGAGCCGGAGACTCCTTGGGCGTGGGTCGTTCGGACTCTTTCGGCGCTTCTTCTTCCCGGCGCTTTCGTCTCTCTGCGCGGGCGTCCCTTTTCCGTTTATTTGGATTCGGAACGTTCGCGTCCCGTTTCTCGACCGACCGATTAATTTTAGGAATAGGTGGCAGTTTGCTTATTTTTTTCGGGTCGGGGAGATTATCCACATAGGCGGTAGCGGTTCCTCGGTCCGAATCCAATTTCTCTTCGACCTGAGCCCTGCGCTGCTCCTCCCGTCGTCGCTCACGCTGAGCCCGTCGCGGATCACGCTTATCGAGTCTGGGGTCGCGACGCCGCGGATCGCGCACAGTTCGCGTGGCGTCGTCGGGCCTGACGTCAATGGTGATTACATTCTTGCGTTTAGTGACACGTTCGAGAGGTTTGATATCGAACACGTTGGGCGCGATGGGCGCTGGCGGGGCGGGCGGGGCGGGGGCGGCGGGCGCCACCACGGCCACGGGCGGCGCCGGGAGGGCTGCGGCGGGCGGTTGGTGCCGCGCGAGCCTGGGGTCTCGGCGCGCTGAGATTAGTGCTCCACTCACGGGTGCGATGCGACCCGTCGCTTTGTTCACCGGCTGTAAATGTACATAACGTTGAAACAATCCACGAACTTGTAGACTAAGAGAGCTACGCCAACAATGATCTGAAATTACTACAGCTGATCATTTGGCTATTGGTTATAGTAGTTGTGTACAAGTTGTTCTCGCAAGTGCACACATACATACATTAAGGCCGGATTAGCTCTGTTTTTATGCTTCTTGGCTATTAACCGTATACTGACCGTAATCAGTATTGATTACGGTCAGTATTTGTGTGTATACACAACTACTGGGGATGACATAAATCACAAACACATGTAAAAATTCATATGATTTATAAACATACTAAACCACTTCTATTTAATAATTATTTTTATTTTTTTATTGTACTACATTCACACAACGCCATCTAGTCCCAAACTAAGCAGTGCTTGTACTATGGGTACTAGATAACTGATATAAATACATATATACTTTTTTTTTTTTTTTTTGTAAATAAATACTTATTATACATAGAAACACCCAGACCAAATCAAACATTAAATGTGCATGCACACAAATGTTGGATTTGAGCGGGAATCGAACCCGCGACCTTTGGAATAGCAGTCCGTTACACAAACCACTACGCCAACCGGTCGTCATATTATTACACTAGCGCAAGACTCACTAAAGGTCTAAATAAAAAAAAAGATCGTAATCTTTGACTAACGTTAACTTTAAATCTTTTAATTGACTATGATAATGTTGACTGATTTTAATGCCGTTTATGTTTGTCTATGACGAAATCACAATCGCATGTGACTAAAGCCAATCATTTCATCAAATGAATATGATTTTAAAGTATCAATAATTTCCATGTCTAACAACTACTATAACCAATCGTAAAATGATCAGCTGTAGTAAGTTCAGAGCATTTTTAAGCTGGCTCTTTGATTGGACGGGGTATATGTTTGACAACTTTGAAGAATACTATTACCTTTTTCTTATATATATATTATATATTTCACACATCTCACACACGGCCGTCTGATCCCAAACTAGGCAGACAGAACAAATGACAGTGCTCATCACACAATATTTGTCCTGGGTGGGAATCGAACCCACGACCTCCAGCTTAGCAGTCAGAGTCACTAACCATTAGACCCGTCAAACAGGCCCGTCAATTGTTATATATATTAGTAGTCCAGTTACACGATTAGAAAATCAGTGAATACAAATATTAAAGATTACAATTTAAAAAGACATCAGTTTGTTTCGTCCTTTCTTTTCAGAGATAGATCACTTTGGAAAGACCGAATTCATCTGCTCTAAAAAAGTATGATATGCAAAAAAAGTGTTCTTGTAACCTATTTGTAGAAAAAACAATTTCATATCAATATTACTTGAATATAGGCTAGGGTCCTTTAATTTACATTTGGACTGGGCTGTGTAGAAATAATTAATTACACAAACTGGCAGCAGCCGTAAATAGGCAAGTTAAAGCATTAATCGGCTGACACCAAAAGCTGTCGACGACTGCAGTTGATGTCTCTGCTGTTGACAAAGTGCAGCTCCTATATCTCAACTAAACTGTGCACCCTACCTAACCTGCACTATGTCTATACTCTATTACTTCTAGGATGGAAGTCTGTACAGCCGGTAAAACTTCAGCTAAGTTTCAATTATGAACCCTGACTCCCACAGCATAGAAGAGAGCAAGAGGAATTATTTGTATTATTTTCATACTTGTATATGTATTACTAGCTGACCCTACAAACGTTGTTTTGCTATTTACATTATTTAAAAAAAAAAAAAAAAAAAAACGTTCTTAGCTGACCTCTACTCGGTGAAAAGAATATTCCTACCAAATTTCAAGTCTTTAGCTCTAATGGTTCCAGAGACATCGTGATGAGTGACTATATACGTGGAAATCTCATATATATATATATATATATGAGATTTCCACGTACATATATATATATATATATATATATATATATATATATATATATATATATATATATATAGATTTATATTTAATATGCATATATAATAAATATTTTTGGACATATTAATAGTCTTGACATACGTTATTTGTAAATTAGTATTACTTATTTTACGATACTAAGAAAAAAACGTCAACCATATCATGTGAACGATTGTGGTTTGTATCCAATTAATAACTATTAATATTGATTTAGGGCAAGTCACCCTGACTTTTGCTCAGAGGCCACCTAGGTATTTAAAAAGTCAGACAACTTCATGATAAATGCCTACACCTTTTCTGAACACTTTCCTTTTGAGGAATGACGATTGTTTATTGTTCAAATACATCAAAAATGTTTTTTAAAAAGGCCATCTCCAACAATACATAAACAGAAGTATTGTACTTACTGGGCCCAAACGTTGCTTGACCGGAATGTTTCCAGGTGCTTCTGAGACAACTGGTGGTGCGGGAGTTACCGCCGCTGGAATGGCCGTGGCTAGGTTATTCACCACAGTTATTGTTGGAACCTGAAAGGAAGATCTCTATTAGCGGACTTCATAACCCAGTGGGGTTATAAGGACCTTATAACTTAAGGGGGTTATAACGTGCTCATTTCCTTTACAATAATTATTATATACATCATACATCTCACACACGGACGTCTAATCCTAAACTAGACAGAGCCTGTACTATGGTAACCAAGCTGCTGATAAAAATACTTATATTTTTAAATACATACATATTATAGATAAATTACACCCTGGATAGATGTAATTACCTAAAAGAAATGGCCATGCTCATCACACAATATTTGTCCTGGGTGGGAATCTAACCCAACCCACCTTACTAACCAACAGGCCTTAGGAAATAACTTAGGGACTGCCGACAAGATGGTTCCACACCAATATTCTTCAGTGTGTATGTAGATATTTTGTAGAATATATGTATATTAGAGGTTAAAATGGTTTTGAAAAACACCTAGAAGGAGACACTGCTGTTTGTTGGATAAGAAAAAGGTTTTTTTTTACACATACGTTTTAAAAGTGTCGTATTCCTTAGGTTCGTATTGAGACATCAAAATAGACTCTAATAACCTACAATGTACTTAATCAAAATGTTATAAAAGATATATATTACAGTAAATCTTCAAGGATCACATTAAATAAAAACATGTAAGTCTAATAGGTACATTAAAATGAATCATTATGTGTATAGTGCATTCAAAACAATGTATTGCTTAAGTCTGTCTTTGCAATTATTCATTATTCATGTAAGTTTCCGTTTTCCTTATCACTACAATAATAGCACTGGACTTGGAGAATATAAAACTTTTTTAATAATTAGTTTTCTGATAAGTACGTAATTAGTGCCTCCATTAGGATCGAAGTAACTACTCAAATATGCGATAGCGTCCTTACATGAATCGTGTTGATCAACATGGATTGGATCCACGAACACGCCAAAATTGATGTATTCATTAATTACTATCAACCTTGATGCCATCCTTGACCTCGGGCTGTTCTTTTTTTTAAATTTGTTAATTAATTATTTTACTTTATATAAATAATGAATTCCTTTATTATATGAAATCCTCAATCTACTTTTAAACACCAAACAATAGTTTCGTTGAACGGCGAGAATGTTTTTTTTTTACATATAGATTAGGAATTGAATATCTGAGGGAGAAAACTATGCAGAACACGGCACAGCAGAGAGAAGGAAAACTTGACACAAGCCCTATACCAACCCGTCTGGCCGGCGTGGTATACTAGGCCAGAACCTCCTTTCTAAGGAGAGGCATATGTCTAGTAGTGGACTATTAAATGCTGTTGCTGTGGTGATGATGATGTGATGTGATGAATTAAATATAATATAACTTTCAAAGGTATTTTTTATAAATTGAAGCAATGTTTCATTGCAAGTAATGATTACACTTCACACTGCAGTCATGTGTATATAATATTTATAACAATTTAACTGCAAGTGTATAATAGATATGATTTGATAGATATTATCAAACAAATAAACATCACATACCTTTTTCACTGTCTTTTCAGCTATTTCCACTTGACGCCTCATCTGTTCAAGCTCCATCTCCACTTTCTTCCTCTGTAGCATGAGCAGCTCTTGCTCTTTTTTGGCGAGAATACTGCGCATCTTCTCGTCCTCTTCAGAGGGTTGTGCTGGAGTTGCATTGTTACTGGTAGTTGCAGTCACCGGCTGTTGAATAATATTTTCATTAGATACCCGGATCAATTGTTCACCTTTATAGAACTAAATTTGCTAGAAAGCACACTCCCGACTAGTCTGATGAGTGTTTTCAAGTTGGTGTATCCAATCCTAATCAAACATATCTCTAGGTACTGAGCTTGTAAAACTGTCTAGTCCATTTATAAACCGAAGCATTGAGGATTTATCAACATGTAAACCAGCGTTTTGCCAGCCATTTGTCCATTCAGACATTTGAGTATCTAAATCTGTGGTATCTTAAAGAAAATATTTTACTATCAAAACAAATAAAAGCAAGACTTGTAATACAATTATTGTCCTGCTGATCAAAACAAATCAAGTTTTCAGTTAATTAGTTCAATGACATTGGCTGATTGCCTTGTGTGCTACAAATATGCAACAGTGTATTTGCATGCACAGGTGTTATAAATTTAATTTAATAATACCTTAATTTATGTCAGAAAACATTAATAGGCAACAAGTGTAACCACAATCAAATGATTTTTATTTTATATTTAATTGCACCAGAGATCTTGCCAGAACACTTGAGCATCTTAGTCTAAACTCATTTACTGTAGGTACTCATGATGGGCACCGCACAATAAAGTATGGTCATAGATACGCCTGCTATCAGCATATCAATTGCCTTCGAATTTCTTAAGCATCTTCAATGTCATAGGTAGGTCTTTTCTGAGATAAGTATTCCAGTTTATATCACATACCAATTATATTATTCTGTTGACGAGTATCTTTACAATGAATTACTTAACAATAAATGTATGATTATGCAGTCTGTGGTGATAGCAGTGTTATCATAAATGAAATTCAACAAGCGTCATAGATAGATAAGTGTTGGTAATTATTGCTAACTAAACATTGAATTTCAAAACAATAATCAACTAAAAAAACACCTTTTTCAGAAAATTTGGATTTACATGGATGTTTGACTGCTGAGGTTGGGCTTGTATTGGCCATGCGGGGTCGATCAAGTTAACCTTCACATCCAGCTGATACAACTTTTTAGCAGGAAACACATCATGCCAAGTCTCCCGCAACTTGAACATTTGCGACCTGACCTTCTCGTCCACCTGTGAATGGAAAAATAGCATGAGAATTGTCTTAAAATCTACTTAATTATTAATTTTGATAAATTATTAAGTAAGATTTCAATAACAATTACCTGTTTGAATGTCTTCGTAAACATATTGACGATGCTCTCAGAAAACTTCTGTGTGTAGGCACCACCGACATTCTTGATAATGGAATCGACTAAATACAGTACTGGCAGCTTGATGTCAGGATGAACCTGTGTAGAAAAACGAACTTCTAGTCCCAAGCCCCTGAAGTCAAGCCATACTTGACCTTATTACTTACTCCCAAAGCTCAAGGTAATGGGAAAGAATAAGACAAGAATTTGCTTTATCAACATTTTTAATTGTTGTGTCAAAAATAAATAAGAATTCAGTTTTGAAATGCTTTATTATCACAATATCTAGGATATACAACTGAAAAAAAAAAGAATTACAAACCCCTGAATGAATTCTATCTGTAACTCGGCTTTTATTACAGGTATCTCCTATTTCAACATAGAAATTTAACATGAAAACAATATATTTCATCATTTAGTTGTGTCGGTTAAGGATTTGTAACTATGTCGATTCAAATTCTACTGAGTTTCCACTTTGACGACTTTAGAAATGAAGGAAATATTGAACCTATTTTAGTCTGTTTGATATTTTAGGTATTTATTGTCAACTACAACAATATTAGAATACAGAAATTTGGTCCATAGTAATTTTGACTCAGTGTCAAAATGCCTCATGGTAGAGTTTATTAGACAAGAAAGTTGTGCATTGGAGTCTACACTGTAACAATATGGTAATATCATGAGCTAATGTTACTTAATTCCTACAAGAAACTTTGAAGTTCACTTTGTCACATTCCTACTTTACAAATAGAAAATACCATGGCTAAACCTGGCATAGTAGCCTACAGAGAAAGAATATGGTATATTAAGAAAGTAATAGACTCATTCTATGGAATTCTGTAACAAGTAACTTTGAAGATAACTTTGTCATGTCATCATCATCATAAAGCCCATAAATCCTTTAATAGTCCACTGCTCGACATAGGCCTTTTTGAAAATGAGGTTATATCATATATACTCAATTCTATAACAACTTTGAAGTTTGCTTTGTCATATTTTTACTGTATTACATACAGAAAATACCATGACTAAACAACAAAATGGTATTTTCATGGGCAGCACATTCCTACTTCAGATATAGAAAATACCATGACTAAAGATAAAGGCATAGGAGTCTACAGAACAACAATATGGTAATAACACAGGGCCAATTTTTAACATTTCTATATATTAAACATCATGTCTAAAGATGGTATAGTCTATGGAGTAACAATATGGTAATTTCATGGGCTAATTGTACTGTATAATAGGTAACTTTGATGTTAAGTTGGTCATAACTCTGCTTAAAAAATACCATGTTTAAAGGAGGCTTAGTCTACGGAATAACAATATGGTAATTTCGAGGGATAATTGTGCTGAATTCTAAGAAACTTTGAAGTTAAGTTCGTCAAATCCCTAATTAGAAAAAACCATCGACTGAGTCTATAGAAATTGTATGTAATTTTAAAGTATACTAGGAACGTCAAATTCGTATTTTACGTGTAGAAAATACCACGAATCAAAATGTTAAATGTCAACTAACGTCATTCAATGAAATAATGTGAAATTACTTAAAGCTAGGAGATACCTGTTACTGCTTTGACTGGTTACAAACGACGTTGAATTAGTCACTTATCACAATAAAACACGTTAAACACCCAACGAGAGCGTGGGTCAGAATTTTACAAACACTTTCCCATTATTTCCCTTGGGGTCACGTGACCGAGTGGCTCATATTCCGCGGCACCTCGAGCACTATTAATTTTAAAAAATTAAATTCACCTTCTCTAAATGCTTCTCCACTGTTTCAACGATAACCCCGGCGTGGTCGATATTCTCTTCCGCCAGGATAGTTAACATATTTATTAGAGGTTTGCTGTTGACGGTTAGATCCGCCAGACTCGACGCATACTCCTCCGCTACCTCTTTGGACATCTTGATGGTCGACTGTAGCCGTCGATGTCACCATACCAAACACAATCTTCAACTGCACATCACTGTAATTGTAACGAAAAACTAAGCTTTATTTGTTACGTGGTTAGCCAATATGGCGATGATATTTATAAATCCACGTAGTACACTTACGTTATCGCGTATATCACAATACGGTTGATGATAAAATCACACTATTACTATAACAATCTCTCTCACGTACGAAATGATTAAAATATTATTTTGAAACACGTAGAATCATAAATCACTCTAGCGTAGAGAGAGTACATCCGCACGATACGACTCAGACGCAACTTTGACTGTGCTGTGGCCGTGGCCTGTCCCTACATCTGCTCTCTCCGCCCCCCGACCCCCTCCCCCACCCCCGAGTTTTAAAACAAAATGGCTACTACATGGTGTTGCCAGGTATCAATGTAAATTTCACCTATAACTAAAAAAACAGATGACAAAAATTGTTGACGGTGACGAGATTTTTGTAGTTGGCCCTTTAAAACTCTTTGAAAATTTACTTAATTAAAACTGTATTTGTAATATATTCAGTGGGGTACTCCAAAAATTTTTACCGAACAGCAACAGATGCCTACACATACATAAATCTGTAAATAAATGTAAAATACAAATAAAATATATACATTTTTGATGATCAAGTAAAAGGCGTTTATAAGGTAAATAGAGTTCAGTCAATAAAAACCAGCACCTCGGCATGTAACATGACATTTTTGATGATCAAGTAAAAGGCGTTTATAAGGTAAATAGAGTCAAGTCAATAAAAACCAGCACCTCAGCACGTAACAAACCGGATTGCCTCGATTACTGTCAGGTTGTGATGAGTTTTTATGGGCTTGGTTTTTAGATATCAATTTCAACAGTCAATCGTATTTGTGAAATTTATATTATATTTACGGATTTATATTTAATATTACATGTTTTGTAAATGATATGTCCTACTTACTGATTTAAGCCATTTATAAGTTACTATTTGTACCATTTGAAAGCCCACTATTTTTTGGTTAATTGTTAGCCTGGTTAAGAAACTAAAAAACGTTTTTTTATTGTGAAAGTCATAAAGTCGCTACTTAATTTCTTTTAATAACACCAAAGTAACTTTAAAGTATCATTAACATTGATTGGTTATTGCTGTCAAAGTATAAACGTGGTTTTATAATACCAAAACATACATAATTGAAAAATAAAAGTGGTTAGCTATTCCTAGTTTTCGTCAGGGAACAAGTAATAATATATTTCTGGAAATGCAATATTTGATCTGGTAGTATCTAGTTATCAACTTAATTAGAAAGCAAATAGTATATTAATCTATACATATCGAAAACTATAATATCTACGACATAAACTTAATCAAAATGGTTTGTAAAAGTTTTTAAGAAAATACTAGCCTTTAACAACAGCAATATACGTAAGTATATCAAATGATTACTAAATATAATTTTTTCCTTTTTTATCTAAAAATAAAAAAATAAATAGTTCTTTACACCTTACAAAATGGAATAAAATTACATAAGAAGAGGTATTTTAATTCTGTTACATTTGAGTACAAATGGTTGCGACCTTGCAACGTAGTGGTTTTGAAAATAGTTTGTAAAGAAATGACAATAGAAATAAAGCTGATGTTATTTAGATTCTGATTTTGATGCTAACCTACTATTAAAATTTTGCTTTGATGGCTTTATTTCTGTGATGTCATTACATATTTAGAACTGACTTAAACAGTATTTTTTATTCTGAAAATTTATAAAAAATTAAAGCTTTTGTGAATAAGTCCAAAATCAAAAACATTATTGAGTTAACCGTATGCAGCTGCATATGTTATGTTGTATCTAATAATAAAAGCGTATGTGTATTAGCCTGCTGTATTAATAGCATAACTGCTGAACGTATGCTGATCACAGATTACTTTACACATTATACCCTATTCACGTGGCTGTGATTATATTCGAGACTTTAATAAAAAGAAATTGAGGCATTTCTAGAGTAGACTTTATAAATTTCGTCGCCGATTCATATATTTAATGGTTGCTTTTGCAGTACTTCAACCAATTTTTCCTTCGAGTTTAATGCTGTTCTGTGTGTTACCGTTTTCATTTCAAACTGATTTCATAAGGCTTTTAAATAAATTGATTCAACTGGCAGCCCTGGCTCTCTATGATTTTTGACACATTAAATGTAATCAGAATATTATCGAGGAAATCATTCGGAGAAGTGTACAGTAAATTAGATTGTTTTATTTCCTTTGGCGTCTTATAAACTATACAACAATGTCGAAAGTGAATACCGGCGAACTTTTGGACTTTCAAGATTACTCTCCAGAACACAATAATCGGACTGCACGTATTGACGTGGAGGCTGTGCATACAAATCAATATAATAACACAATATCCAATCCTAATTATGCTTTTGAGGAATCTAAAATTACTGAAGAACCTGAAGCCCCACCACAGAGTATGTTTTTCAGTTTATTTGTTCTTTAATGTCCAAACTATATCAAAAAACTTGAATAAAATATGTTATCGAAATTGTAAACAAATCGCTTTTTATCTAGCATCGATTAATGTAGACCCTAACATAATCTAATCACTGCATGAGCAATGCTTTACTAATAGTTTGATATAACTTAAGAGTTATCATAATCTAAGTTGGGGTGTAATTAGGATTAAGAAGTTATTATAACCATTAAATGAATTGTATATTATAATTACCGCCTGCAGTTGTAATTAACTAATGATAGATGACTCATAATCATTACTTTCTTTCAAATTAAAATAATTTCAAATGGGTAAGTAGAATATTAGTATTAGACTATTAGTTAATATCAGTCATAATCATTATCATTAACTTGTAGTATCTGAGTGTGTCTACTCTTCTACCAACCCTTTTATTAGGGGAGGTTTAGGTTATTCTTAGGCTTATATGGAATGCCTAGCATATTACTAACTGTGTGTCACAAAAACATCTTATTTTTCAGAGTTGTTAGTTATTTTAACAACAATATTGTATGGTGATTAGTAACTAAGTATGTAAAAGAATTAAATTCATGGTAAAAAAAAACTTGTTGTTTTTCAATACACATTGTTGGTAAAATGACATAAGTGTACAAAAATTTGTTGAGGTTTTATATTGATTGGTGAACAGGAAAATTCTTATTGGGTTTTGTTGTTAGGGTTTTATTTAAAAATTAACCAAACAAAACTAAAATGTGTTATACGGGTCATACCGTTTAGAAGACTTATAGTTCAGATATTAGTATTCTATAAGTAAATATGTGCCAGAACTTCATAGCCTACATAGCATTTATATATGTAATAACCTTCAGGCACATATGTTTAGATCTGGACATATTGTTTATTTGTATTTTATATATAAATAATACTAAAAAATTTAAGAAGATTGATTTTTTTTTCCTTTAACAGCTAACCACAACTTCTGGACCATTGAATATTACCAGAAATATTTTGATGTGCAGACAAATGAGGTGGTAGAAAGGATCATATCATCAGTGTTACCACAGAAGGTTTCCCGCAATTACTTTGATGAGAAAATTAAGGGTAAACCAGATTTATATGGCCCTATATGGATTTCTGTTACCCTTGTAAGTTCTACTTTAACTGCTATAGTATTTAAATAACTACTGAATATATATACTAGTTATTAGATTCATTTAAAAGGAATATATATAAAATATTTTGTGCTCATTTACTAAAACTTGAATTAATATCACAGAACATCATATACAACAATTATTGACAACAGATTTTATTATATTTTTACTTAAAAATCGAATTTGCTTCAAAAAAACCTGTATGTATACAAAATGTAAACTGCCATAAATTGGAGGCATGGTAAGATTTCTAGTGCAATGTAAGATGCCAAGCTGAGTTAGGCAGTTTCAAATTTGAATTTCTTACCTAAATTAATTTATTAGAGACATTTTAGTATGGGGTACTCCAGCACCCTAGAGTAGGAATAACATGTGGGCTAGTTAGAGCAGGATCCGAGAGTTAAAGATGTATCTTTTAATAATAAAGAAATTGATTTCAGATATTTACAATAGCAGTAAGTGGCAACATCGCCAGCTACTTACAGAATGCTAACAACAAGTCTTTCCAGTGGCGGTATGATTTCCACATGGTGTCAATAGCGGCTACTGCCATAGCTACCTACGTATGGATTGTACCACTGGCGCTGTGGGCGTCGCTCAAATGGACAACTAACACTGATGCACATGATGAAATTGAAAACCAGGTATGTCTGAAATACTTTAATATTTTGCCATAGTGATTATACAGCTGCATACAGCTAATTATGGTATTCTTGAGAGTGGAGGTGCCTTTCGAGATATATATATCTAAGGGATTAAATGGATGCTGCATTTAAATAAATTAAGACCAGCTGCTAACATCGGCTTCACTCAAGTTAACGTCTCACATACATACGTCTAGTGCCAAAAATGTGGCAAAATATGTATAGGCACAACAATAGAAATTAATAAAAATATATAGTACTCTTTGTTTAAGGGTATTTAATTTTATTTAATTTTTACAAAAAATAATATAAAGGCTGTAAGGGACTTCCTTACACTCTGTATATAAAATCGCATGATCCACAACACTGAGATCAAGACTTTGCGCTACGATCGGCACCATATCTCCTGTAAAGTTTGCCATTTTGTAAAGTTTTGCCAAATTTCTATGAAAATCATGTAAAATACATAGTATGTTGAGTCTGAATTTTAAATATCGAAAAATTTAGCAATTTATAGCAGATTAAAAAGAGTATGAGTTTTACGTTATAAGCTTACACTTAATTATTTTTATAAAATTTTTAAGTTTAAAAAATCGGCTTAACATACTAGAAGAAAATGATTTCGAATATAAAAAAAAACTCATCAAAAATAATAAAAAATGTATGTGTTAAAATGCTGACCGTGGCAATAACTTACTAGTAGTTAGTAGTTCTAGAAAAACGCGATTAAAGTTTCAAGTGCTTTTCTCTCTAGGATCAAAGAAAACTAATCTTCAAAATAAAAATCTTAGCAATCGAACGTATATATTCTTACAGGGTTTCGTTTTGATTTTCGAAAAACATTTTGCGAAGACAATTTCTAATACGCCAAATCATCAAAAAGCTATGGGTAATGTCATGGTTGGCCATTTAATCAAATAGCCACATGTACAAACTCCCATATCACCGATGGTGAATCCTTGGGGTCTTTCTTTTACACTTCAAAAATAACATTGTACTGTTATAACCTTATCTAAACCAATACTTTAATATTAACACAAACTTTACAAACGTCCCCAGGTATATTTTGCGTTAACAAAGAACTAAAATACTAAAAACTGTATGAGTAATCATGCCGACCGTGGCAAAAAAGTAGTTACGAAGAAAAACGCATTTAAAGTTCTTTTGTCTTTACGAAAGACTACTAATCCTTTCAAAAACCTTAACAATCGACTAAATATATAAAATATCAAAACAATGCTTAATAAACGTGCCTATTTATATTTTGCGAAAACAAAGAATTGACAGAATAGAGCCGCTTCCAAAAGTAACGGGAAGACGTTTGAAACAAAGGACAGCTACCTGCGCGCACTTAACTCTCGTAGGGCAGTCACATTTTCTAACGAAACCTTGGATCTATGGGGAATTTTTGTAATCGAATTTCATGAAAATAAACCTACAATTACAGAGAATTATTAACAATCTATCTGTTTAAAAAAAGTTTTTTTTTATGTTCGGGCCGTATGCAAGCATGGCCTTAATGTAGATTTTATAAAAAAAAAGACTATGAAAAATAACCTACATACTACTCATGAAAGCATGAAATGTAAAATAAGTCATAAATTTTGGCACAGAGTTAGCCTAAATTTCATTCAGATGCAGATCTCAATGAAATTTAGGCTAAGTCTAGATAGATCCGTCCAAGCGTGATTGTGTAACAAACAGTCAATATATCCATCCTCACAAACTTTTCCGTTTATAATACGAGTATTAATGGGATGTCATCGAATACCAATAACAATTTACAGGATTACTTCTGTAAATCACTTTAACACCTATTATATAAAAGAAATAACCTTAGACTGCTAACTAATGTACTTAGAGTGTGTTTTCAGCACTGGAGTGTTGTGAGTCAGCAGTGACGCAACTGTTGTGTTCATTACACTATTCCACACCCCTTGTGTTCCGTACAGGAGTGCTTAAAACACAACTATTGTACGAGGGGTGATCAATAAGTAATGATAATCAATATGAAACAGAACTATTAGATTAAAAAAAGTATTTTATTTTTCAACATAGTCTCCTTGCAAGTTAATACATTTAGTGTATCTTTTTTCTAAGCCCATGATTCCCTTAGAAAAAAATTCTTTGTCTTGACCCTCCCAAAATGCCTCTACTGCGGCCATCACTTCACTATTGTCCTCAAATTTGTTGCCCCGGAGGTGTTCTTTGAGCCGAGGAAAGAGGTAGAAGTCACTGGGAGCTAGATCTGGCGAATAGGGAGGGTGTTCGAGCAGTTCGAACCCCGTTTCTTCAATGGCAGCCATCGCAACTGCGGCTTTGTGAGCCGGGGCGTTGTCTTGGTGAAACAGCACTCCAGCGCGCAGTTTACCGCGTCTTTTTGACTTAATAGCTTCTCGCAATCTTCCTTTTTGGCCTGCGTAGTAAGAGCCTGTTATAGTGGCCCCCTTTTCCAAATATTCCACCATAATAATTCCTTCTGCATCCCAGAAAACAGACGCCATAACCTTTCCCGCTGAACTTGACACTTTGAATTTCTTCGGCGTTGCTGAGGAAGCTCGTTTCCAAGTCATTGATTGTTGTTTGGTTTCGGGATCAAAGTGGTGGATCCAGGTCTCGTCCATGGTCACAAAACGCGACAAAAAAATTCTTTATCGGCCTGGAACTTTTGAAGATTCACCCTCGAAATGTCGACTCGTTTCTTTTTTTGCTCGTCGGTTAACATTCTCGGTACCCAACGCGCAGAGACCTTTTTCATATGCATTTTGTTGACAATGATTTTTTGAACGCTGCCATAGGAGATCCCTGTGACCTCAGCTACATGCCTTACGGTCACCCTTCGATCGGCCAACACGATATCTTCCACTTTTTTGACGTTTTCTCCAGTAAGGGACGTGGAAGGGCGTCCCTCGCGATGTTCATCTTCAGTGGAGGTTCTGCCCAGCTTAAATTCCTTTGCCCAGCGTGCGACTGTGGAATATGGAGGAGCAGACTCCCCCAATGTTTCCTCTAAGTCGCTGTGTATGTCTTTGGTAGACATTTTTTTCAGGCAGAGGTACTTGATGACAGCTCTTATTTCATTTTTCTCCATTTTGATGTTTTCTCTTCGACAGTTCGTATTCAAATGAATGTATCTCTTCCGCTGGTCTTCACACCGTCCCGCAGGGGACGCGTGGTGGCTGGATCGGGGCTTTAGCCCCCCGCCAGCAGTGTCTATCGCTACCCCTAAACAGGGGTAGGTCGTGGGATGTTATTTATTTCTGGATGTTTATTTGGGGGGGTTGCCGATCTTCACGCCGCCTCGGCGGTCGAGCCCGAGCCAGGTGAGACCCCAGGCGGTACCTGGGGAGGCCCAGCTCCGGGCGACCAGCGACGGAGGCGGCGGCTTACTCAGTGACCCCTCTGGTGTCTCGTCCGGGATTTTTTATTTGAATTATCGTTTGTTTGGGTCGATCCGCACCGCATCGCGGTCTGCGGAGCGCCCTGTCGTGTTGTTTCTGTTGTGGCGGCGGTCGTCCCCGCCTGCGCACGATGTTCCTATTTGGGCTAAATAGGCGCAGGTGCTCGTAGTCCGGTGAGGGCGGTCGCAGCAACAACAGGTCCTGTAAACATACAATACGACGGGTGCATTATATGTGGTTTGATTTGGGAGTTCGACGTCGTCCCGCCGCAGGGGCAGACCAAGGTCTGCCCCTGTGGCGGGGCACAGGCGAACTAAAGAGGCAATAGAGGCTGGGTCGGGACTGTCGATACCCGGGGGTCGGTGGACCGCCTTCCTTCCGGGGTTTCTCTAGTCCGCAACAAGGTCGCGCGGTAATCTTCTTCTGTCTGGGGGTCGAGCGTGCCACGGCGCCAGGTCCCGGATATGACTCCAGGACGAGGTGTCGGCACGCTCGAACATGGCGGCCGCGAGTCGACGTATGTGTGCGTCCAGGCTCTCCATCTTGAGGTCCCTCTCGATGACGTCATTCCTCATATAGCGGGGTGCCCGCACGACGGCGCGCAGCGCAAGGGATTGTTGCGCGCGCAGCTGTCGGCGGCCCGTCTCGCTGGTGAGGGCGTACCAAGAGGGACTGGCGTAAGTGAGCTGGGTGCGTACATAAAGTTTGTACACACCCAGCTTGGCTCGGATCGGTAGGCGGGAATCGAACACTGGACGCAACAGGGCGCGTGTTGCCCTAACACGCGCGACGGTGTTGCGGACGTGTGGCTTCATGGACAATAGGCGGTCGATGGTAATCCCCAGGTATTTGACAGTCGTCGTCCACGGGATGTCTTGCCCGTGGAGTTGGAGCGGTGGTGGGTATATAACTGTGTTAGTTATAGGAATCGCCTGTGTTTTACCCACGTTCACTGTCAAACGCCATTTTGACAGCCAGGTGGGCAGGAGGTCTAGGGAGCGCTGCAGTTTCGACGCAGCGTGGCGCAGGTTCATGCTTGTTGAGATGTACGCCGCGTCGTCAGCATACAGCGCTAGCTCGGCTCCCTCGGCGAGGGGGATATCGTCTGTGAACCGTGAGTACAACACAGGCGATAGACAGCTTCCTTGTGGGACGCCGGCCGCTATGTTGCGGACGGTTGATGTCTCCCCCTCCACCACCACTCGGAAAGTCCGGTTGGTCAGGAACGAGGAGACCACCTCTACTACACACCGGGGCGTCGGCGTCGTAGTTAGCTTCATCAGGAGACCGGCGTGCCAGACCCGGTCGAAGGCCTTCTCCATGTCGAGAAATACCGCAACGGCGTGCTCGCGCTTGTTTCGCGCCGCCGTGATCCGGTGCAGTACTCTCGACAGCTGTAGGGTCGTACTGTGTTCAGACCGAAACCCAAATTGTTCCGGTCTGGGTGCGATATAAGGGGTGAGGTGCCGCAGCAGGAGCTGTTCGAACACCTTCGAGGTGGTGGGTAAGAGGGTGATCGGCCGATAGCTTTCCGGCTTCAACACGTTCTTCCCCGGCTTCGGGAGCATGATGACGCGTCCCTCCTTCCACGAACTAGGGAAGTGGCCCGTGCGCAGAATGCCGCTGTAAAGGCGCGCCAGTGCTGCTACCGTTTTGTGCGGCAGGTGGCGCAGCGCTTGGTTTGTGATGCCGTCTGCGCCCGGGGCCTTTCGCGGCTTGGTCCGGCGTATGGTGTTCTTTACCATGGCCGGGGAGAAGAAAATGGGGTCGTCTTCGGGAGCTATCGGCGTGGCGAAGTACTCTCGAAGGTGTGTCTCGACTGCTGCGGTGTGCACAGGTTCAGTATCTGGGTTCGGTCTGAACTGGCGCTCAAGGTGTTCCGCGAAAATCTCCGCGCGGTCTCCTGCCTGGTACCTGGGTGCCCCGTCTGCGTGTAGCAGTGGTCGCACCGGAGCTGGGGTGTTGGTGAAGCGGCGGCAAAGGCGGTGGATCGAGGTCCAGTCCTCTCGGATGTCCTCGATGTGTCTCTCCCAGCTCTCGGCGGTGTAGGCGCTCATCTCGGCCTTCACTCTCTCCGCGAGCCGGTTTAGTCTGGTCTTCATGGTGGGACAGCGTTGACTCTGCCACTGTCTACGGAGGCGCCGCTTGTCGGCCAACAGTTTCTTAAGGTGAGCCGGCAGGGGTGGTAACCGCCCCTGGGTGAGTGGTGTAGGTGTTTTGGCCGACTCGAGGGCGCCTCTTATGCAGTCTGTCAATTCGGCTGTAAGCCTCTCCACATCGGCCGCGGAGTTGACCGGCCGAGATGGTGTGGTGGTCTCCAACGTACCTGAAAAGGTGTCCCAGTTGATTCTGTGACGTGGCGCGGGAGGGACGATCCGCGTTGGCTGCGACGCTATGACGACAAGCACTGGCTGATGGATCAGACAGCAGCTCGTCGTCAAGGACTTGTTGAGAGATCTGACGGCATCCCCCGTTGTGGACGATTATGTCCAACACGTCGGGTGTGTGGGTGTATTGGTCCGGGTAATGTGTGGGTACCTCCGGACCGATCACCGCGTAGCCTCGGGACTCGGTGTCGTTGTGGAGTCGCACACCAGCAGTGTTCGTCACGTTCGAATTCCACGCTGGGTGCTTCGCATTTAGGTCTCCTGCGATGATGACCGGGCGGTCCTCCTGCAACAATGTTAATATGTCGCTGAAGTCCGCCCGGGCGTTTGGTGCTCTATAGGCGGCGTAAAGGCGCATATGCGCGCCGTCCATGTGAATTTCAACACCCAGCGTGTAGGTGGTGGTTGTAGCGCTCAGTGGGAGAGGCTGGTGTACGACTCGTCTCTTGATTAGTACCGCCAGACCTCTGTAGGCGACGTTATTTTCGGATTTCTCGTCCCTCCGATAGACGAGGTATCCCGGGAATCTAATTTGGTCTGCAGGTCCCAGGAGCGTCTCGCTTATCAGCGCCACGTCAATGTTCTGTTCCTGCAGTAGGGGGCGAAGGAGTGCGACCTTGCGGGCTAGGCCGCGGGCGTTCCAGTGCATTACTCTCAGAGGCGCATTATCCATTGATGTTGTTTGAGATCGTTGCGATGCCTCTGAGAGCAATGCTCCTGATGGCGTTCTCGTTCTGTCTTTCGCTGATGGCGGTGATAATTTCGTACAGAACGAGAAGGGCGTCCTTTATTGCCGCTTCCAACTTATCCACCTTTTTGTGTAGCGGGGCAGCCGCGCCCCTCCGGCTGTCGGTTGCGGCGCTGGCTGGATGTTCGGCCGCTGTCTGCCCTGTTAGTTGTGTGTGTGTTGCCACCCTTGCCTTAGCCCCTGTGGGCGCGGCGGTGGCAACCGAGGTGGCGACTGGCTTGCCGGAGGAAGGTGGCCGCTCCGCTACGCGGTCAACTTCTCCTGTGGGGGCCTCAGTTTGGGCTGTCCCTCTTTTGCCCCTCCTCCTCCTTCGCCCTCTTTTGGAGGTGGTGGCTTCTGTGTTGCGAAGGGTGGGGTCGTTTGCTGCCGCCATGAGCGACGCCCCTTGTCCCTTCTCTCCTTTGGGCTGCGGGTTTACCGGCGCCGGCCCTTGGCGCGGCTCGCCGGTCATGGCGACCGTGCCCGCCTTCCTATTTCTTATCTCCCTTAGGAAGGCGGGGCATTTGGTATTGTTTGCGGGGTGCTCTCCCCCGCAGTTTGCGCATGTGGCAGGCTCCTCCCGCGGACGCGGGCAGCCTGATGCGGGATGGTCACCGCCGCAGCGCACGCATGCCATCTTCCGGTGGCAATTGTGGCTGCTGTGCCGAAATTGTTGGCAGCGGTGACACTGTGCGGGGCCCTTCTTGCCCCGCCAGGCTTCGATCTTCACTCCGGGGATACCCAACATCTCGTGTATGTCGTATATCCCCGGTGTTGCAGCGGTCCTCTTCAGTATAGCGAGGAGGATGCACCCCGGGCGGTCGCCACGGCCCCGGATGTTGCGTACGTACTCCGGGTCGAAACCCAAGTCCCGCAGCTCCTCCTCCACCTCCTCTGGTGTTGTGTTGAAGGGAAGGCCCCTTATGGCCACCTTCAGGCTTCGTTCCTCAGGCAGGGTGTAGGTGAACCAGGAGATTCCCTCTGTCTTCTCCAGCGCCGTCAAGTAGCGCTGGATCAGCCGAAACTCCTGTTCGTCCTTTGGCGTAAACCGGAGGCCCTTGCCGAAGGGGCGGGCGTTCGCGGCCCTGCCGAGTCTGTTTTTCAGCTCCCTCATATGTTGAGCCCAGTTCGGTAGAAGCTCAACTATGAGGGGCGGGTATCTACGCCTGCGTGCTTCCTCCTGCGGTGTCGCGGTGGCGGTAGTGGCGGCGGCGGTGGCGGCAGCAGTGGTGCTGCTACTGTTGCTGGCTATGGTGTTAGTGGCGGCTGTGGTTGTCGTTGTAGGGGGTGGTGGGGATGTCACCACTCGGGCGTACGACCTGCCCTCGTCTAAACCCGCCTGTCGCGCCAGGCGTGGATCGCGCTGGGGGGCGGGTTTGTATCGTTTCGCCTCGTTGTTCTCCTCGGGGCTACGCGGGCGTCGGGCGGTTGCTTGAGGTCTGGGCGCGTCCGTCTCCATGGGCGCGGGTCGTGAGGTCACGGAGAAGGACTGAGTCCTTCTCAGTTGTTGTGTACTTCCCGCAGGCAGAGGCGCCGCTTGTAGCACCTCTGTTCGCGGAAGGACGGATGGGGGGCGGGCGGTGTGTGCGTCCGTGTCACTATCTCCTTCGGCGGAGTGCAGCGACGTTGTTGATGAGCACAGGGAGCGAGGGGCCGGTGACTCCATAGCCGATTGGCGCGGTGGAGCGGCTTCGCGGTGGCGGATGGGGGTAGTTTTGGTTAACACGTCGCTCGACGCAGCCGGGGAGGGCGGCGGAGCGGTGCGTGTTAACGGTCGAGAGGTGGGGGGTGGCCGCATTGTGCTACGGCGGCGCGTCGGGTCCTCTGTAGGGACCTTGGGCGCGGCCGGTCGGCTGGATGTTTCAGTTTTTCGGGGTGCCTCGCGCTCAACGCGGGCGAACGCGGGAGGCGCTCGAGCCCGCGGAGCGCGAGAGACATTTACGCCTTGCGGTGAAGGCGAGTTGTTGCTACTGCCCTCTGAGGGCGTGGTGGTTTGTTTTGGCATGGCTGGCGCTCGGGGAGCGCACGGCCAGCCCTTGGTTACAACGGTGTCGCTGTGGTAATGGTGGCGTTGCAGGTGCGAACAAGCGCAGCAGATTCGCCGCTGAAAACCAACCCCGAAGGGTTGGGATGTGGTCGACCCACAATTAAATCAGCACTGTTGCGCTTGTTTGCCACTGCAATGTGAGGCGAACGTCGGCCACGAACACTCGGCTAAAGGCCGGGAGGCGTAGGACAGGTTCCGTGTGGCGAGTAAACGAGTAAACAATCTTCGTAGGCCTTCGGCTATCCTCGGCGGGGCTTCGGAAGTCTTCGGGCGCTGCGGAGATGTTCACTCGTCGACGTCCAGGCGAATCCATGAATGTATCTCCCGGTAATGGTGTCCTATTTATGCATTTTTTTTTGAAGCTGAAGTAGTGGATATATAAGCAAGCAGAAAAAAAAAAAAATAATTTGGGTTTTTGTGCGTTCTAGAAATACTCGATTATCATTACTTATTGATCACCCCTCGTATAGCGTTACGGCAATGCGTGAAACATAACTTTGATTGTATAAATGTTTTTTTTGTTATTGTTATTTTTTCCCATTTATAAGTAAATTTGAACCGAATTTGTCTTAAAAATATTATATTAACCACGAAAACAAGTCTGCGTTAAATTTATTTATATGGTATACCAACAGCATACATACACTACACTCTTATACAATATTTATACAAAATAAAATACCTGGTATGCATGCCAGGTACACACAATATTCACCACAATAGATAACACCTGACATTACAATATAAAATATCACATCACACACATCATCAACAGCCTTTACTAGTCCACTGCTGGACATAGGCCTTTCCTTAGAAAGGAGGTTTTGGCCTACTATACCACGCTGGCCAGACGGGTTGGTATAGGGTTTGTTTCAAGTTTTCCTTCTCTTTGCAGTGCTGTTGTCCTGCTTTAGTTTGCTCAAAGTATCAAGATGTTTTTATTAAGATATATAAAAAAACAAAGTAACGATTTTAAAGAAATTAATTTAAAAGCAATTAGGTACAGGTTTGCTGATTGATATTTTGTATTGTTATAAGTGTTTCTTATCTTAATGATAATGGGGGGGTGATAAAACATAAGCTCGGCAAAGGCACAACAATTTTATTATATTAACGATATGGGCACATTTTAACCCTTTGTTATGGATCGAACAGATAACGAAAACAATGAAAGGGCAAAAAAAATATTTGCAAAACTAGTTAGCAAACAATAGAACGAGTGGTACAAAGAACTCACACGAAGAATTTTGATCTAGGTGTAACTTATTTGTACTATGTATGTATTTAGAAATATTCAAGTACTTGTTTAAATCGCCAAATCATCGAAGAGCTATGGTTAAAGTAGTCAGAAGTTCTAGAAAAACGCATTTAAAGTTTTAAGTGCTTGTCTCTCTAAGGAAACTAATCTTCAATATCAAAATCTTAGCAATCGTACCTATATATTCCTTATAGGGTTCCGTACTCATTTTCGCAAATCATTTTTGCGAAGACAATTTAAAAAACGCCAAATCATCGATGAGCTGTAGGTAATTTGATGGTTGGGCCATTTAATCGAAGAGTAACATGTACAAACTCCTATATCCCCGATAGGATATCCTGAGTGTCTTTCTTTTACAAAAATATCACTCAAAAGTACTTTTGGCTGCAATATTATACTGTTATAACCTCATTTAACCCAATTCTTACATGTTAACACAGACTTTACAAACGTCCCCAGGTATATCTTGCGTTAAAAAGAACTAAAATACTAAAACTGTATAAGTAATACCGACCGTGGTAAAAAAAAAGTAGTTTATCAGCAATCTGGTTACCATAGCGCAGGCTAGTTTGGGACCAGACGATCATATTTGTCTATATTATTTTTATTTAAAATGTCTCAACGTGCCTCCATCGTGTTTTTATTGTTAAAATTATAAAACTGTAAAAATGTGTCTTTGCACTATCCTTTATTACCCAAAATTACGATAAATATAAAGACAAATTAGTTTCATATTTATTCGTAGAACACAGATTGGACATCATAAACGAAAATAAAAAACCATTTATACACTCAAACTGTACGTCTGGAGACGGATTAAGAATACGGAGTGTTATCACCCCTATTCATCCCGTGGGTGTCGTAAGAGCCAACTAAAGGAATAAACTCTGCAGGACATCAGCACTGCAAACAGAAGGAAAACTTAAAACAAATCCTATACCAACCAATCTGGCCAGCTTGGTATAGTGGGCCAAAACCTCTTAAAAGGAGAGGCATATATCGAACAGTGGACTGATAATATATCTATGTCATAGATATATTATTATCAAGTCTGCACCGCTTACTGTTAGGGGATGACGTGGAGTGTGCATATTTGTATTGGTCTAGGGCCACATGTAAGATGAAGAGTTGTCTTTTAGTAAGAATGGCCGATCATTCGTATAGCTGTGAATCGTATAGAAAGTGCTTAAAGTTATATACTTTAAGCACTTTCTATTTCCTACATCACAGCTATACGAATGATCGGCCACTCTTACTACAGCCCGCTGTGCCCTTTCTAGTAGTATTAGAATGGTTTTACAACAGCCTCCCCTACGAGTATAATATACAATAGTGAAAGAAAAATGTATTTGTTTTGTGTCACAGTGTTTTAAATACAAATATGCATTTTCTCATGTGCGAAGTTAGAGTAATATGTGCTTTAAAATTAAGTTGGATTCATAAATATTTAGTTGACGTGACTTGGTCAATAGTAGGGCAATTACATGAGTCGTTAATTGTATGTGGGGTATCGTTATTGCAGTAGTGCAATTTAATGTTTGTATTTATTCTTTGGAGGTTGACCATTGATTCTGATACTGAAGTTATAATTTGTCAGATTGTCCAGCCATTCTTCTTCTGTGTTAGGCCTTTATTAGCACTTGCGTATACGTCATCCCAAGTTTTGCCACTGAAAAATAACACTGTGTCATCTGCATATGTATTGATATTACCATTTTCCAGATCCATATTACACATATCGATTATGTAAGTAAAGGAAAGAGACGGTGCGAAGACGCTTTCTTGTGGTACACCAAAAATAATGCATTCCATGGCAGAGCTTCGATGTTCTCCTACCTGTATTATTTGTGTCCTATTTGTTAGATAATCAGTAAAAAGGTTTAATGGTTTTCAACGAATTCTCATGCGACTTAGCTTATTAATTTGTATGGGTATCTATACGGTATCGAAGGCTTTTGTAAAGTCTAAGGAATTAGCTAAACATTTATCTTTCGAATCTAATGCTTTGGCAATAGACGACGCTTAAGTAAGAACAGCATCATGTTGATATTTTGGTACGGAAACCAAACGGATTTTTCGAAATATTTTCTTTACTCTCACCGCACCAATTATTGTAAGAATGCTGTTCTCACTCGTTTGCCTAGCTGTTACAATGATAATTTTGACGAAGTTTACATTTCCCACCTCTCAAAAAGTGCCTTTAAAAAATAAATCACCAATAATTTCTTAGTCTGTTATTTATTCCTTTTTTTCAATTATTTTGGATAAAGTTATTAAAAATGTAATGGGTCTGTAATTAATTATATCAGATTTGTCTACTTTTTTAAATATTGGTATAACTTTAGAATTTTTTAGTTTCAAGGAAGCATACTCTATCAAAGCAAACGTTGCAAATAATTGACACGGGTAAAGCAAGAACTTCCACTCCTGTCTTAAAAATGTTATCCTATCTCAGCCAGTTCTGGAACTGTTTCTTGTCTCCCTTTGGTCCGTGGGTGACAGGAGGAATTAATTTAAAGTGCTAGCCAATTTATTGGCTGCGTTGACGTGATTTTGCTCATTGCAATTTAGTCGCTCAAGAATCACATTATTTATTTATTTAATTATTCTTAGAGAGACTAACAGATATCGCAATGTTGGATTATTACAATTAAATAATCTTATTGCTAATTACAAGTCTCTGCATATAGCTACTCTGAGGAAAACTGTAGACTTAAAATAAAGAGTAGTGTAAGTCTAGGTAGGGATATACATACATAACACATAAATAATATACACATAGATGTACTAACATGTATCAGCACATACGCACACTCATATCAATACATATACATACACAGTAGGGCAAAGTGGACTATTAAAGGCTGTTGATGGCGTACATACAACACACATAAACAAATACTCACACATAAATACGCATACACAATAAAACGCCGATACACAGATATGTTACATTAGCTAAGTTGAGCCCACGTGAGCAAAGTACCGATTCATGTATATTATTAAGCGAATTAGTTTAAATTCAAGCAGGCTTTTAGTAAAAATTATTTGATTAAAAATGCTATTTAATTTTGCAGGATACTAAATCGCCCACAATGATTTCACTCTTCTGTCTCTACGGATACTCCCTCTCGATCTATGTACCGGTGGCCGTATTCTGGACAATCCAAGTATTCTGGCTGCAATGGCTCTTAGTGTTGATGGCTGCGTTCGTCTCCGGTGCTGTTCTCATATTCTGGCTCCTACCAGCATTGAAAAAGTCTAAATACTTCTTAATATTGGGGGGGTTGATACTTGCCTGTCACTTTCTGTTAGCTGCTGGCTTCATGTTATATTTCTTTCATAGACCAAGTACAGTTGTTGACAATGTGATAGTACCTATTGTTACTACAACAGTTAAGTCTGTAGTTGCTAAAAATTGAAATGTTTAGTGCAATTTAGGTTTAAGTGCTTTGTGATACAGTTGAATATAATTTTGCCATCTTATAAGTTTTATGTATAAAGGTATGGACATACTTAGTATACTTAAAACTACACGAGTTTTGTCTTCTCAGAAGATAGATTAACATACACGGTGTAAGGGACGTCGTAACTAATACTGAAATAGTGTATTCAGACCCTTATTCTTAGTCGATTTTTTTTGGAATTTTCTGCCGAAAAATTAAACTTTTTATTCAATCAGCTGTCAAAGGTTAAGGTGATTCCCCGCATAAAAATAATAACTACACGTGTACAAACAGTCTACGCATCCAACACAAAATGGCGACCGGAGGGGAGGCCCCGCGCACTGCGGCTGTTTGATTAATTACATTGCAGTTTTTGGTATTTCTTAAATTGTTTTCGGTAAAATGTTGCGTCTACTCATTATGATATCATTTTTCATCATGTTTAACTTGAAAAATGGAAAATTAAAAAATAATGATCATTTTTCCAGAAAATTTCAATGATTTTCGACGCAGAATCATGGTCTGAATACATTATTCCAGTATTCGGTACGATGTCCCTTACACCTTGTATATTTATATATGGTAACATATTAAAATTAATTTTATATACAAATATTAAAATTTTGTAGAGAAAAATGTATGTACATTGACACTTTGAAGATTATCAGTATCGCAAATACGATCTTATTTTGTTTGTAAATTATTGTGTAGTATATCTACAACTGCAACTACAGCCTATTGAATAGTTATTTTTGTCTTGCAGTCAATATTAATATTTTTAAAAACATTTTTTTAGATATATTGCAAACGTCAGATTAGATTATACATTCGCATAAGTTTTTTTTCTTCGTGTTCTAATCTTTTTCTATATTTCCGACGAGATGCTAACATTTGCACATTATATAATTTATATCTTTTAGAAAAGTACAAGTAAAACATTTGAACTATCTCTCTTTAAATGTTTCTTAGTTATTTGCCAGTCTTGATATAGCTACTCAACTTTCTTACCGAAAATAAATCGAGTCGAATTAAAAATTCTCTATTGACAAAGAAAGTTTTGCAAAAAAAAACAATATAGTCATATGTGAGTTAACGATGCATTATATGTTATAATGCCTTAGTTACGCGTAGTATTTGTATAAACTTATTGTAAAATTTACAAAAATGTAAGTTTCCTCTGTTTTCACATTCCTAATTTATAATTTCTTACTTGTAAAAATAAAATAAACGATTGTTATAAATAAATAGTCTTATTTATTTTCTTGTTATAAATTTTACAGAATCATTTTATCTTATTTACAATATGTACAATCGGTCATTGTTCATTTGAACATTGACTCGGCTCGACTCGACTTGACGTTTAATCGGCCAGAGAGAAGGACGCAAAACTTTTTACCCACGGTTGTCTATGGAATGATGACGGCATATCTTCAGATGATAATAATGCCCCCGACAGTTCAGAGAGCATATTACCTGAAATATTCAAATTAATTATAAATATTATTATGTAATAGCATTAAAATAATAACCTCACACATCTCACACACATTCCGTGTGGTGACGGGTAAGAATTCGGAGTTTCACCACCGCTATTCATCCCGTTGGTGTCATAAGAGCCGACTAAGGGAGCAGACAATAGCTCTGCAAAGAGATGGAAACTTGACACGAACCCTATAACAACCCGTCTGGCCAGCGTGGTATAGCAGGCCAAAATATCCTCTCTAAAGAGAGGCCTATGTCCAGCAGTGGACGACTAAAGCATGAGGACATTATTATAATTTGGCATCTTGGAGATATTTGAATTATCAAGTCAGGGAGTGGATCGTAAGTTTAAGGGTTACTAGTAAATTCATCGGGTTTAGGCTCATCATAATATAGGCGGTCCGTGTGGTGACGGATTAAGAATACAAATTGTCACCACCCCAATTCATCCCGTGGGTGTCGTAAGAGCCGACTAAGGGAGCAAACTAAGCAGGACAACAGCACTGCAAAGAGAAGGAAAACTTGAAACAAACCCTATACCAACCCGTCTGGCCAGCGTGGTGTAGTAGGCCAAAACCTCCTTTCTAAGGAGAGGCCTATGTCCAGCAGTGGACTAGTATAGGCTGTTGATGTGATGATGATGATAATATAGGGTATATTTTGACGAGTTTAAATTCAGTAACGACGGTTTGATGATGAAGTCAGGGTGTGGATAACCAATATTTTATTCTAATGCAGATTTCTATCGAAGCGTTTTTTTAGTTTTACAATATATGTTTAGTGTAAATTTATTAGTGTCATTCCAGTCTACCTTTTTAAACTAAAAATAAATTGGTCAAAAACACATTCGAGGTTATTAAACTTCCAAAAATACAATATAGATAAGAGTGACTCTGGGAGAGTCATTCCCCGGTAGAAATAGACAAGCTCGACCGAAGTGAACCCTTTCCCCCTTTTTCCTGATTTTAGGGGGAGGTAGGCAAAAGGCGGTACAGCAGTGGCATACGCTATCACTGTACCTCCGAGGCAGTCAATCGTCGGCACGTAACGGAAGGAAATATCAAGAAGACTGACTGTAAAGTTCAGTATGCGGCAGGTCCGCCAGGAGGTGGCACAGATGGAGGAGATGTCCCTCGCAGTGCGCCAGCAGCGAGCCGAGCTCGACGTGGCGCAGCGCGCGCTGGCACACCGCCTGCGCGCCGCACCGACACGCCGACACCAGCTCCGAGTGCTCAGGCAAGCCTGCACCATTCTCTGAAACTTACAGTCCTCACTTAATACTTTCCTTTGCGACAATATACTTTTTAGATGGATTAATTGTTTAATATAAAATAAATATAGAGTAGGTGTAAGTAATTTAAGTTTTGAATAGTGTCACGAGTGCTGTGTAAATAACAATAATAATCTCTCCGAGCCGATTTCGGCTACAGCGACTGCTGGACAGGCTCAGCAGATGGCGTCTCGTTGGGTCGCGCGGTGGTGTGCTCGCATATGGCTGTTGTAGCCAATTTTGGCCTTAAAAGTTCTAGAGCATTTTGGACAAGTGAGAACGCCGCCACTATAGTGGTAAATTAAAGCTGTTGGTGGTCTGGTTTTTAGCTCGTCTCTTTTTGTGTCGAGCTCGTCTTTACGTGAGCTTTCAAAGGCGTCGATCTTCTGCCTTACGAGACGTCTCCATTCCGGGCGGTTTGCCGCAGATGACCCACGATAAGGGGTCAATACCGCAGCTTTTCATATGCCTTTTAACCACATCTTTGTATCGCAGGAGCTGTCCGCCATGCTTGCGCTTACCCTCTTGAAGCTGGCTATAAAAGATGCACTTGGCGATCCGTTCATTTGGCATACGGAACACGTGACCACACCAGCGTAATTGACGTCGCATTATATATGCTTCAATACCGCAGATCTTAGCACGTCGAAGAACTTCAGTGTTTCTGATGCGATCAGTCCAGTGGATGTTCATGATATCCCGCAGACATCGGAGATGAAATTCATCTAAAGTCTTTATGTGTCTGCGGTAAAGGCACCAAGTCTCTGAGCCATATAAAAGGCTTGGTAGGACAATAGCTCTGTAAACTGCGATTTTGTAGCCAGTTTTAGATCGTGCGAACGAAAGACCTTAGTTCTAAGTTTACCGAAAGAGGCTGAGGCAGCACCGATTCTGCAGTTTATTTCGGCATCAAGGTCGCACTGTGATGTTATTGTGCTTCCCAGGTACTTGTACTTCTCTACGCGCTTCAGGACATCTTGACCGAGACAGATTTTCAGAGGTTCATCTGTTGAGACGCCTGTTGTCATGACTTCTGTCTTGCTGACATTTATCTTAAGGCCGAACGTGGTGCACGCTTCGTCAAGACCAGTCATCAGCTGTTGCAGAGAAGTCGGGGAATCGTCTAAAAAGCATAAGTCATCCGCGTACATAATCTCGGTTATCATTCTGTACGAAACCTTGGTGCGGGCTTTCAACCTAGCCAGATTGAAAAGCTTTCCATCAGTTCGGAAGCGAATGCGGACGCCTGTAGGTAATTTTTGTAACGTCTCGTTCACTACAGCTGCAAAATAGATGGCAAATAGTGTGGGAGCAAGAACACAGCCTTGCTTAACCTCACATGTGACGGGGAAGAAACCTGATTGTTCCCCAATTGCAGACACACAGCATGTCATGCCATCGTGTACTAGGCGAACCAGACGGACAAATTTCGCCGGGCAACCCACCTTCTCCAGAACAATCCATAGATCCGTAAATCAACAAAACAGAGAAACAATGGTCGACCTTGTTCACGACTTTTCTCTTGCAGCTGTCGCACGCAGACAGCTTCACAGGTTCCTCTCTCAGGGCGGAAGCCAAACTGGGATTCCGGAAGTATTTCCTCCGAAACTGAGGTCAGACGGTTGAGCAAAATCCTGGCAAAGACTTTTCCGGGCGTAGAGAGCAGCGATATACCACGATAGGAATTACAACTGGACCTGTCACCTTTATTCTTGTATAGTGAGCAGATTCGCGAGATCTTAAAGTCAGATGGAACTTGCTCATCACGCCACATCTGAGTAAAAAGTTTCCATATCATGTCATATAGCCCCCCTCCCCCCGTACTTCAAAACTTCACCAGGAATACCATCCACGCCAACCGCCTTCCCGCTTTTCTGATTCTTGATAGCTACTATTACTTCCTGCAATGTCGGTGGCTCATCAAGCTCATGTCTTTGCGGAAGAGATGTGATCTCTTTTATCTGCTGAATATCAGCTGACCGATCAACATTAAGTAGTTCCGCAAAGTACTCAGCCCAACGATTCAACACGTCCTCCTTGGACGTCAACAGCGTCGCGCCGTCACGTGACCTTAACGGTACACTTATCCGCTGAGTTGTTCCAGTGAGTGTTCTCAGCTCGCCGAAAAACGCACCAAGTTGGTTTGTATCAGAGAGCCACTGCAGATGTTCCGCTTTCTGTAGCCACCACGTGTCTTTTATCTCCCTTGTCATCTTTCTGAGATCTGAGCCACTTTGTCGTACTCTGTCCGATATATCTGTCCGACCGTGTTGCTGCTGATATAGAAGGTCGCGGTGTTGTTTAAGTGCTTTACTTAGTATCTCATCATTCTCGTCAAACCAGTCTTGGTGGACACGCTTTTTAAGGCCTAAGGCTTGCGTTCCAGCTTCAATAATCTGAGAAGTGAGGGCACTCTATTTGGTACTGAGATCACCGACGTCGATGTTAGATGGCAACTTATCGGAAAGAATATGTTGGTACTCCATCCGCGTTTCTTTATCTGCAAGCCGCTCAACATTAATGCTGGGTGGTTTCCATCTGCAAGACCTGCACGGTGGTTGCAAGCGAAGCTTCAGTTTTGTGACTATAAGTCGATGGTCTGACCAGCAGTTAGCACCACGCATAGCGCGTGTCACATGGACTTGGGAGATATGTTTTTGCCGAACGATCGCGTAGTCAATTAGATGCCAATGTTTCGACCTCGGATGCATCCAGGTGGTTTTATATTTTGCTGGTAGCCGGAAGCATGTGTTTGTGATAGTTAGGCCAAATTGAGCACACAGGTTTAGCAATAATAAACCATTACTATTTATACTGCCAATCCCATGTCTTCCTAAGACCCCTGGCCACGCTTCACAATCACAGCCTATTCGGGCGTTGAGGTCGGCCAGCAGAAGAATCTGCTCTCTCGGGCGTATCCTGGTGAGCAAGCGTGTAAGTTCTTCATAAAATTTACCTATAGTTTCATCATCCTTGTCCATTGTTGGAGCATATGCGCTGATAACGTTCAAGTAGTTGTCATTGTCGAGATGCAGACGCAATGATATTACGCGGTCTGAGATGTATTCAGGACAGTCTTCCAGTTTGCTAGCAATCTGGGTCTTTATTGCAAATCCAACACCAGAGCGTCTCGGTTCTGTAGCCGGTGTACCTTTCCAGAAGAATTTATATCTACCACCGTATTCCATAAGCTCGCCATCATCTGGCAAGTGGGTTTCGCTGAGAGCGGCTATGTCCACATTGTAGCGTGAAAGCTCTCTAGCCACAACAGCAGTTTTCCGTTCCGGACAAAGGTTAGCGTCGCGATCGAGAAGGGTGCGGACATTCCACGCACCAAATGTCATAATTGTTGTTTTTGTATGTTTCTTGTATTTTCGACCACGAAAAAAAAAATGGGATGCTCGGGCAGCCGCGGTTACTACCCCCCAGTAAATGTGGGACAAGCTTTGTTTAGGACACCTTTTCTAGTCCCCTCCCCATGCGGGGGAAGCAGTGCCTCCCTAAATAGGACTGCTCCGTCACTCTGGCTGCTGCCCAATCCACGCTGTTGTCCCTGATGCAACGTGGAAACGACCATCAATACCAGAGCCGCCAGTGTGCAGGCATCAGACAAAGCCGGGTGCATATCACAACCCGACCTCTCTACCTCTGCCCATCGCCACAGGACTTATTCTCGGGAGACTTTATTCATGCCGCAGTCATCTGCGCGGGATATATTTAAGTGCATAAGCGTGCGCGCAAACACAGATGCACTCTCTCGTCCTTACCCTTCTGTATCCGATGGAACGGAGAATCGCTACGACCGGAGAAGAGTAGTAACTGTTTTTTAGTTTTTTGAGAACAGATATTAGTATAATAATTATTATTTAAATGCCTTGTTATGTTTGGGATCAAGTCAAGTTTGGGAACTACATATGAATGCTACAAAACAGAAAAGAAGAAAAGGAAAACTTGAAACAAAACCTATACCAACGTGGTACAGTAAGCCAAAACCTCCTTTCTCCTTCTCCTAAGGAGAGGTCTATGTCTAGCAGTGGACTATTATAGGCTGTTGATGTGATACGAATGCTACACGGAAGTTATGCTGGCAGTATTGATTAAAATCGATATAACCAATACCAGCGGCGGATCCAGATTTAAACTCAGCGGGAGTCGTTTTGTAAAGTCAGGTCTCATGGCACCGTCCAATGTAAAATAACCAGTGATATTATATTATTTAGACATCTTTAATTATTACTTTTATATTAAAATGACTGTTTCAAAATGCTTATAATGTTGCATGAATGATAACCATGATGACACAATTATGTTTTGTTTTTGGTTTAAATACTATTACTATTATTTTCTGAATTATTATTATTATTTTATTATATTAGAGGGGTCAGACGAGCAGACGGGTCACCTGATGGAAAGTGACTATCGCCGCCCATGAATGTCTGCAACTCAGGAGTCACAAACGCGTTGCCGGCCTTTTAGGAAGGAGTACGCTCTTTTCTTGAAGGTCGTATCGGTCCGGAAATACCGCAGACGATAACCCGTTCCACAGATTGGTTGTGCGGGGCAAAGTGTCTCGAAAAGCACACAGTAGTGGAGCGCCAGAACTATCCAGGTGATAAGGATGAAAATTTTGTCGTGTAGAATGATGGCGAAAATTTGCGGCTGGTATTAGTCCGAACAATTCCTCGGAGCACTCTCCATGATATATACGATAGAGAATGCAGAGTGAACCCACATCTCTACGTAACACCAAGGGATCAAGCCGATCGGAGATGTTTGGACTATATTTCAAATACAATGTAATTTGTTGATGAATAAATGACTATGACTATTTGATTACCTACTTGAAATCGTACCAACCAGACCTAGCTTTCATGATCCCGTAATGAAAGTTAAGCTCAGAAAAATAGTATTATTATGATCCAAATGCTATAATGACTCCCTACTTCCAACTATTCGTTTTATGGACATAAATACTCACCAATAGAACTATTTCTAAAGCTGTGTAACATCACAGCGCAAATACGAAGAGCATAAACTAATACTTGTACCAGTACAAGCTGACAATCACATCTGAAAACAAAATAATTGTACTTTTATTCAAGGAAGTGCCTTCTTTAGAACACAATACTCAATGCCGTAGCAGTTTACTCATCAAAGCTCCACCCACCCACCGGTGGTGTGGTTATGTCGGACTCGAACCGACTAAAAACCGCATGCCGTCTCGGGTACTAGTAGTCGGGGAACCAGATGTACCCTAGAAAGAAAATCCTGGTACCCCGACGTACCTCGGTCTTTTTACGGCGGGTAGATGAGTACCTCTTGTGTGAAAAATCCTCATGTCCCCTGGCCTGCTTCTGCTAGGGTGACAGATGGTGACCTGTCACCACCAGGCCTTATCAAACATCCTAGGGCTAAGAAGTAATTTTGTTCTCATCATGTTGTGGAGAAACGACTACATCGAAGTGTTACGAATTATTTCAACATAAACTATTATAATTTCTATCATAATCTATTTCTATTTATTATTCTATATCTATTTATTCGCCCTTTGCTATTTTGTCGTCATTGTAAACACGGGAAGTGCCACTCGTAAAATGTATTGAAATTAATGTCTATTAGAACTCAAAGGATTTGCACTCTCGACCCGGCTCTTATCTACTTCTTTTGTTCTCGGCGACCACCCGACTCAGGTAGCTATCACTGGATGCGCCTCGAAATTAGACCATATGTTGCAGTTTTTAAAGTCGAGTTTTGTTTGCTTTGGAATCTTGTGAATAAAATGCGTGTGGTTCGTGGAAATGTAATTATTTTGGACACTGAATACTTAAACAGAAATACGACATGTAGATACTTAGGGTAGTCAAATGAAAAAAAACAACATAGGTTTCGAAAAAAAATATGCTCATCGTTTCGTAGAAGTAGAATGACTCTATACCGAATCGAGGTGGGTACACATAGGTTAAGCTTGTTCCATAGAAGTTCCAGAAGGTCAGGCACTTCCATATGTGTTTACGTGGTCTTGGTCTTAATACGTCTTAATGTAATGTACTGAGTGTTGTGGGTTCGATCCCCACATCACAGTGGGACATTGGACAACACTTTGCGTCATCCACAAATTGTTGTTGTTCCTTGTGTGTGTTTCATGTATGCTTGGGAAGTCCTCCGCGACACAGGATATATTCCTAGTTCTGAAGTTACCTTTTAAAAAAAAGCATTCCTACCTTGAATTCTCTCTTGCCAAAGTTCCACTGTCACTTAAATTGCTATGTAGAATGATGAGATTTTGTGTGACTTCGACAACTTTCTCCACCATTTGCTGCTTCTCTATACATTTCAAACATGACTCTACTTGTTTCAGAAGAACTTGTATATAACATGAATCTGAAAGCAGGCAGAATTGGTAATTCTCAGAGTCCACATAAATACTGTACCTGTACTCGACTACAATAATTTATTAAGTTATTTAGAGGTCCATTGTGTGCGATTTTACAATAAAATCCCAAACTTTACACACAAAAATAACACATTATGTCCACAGCAAGACGGAAATATATCTATACTAACATAATGAATGTTTGGTTTAACGCGCTAATCTCAGGAACTACTGGTTCCAATTGAAATGATCTTTTAGTGTGGGACAACTAACTAATCCAACTAGGCTATATGCTTTGGCACAACCGGGCAGGCTCTACGAGAGTGACGCCATAGCCTCATAGAAAACCGGTGTTAAGAAATTCGGCATTCAAAGGGCGGCCACGCACTCATGAGTTGCAGGAGTCCATGAGCGGCGGTATTCACTTACCATCAGGTCATCATAATCAACAGTCTTTACCAGTCCACTGCTGGACATAGGCCTCTTCTTAGAAAGGAAGTTTTGGCCCTTGGGTTGGTATAGTGTATGTTTCAAGTTTTCATTCTCTTTGGTTAGCAGTGCTGTTGTCCTACGTAGTTTGCTCCCTTATTCGGCTCTTACGATACCCACGGGATTAATAGGGGTGGTGACACTCTGTATTCTTAATCCGTCACCACACGGATCCCACCATCAGGTGATCCTTCTGTTTGTTTGCCCCTTACACAAAAACAAAAACCCTAAATATTCAACTTTTCCATGCAATTCTTACAACATTTTCATACAAATCTTGTTTCGTCAGTAAAAAACTTATAAGTAAAGCTTAGATATATTGGACAACTTTTATAATATAGAAATTCACTAGCTAAGAACCGCGGTGTTACCCGCGTTTGTTATTATAACCACGGGCAACGCCGCGGGGCGAAGCTAGTCTAAAAAAAGTAGCCTAAGTTACTCCTTATGTCATCAGCTAACTGCCAGTGAAAGTCCCGTCGAAATCGGTCCAGCCGTTCAAGAGATTACCCGGAACAAACAGACAGACAGACAAAAATTGTAAAAAATGTTATTTTGGCATATGTAACGTGTAAACATACATATGCATTTAGTTAAAAGCGGTTATTTTAATATTACAAACAGACACTCCAATTTTATTTATTTGTATAGAGTATAGATATACCTTTCTTATATAGCAGTACTCCCTGGTCATAATCAGTCTTCAAGTTCCCCGACCCGTTCTCCGGACAAAATGCTTTCTTAAAAGCATCCCATGTCGACACCTGAGTCACCACGTACAGTGAGTGAGTCACGACAAAAGGCATGGGTCGTGATATCAATATTGTTTTGATCATATCTATCACTTTAGCCTGATTAAGAGAAGTTATGAAAGTAGAGAATGTTGTTATCGATAAGAGTAGGCCGCTGTAGAGACTTGCACATGACTGGAAATGAGAAAAGTTAGGTATATTTATTTATTTATTTACACATCATGCACATTCGGTGCATTGGTGGACTTAATGCCTAAGGCATTCTCTACCAGCCAACCATTGGGTGATGCAGAGAAAACAGGAAGTAGGTGCATTTTAGTTACAGTTGATTTAGACATTTTATATTACATGTATACTTTGTACAAAATCATATAATATATACACATATACAAATCTGTCATATACTACACATATACATATTAATATTACACATAAGTACATACCTTATAATATATAAATACTATATAAAAGTATATGAATACATACATACACACGCAAGTAGATATTGATAACAATTTTGTATTAAAATAAAAAGAAATCATGAGCAATTTGATTCTGCCAGTTGTTTGACCAGATACTGCTTTACTTTTACTTTAAGGGAAAAAGTGTTGGAAGCCATCCTGATTTCGAGTGGAAGCGCATTCCAAAGAAGAACGGTCTGAACGAAAAAGGAAGAGCCAACAAACTCAGACGTGAGGGGCGGACAACGAAGAAGAAGGTTATTGGAGGACCGAAGATTTCTATCGTGATTACTACATAGGGGTAAGAAATTGGAAGCTAGATACGTTGGCGAAGATGGGTTATTAAGAATATTGAATAAGACAGTGGAAGTGCGTAATTTACGACGTAGACGAATGGGTAACCAGTTAAGCTGCGAACGGAAAGTTGACACATGATCATATTTACGGAGGTTAAAGATGTATCGAATGCAGTTATTAAGAAGACGGTCTAGCTTATCGAGAAGATCTGCATTCAGGTCATAACAGCACACGTCACCATAGTCGATTATTGGGAAGATAAGTATTTGCACAAGCATGGTTTTGGTTTTTGCGGGTAAAAATTTTTTCAGGCGATATAGCGCTCGAAGAGTACCAGTAGCCCTCCGGCACAGATTTGCAGTTTGATCACGCCAATTCAGTGTGGAATCGAGGAGCAAGCCAAGATCCTTAACAGATTGACAAACGGGTATTATAGTACCGTTAAAGATAATAGATGGAAGCATCTCAATGTTTACTCTGCTCATCGGTGACTTCCAATTATTATAGCTTGACATTTCGTGGGATTTACTGATAGGCCAAACTGGTTAGACCATGCCTTAATTGTTTCCAGGTCTCTATTGACCATATCTATTGCTATTGAGATATCTTCAACCTTACTTTGTGAATAGAGCTGCAGGTCATTGGCATAAAGATGATACGCACTTCGAAGTCTCAGGATTACAAGATTAATATACACGGAAAATAGCAAGAGAGCAAGAATACCGCCTTGAGGGACACCAGAGCTAAGGTCACACCAGTTGGACAAGATTCATCGACACGAACAGACTGCTGGCGTCCCCGAAGATAAGATGAGAACCATTCCAGTTCCTCGGGCGAGACCTTATTATAAGAAAGGATAGATAGAAGGATATATGTGTTTACATACTAGGATTTTATATTCTTCTTTCTTGTTTAGAGGAGGATAAAAAAAGAGAATGAAACCTTATATTACCGGGTTACTGGGTAAGTCAATGTAAAGGTTTGGGATATGGTATTTCATAGGGAAATCTATCAGAAATGATGGCAAGTACAACCATTTAAAGTAGGAAGCATACAGGCTATATAACATCATGCTACGACCAAAAGGAGTCAGTATCAATGAAAAATGTTGCCAAAACGGGCAAAGTTATTTCTGTTGAAAGGTGCAGTCGAAGTTGCGAATTTTATAATTTTAAATTTTAAGCAGTTTCTCGAGGCAAAGACTGATAGAAAAATACTTACAGAATTGTCCAATAAAGTGCATATCCTATTGATAATGTCAATAATATGTGGTGGGCTACCGGCTTCATATTTGAGGAACCAATCCATTCCTCTAGAAGTTTCTACAATATAGCCCAGGGTGGCAACCATTCTTCTTGATAGTATGTCTTGTTCTTCTTTATACAATGATCTGTAATTAGATGTACCTATTTGAGATCGCCTGGTAGTATACTTTCAACCATAATAGGGAATATGCATGTATTTTTTTTATTTTTTTTAACGATCTACTAGTTATTACATTACCAAAAATAAATATAACACATCCGAAATATAAACCGTTAAGCAAAAAAAAAAATATTGAAATCACTATCATTTTGGGGCAATTTGAACACGTCCATTTTGGCGCGCTTTTTTTGTGACGTCAGATTACACTTTCAGACGAATTCGATGTCAACAACGGAGTGAAGTTCACAAAGTTTCTAAAAGTTAAAAAAGTGAGTGATAAAAATTAACTTATTACCCTGGAAAGCCAATAAAAACTTATTATAAATATTGTGCCGTTCCTTTGTGCCCAAATAATATCAAAACTGCACCTGACAAAGTATATTCAGTCATTGTGTTGAGTCTTTCTACACGGGAATTTAATAATTTAACACTGAAAACGTATTAGTTATTAACTTAAAATGAAACAAATAATCACCAGAAACCAAATATTACAAATACACACAACTTGTTGACACTCTTGACAGTGTAGGTTGACGTCACGTTTTATTCAACCAATAGCGTTGCGTTTTAGAAATGTGCGAGGTAATCTTAAAAAAGCCAATTTTTGATGATTAAATTTCACTATTAAATCATAATAAATTTCAAAAATAATTGTATGGGTATCTTTTTTTAGCAATAAAAATTACAAATAAAAATATTTTGTCCATTTTGGTGTCACATGCATATTCCCTATTCATATATTTATTAAACAAGCTAATAAAACTGTGTTAAATAAACCGGTCAAGTGACAGTCGGACTCGCGCATGAAGGGTTCCGTACCATTCTCTATAAAAACCGCAAAAAAATCTGTAATGTCTGTTGTATAATAATGTCTGTTGTATGGGAGCCTCACTTAAATATTTATTTTATTCTGTTTTTATTATTTGTTGTTATAGCGGCATCAGAAATACATCATCTGTGAAAATTTCAACTGTCTAACTATCACGGTTCATGAGATACAGCCTGGTGACAGACTGACAGACAGACGGACAGACGGACGGACGGACGGACAGCGGAGTCTTAGTAATAGGGTCCTGTTTTACCCTTTCGGTACGGCACCCTAAAAACGGCAAAAGTATCATGTCTTGTATGGGAGCCCCACTTAAATACCTATTTTATTCTGTATTTATACTGAAACGATTTGCTCTTTTAGATTTCTTACATTTTAGTTCCTATTTTTGTATATCGCCAGTTCTATTTTATTTTTTATGTACTTTGTTTTAAATATTTATATATAGGTATGTTTTTAAGTGTATATTTAACCAGAAAATATAGTAAACCGCATCATTCTTATCTTAACGGCTCGCATCCGATTAAGGGTTAATTTGTTTTGGTTAATGGTTTGGTTAAAGTTACCTCTTTATTTGAGCGTATGTTCAGTCAAATTATACTATATGATTCAGCATATTTATTTATGTATATAAGGTAATAAATAATTCTAAACTAGTATTTAATTAATAATTAACTAGTAAAACCGTATAGACTGGGGATTCACGTTTGACCCAGCACTAAGCTACGTATAGCTGAGCGCTCAATCTTTGGCACCCTTTATTTAAAGAACGGTTCAACGTATAAAAAAAGCTTTTCGGCAAAATTTGTAGAGATTTTTATCCTCTACAACTATTATGAAAAATGTAAACACGATTGATGGCAAAGGAAACGAGATATTCTCAAAAATCTGATGTCTACGACCTTTGACCTTGAATTTCTAAGGATGGTGACACGTGACCATTTATGTGAATTTTGATACAACATTTGTACTATCAAAATAAAGGTTTGTAGAAATACTCAGCTTATTCCGTTAGATTCCGTACGTAAGATGACTGTACTAATAGTAGAATATTAGTTAAATGGAACAGCCAGCTGTACTCGGAATAGATTACATATTTTTTTAATGTAGAGGTTTAACAATTGAAGAATACAATGTATGGAAATTGCAGTCAATAGTAATAATATTTTTAATATTTTCGTCTCTATATCATCATATTATACTTATTTTAATAATAGGTCTTTACCTATGAAATTGCCGTTTTGTATGCAATAAGTGAAAGTACTTTGTTTCAAACTTTTTTATTTCTGTTATTCGAAGTAATCACCCATGCAATCGACCCCTCCTTGCCAACGCATTGGCAGTTTATTGATGCCCTTCTTGTAAAAATCAGCTGGACGGGAGGCAACAAACTCTTTAAAGGCATTTTGTAGTGCCTCTCGGGAATTGAATTTTTTACCCACTAAAAAGTTGTCTAAATTTTGGAAAAAGTAATAGTCGGTAGGTGCAAGGTCTGGTGGTCACATCTGCAACCAGCTTTGGTCAATCGGTCGTCCCCACTGCTCCTTCACGACAACGCGCCACCCCATACTGCGCAACAGACAGTCACCAAGCTGCAAGAGCTGGGGTTGGAAGCTCTCCCTCATCCGCCATACTCACCAGACGTTGCAATCATTATAATGAATGAATGTAGAGGAATAAAATCATTATTGCATGATATATAAGACTTCATAGGCTAGTTTTTGTGAGCAGTAAAACTGTGAAATCCTAACCTGCCTTTAAGTAATTCCTCTCTGCTAACATGTACATAACTGGAAGTGGCTTCGATATACTTTTCATCCATTTCTTTCTGAAATGAAGTTGTGACACGTTGGCAGACCGTCTCCAACTTCAGTACAGTCTCATTAAGAATAGATTTTATACAATTAAAAATCTGAAAGCAATAATATTTCACACATTATTGAGTACCTGTTATAGAAAATCAAATATCACATGCGGGACCCAGAACAGATCCCTGTGGAATACCCAAGCCATATAACATGAAATAACTTAGTTTCATTTCTGTTATTAAACATTAACGACAAGAACTGTTTTTTTTTATTCATATATTATGAACGGTCATCCCGTGGGTGTCGTAAGAACCGACTAAGGGAGCAAACTACGCAGAACAACCACACTGCAAAGAGAAGGAAAACTTGAAACAAACCCTATACCAACCCGTCTGGCCTGCGTGGTATAGTTTGCCAAAAACTTCTTTTTAAGGAGAGGCCTATGTCCAGCAGTGGGCTATTAAAGGCTGTTGATGATTGATGAGTATGAAGTAAAATAGTATGTTGTATTTACTTTACATATGATTTTTGTGCTCTCGGCTTTATCACATCTTTGTCAAAGGGCAGTTAAATAGCTGTAAACATTTTTTTCTGTATTTGGTAGTATGTAAACAATGGACAGTAGGACTTACATTAAAATATCTCTCCTCCAACCTATCACAATTTCCACAAGCCACTGCAGTTATATCTTCATACACACTGCGCATAACCACTTTACTTCTGGTTTCCTTGGGTACAGGAGTTGACGGAACACGATGAAATGTACTGTATATCCTACATTTGTTTTGAGATAAATCTGTACTTCTCTGAAGCTTTTCATGGTAGTCTAATATTGAATGTTGTTGGTTTACAGATGGTTCTAGTATATATGACAGGATCATATTGAGGTTTGTAGATTCTGTAATAATTTAAACACAAATTTGAAATAAGTGGGGTCAAGTACAATAATGTGGTATGTAAGTGATGTGGTCTTATCAAAAAGTAGAGAATTAAGACAGTGAAGAAAATATGAGGGTTCAGAATCGCCTGAAAACCTTGATACCACTGTTTTTTTAAACAAAGAAAGATCTTATTGACTACAAAGAAATAAGGGGTTAAGTTAACAAAAGGCTTAATTTCGGTTAGTAAATAATTTTATAGTTATGTGCTTACAACTGTTTAGTGTTAATTCATAAATACCACTTTTAATCAGTTCAGGTCAGGACTGGAACTGCCACATAGAATAAATTTGAGTTTGCTTCAGTGCAATGGTACTACAGGGAAAAATAATTCCCCATGGACCCACCAGTGGGGCGTAGCGGTGGGACCACGGATAAAACGGGGGCGAATGAGCAGATGAGTCACCTGGTGATAAGTAACTACCGCCGCCCATGGACCCCTGGTCAACTCAAAAGTCACAAGTGCGTTGCTGCCCTTGGAGTCCCTCAGACTCGAGTTAGCGGGAGGGGGATTTGGGCTCCGGTAACCTCAGTCACTCAGTGAAAAGCCACGAAAGAATTGCTTAACACCGGTTTTCTGTGAGGCCGTTGTATCACTCCGCTCGTGCCGGCCCATTCGTGACGAAGCACAGCTCTCCCACGATGAGTTTTATAGCTCTATTAGATTGTGTAGTTGAACTCATGTATTTTGCAAAAGCCCAGTCTATATTAGAGGCGAAGTGGGGTGTCAAACATTTTTTAAGAATACCATAAACGAATACCATATACTAAAAAAATAATTATCATTCAAAAGGTTGTTGTTACTTTTAATTCTAAGATTTACTCATAGACAATGCAAGCAGTAAGTAATATTAGTAGATAGTTTTAAACATCAAAATTGTTGATTGAACTGTTGCAAATAGTTAAAAAGAACAAACCGTTACCATCACTGCATCTCTTATAAAGTTTCATAAAATGTATTTTGTCTTCAGTTTGCACACAACTTGATGTTGTTTTGAACCTTTTATTTGAACTTACTGATGAATCATTCAGAATTGTATTGTTATTGTACCTGCAATTTGTAAAATATTAAACCTATTAAATTGATTAGTATCTTTTTATATAGATATTGATTAGTAGGTATTTATTACCATGTAATATACTAAAGTTGTTATTAAACACATAAGGTGTGTTGTACAAAAATTATCCAATTTGCAGGCTCTAAAATTAAAATAATTTAAAAAATAAAGTGCTTTGAAACAATATATGTATTTCTCCAAAACCAATTTTTCTTTACGAAGATTATAAAACCAACTCTTAATCGCAACTATGGAAAAATAAAATTACATAGTTGCGATTAAAAATTAAAAGTTAATATGAATACAAATTATTTTGGATAATTAATTGGCATAATAATTTATCCAGTTTGTTATAGTTAAATTGTTTCTGCATGTATTCATTAATTGTGAACTTATTTGTTTGATCTTCACATGGGATAATGCTGTGTGATGCACAAATTTTTGTTCAGAGGGTGGGTTTCCTTGGTGTCCCTTTCATATATGTCTGTTAAGTCTCCCGTAACACAGGAAATATTCCTAGTGTGGCAGTTCTTTTTTAAAATAAAAATAATATTATTATCCGTAGTTCCGATTTGAAATAATAATCTTAATATTATTTCAAATCGGAACTTGTTTTAAGTCTTAGATTTTTTTTAATTTATTGTAATCTGCAATGTATAGGCCATTATAGATATTATGCGCCTACTTCTTAACAGTCATGACACATAAGGCTTTAATTACAGTGGCAACATGGGTAGTACTATACTGGGAAGATTTCTGGCAGCAATAACTATTCTGCAAAATGTTGATTCATACCTAGCTTTATTGTTGGTGACAACTATAAGTGTATATAATATATGAGATTGACTGCACGGCTGGCTTACTGGCTCAACCAGTTACCTCGCCACTAACTACTGCACAGAGTGTTGTGGGTTCTACATGAGACAACACTTTGCGTGATCCAGTCTGGGTGTTCTTTGTGTCCGTTTGTATGTTTGTAAAGTCCCCCACAACACAGAATATACTTCAAGAGTAGGAGTTATCTTTAAAAAAAACAAGAAATAAATACCTTTGAGATATATCATTGTTGCCAACGGTCACTTGTGTCAATTTTACTTTTGTTGATTCCAATTTCTTGCATTTTTCTTTAACACTTATTATTTCTAGATTCTAGAACATAATACACATTATCATTTTACAATTATTCTAGAAATACTCCTGTCCACAAAGAACTCCGATTTTCGAGAATATAAAAGAATATAAATAGATTTCCTTGTAATTAGCAATATGATTGTTTAATTCAACATTTTTATATGTCTGTTAGTCTCTATAAGAATAATTAAATTAATAATATAATGAGGGTGAGATTGCAAAAGCATGTAAAAAGTATTTGCAAAACCGCATATTGCTAACTGCTTATGCATTTTTAATGATAAATAAATAATAATAGACTTAATATCATAATTTATATATGAAAACCATTATTATTTTTCTTTGCCTTTTATTTAACATGTAGTCTCAAAAAAAAGTTTACGGGAGGAATGTTTCATTATAATGATGGACGATGCAATGGTCCCTACATGGTGTATCCATGGAATGCTAAGCAATGTCTCTCTCTGTACTTCTATTAAGTCTCACCAACACCAACAAATTTGGGTTCAGATAAATTCATGTTTCATAAGTTTATATGAACATTCAATCAAATAAATGCATTTTCTTCAAAAATTATACATGTTTAAATATACTGATTTTTGATGACTGTACAATGTATGCAATCCCTTGCTTGCTTGCAATATATTACTTGCAATAACTATTATAACTGTTTTAGTGTTGAGATATAAATATTAAGCTTATAAGGTGCCCAATTCAGTACTCGACCAAAACATGTTTTACCTTAAAATCCAACTGGGTCTTTAAATCATGAATCTGGCTGTTTGCAGCAGTTAATTTTTCATTATACTCTATCTGGACCTTCTCTTGAGCTTTTATCTTCTCCAACCTTGCGTTGTCAACTGCAGACTGACATGATTTCAACTGTGTTCTTAATATAGATGCCTCACCTTCTTTAGTCACACATTTGTCTAACAATTTACCATTTTCTGACTTTAATTTAGAGTTTTCTTCCTGTAATTGTAGCAATTGCTTGCTAATGTAGTCAGTATCATGACTCTGAAGGACTCTATCGTTGTAGGAACAGTACTTGGATGAATTATTGTACTCATTTGTTTTAGAAATGACTTTAGAAGTTATTCCTGGCAATGGTGAAGATATCCTATTGCATTTCTCTTTTAAATGAGTTGATACAGCTAATGGTGAGTTGAATGAAGGTTTTTTGAATGTAAATTCAGACTTAGATGTGCTTGGTTGTGGATTTAACTGGGTACTTGTGGATCCTGGTTGCATACACATACTGTAGTCTGGTAAGTGACTTATGTCATTGTTGCCGTATGCTTCTTCACAAGCCTGGCTCGCAAGAAGTAGGATTTCATCGTCGTTTTCATCACCCCAATTGTTATCTTCAGTTTCTGAGGTTTAAGGACAGGTTTTGAATTAAAAAATAAGATTATTGGTATCTACAATGTATAAGACGTTAAGAATGTTGATAAACAATTTACCTCTGTTGAGTTCATTATTTTGACTTAGAGGAAAGTTGTGATCAGATATGCTAACATCGAGTTTAGCCTTCTTTCTTTCACCTTGCTGTTCGGGATAGTAGAATCTTTTCGACATTGTTATTAATTGAAATTCATATTAAAATTTATTAGTGTTTCAATTTTGGCGGTACACTAGACAAAATAAAATAGGTTGGCATGAATGGAGTGGAGTTCATGCCATGGAGAAAGCATGTTATGTCAAAAACACAGAATATATATACCCCTAAAGGGTCAAAAAGTAGTTGAGTATTTTGACAGTAATTTTTTTATGACCGAATTTTTTAATTTAAATTGGTTATTTTTCTTTTATTTATCATTTCCAATAAAGTGATCTATACGGGAAGTTGTTGATGCACGTAAGGCCTTGAATTAAAATCTTTGATAGTATTTTAATACTAAAGTAGATCAGAACTGAATCGATTAAGTCGATTTTAAGTTTGTCGGTAAAATACGGTCTTTAGAGTCATAGACAAACACAGACGGTGTTGTGCAAAGTGAAGCTTACTCGCCGCACTACAACTTCTCTTTATTTGTAACCATTTCTCTTTGGTTAGTTCGTCGTGGAAAATCGTGTGAAGTAGACGTACATCATGTCTGTTAGTTATAAACTTGGTGATCTAGTTTGGTATGTATTGAAAAACGAAGCTATTACCAATTATTCATGACGATAAATCGTTTTTGGAGATAGTAAAACGTTCTGTGTATTTGTTTCAGGGCTAAAATGAAGGGTTTCAGCCCTTGGCCCGGCCGGGTAAGACGCTTCTTTTTATTGTATTTAGAATAAAAAATAATAATACACTATTATTAAAAGTGGCAGAAAGTATAATAACTGATAGTAAATACCAGAGAAACGTTTGTTGATATTATTGTAAGATAATACACATGCAATAATGGGCGGGAAAATTCTGCTAATTAAGATTGTGGAATGCTATAATGATATAGCGGTTTACTACCATAAAATACTCCTGATATTAAATTATTGGTGTTTGAACATCGTTATAGAGAATAAACAAAGTGCTAAGTGATAACAAAATGTTTTGATTATGATAACACTAATGAGATGTAATGATGGTTTTCAGGTAGCAATCCCTACGCCGGAACTCAAGCCACCTAAAAAGGCGATGAACGTGCAATGCATTTACTTCTTTGGAACCAACAATTAGTAAGTATTGGATGTCTGTATGTCAACAAATGGAATCTTTGAACTTTGGTATGGATATTATTTTTAAAACTATAAACATCATAGAGAATATAAATATCTTTTTAATATAACGTCTACAGTTATGTGGAAAAGGTAGGGCTACTTAGTGAATATGTAATAAGACTACACAGTACACTGGCATTTAAGGAACCAAGTTTATGGAACTACACTTAATAGTAAATTAATTTGTTAATAAAAGAACTTAAGTATTAAATAATATTCTAAACAATTTCACTAGTTCTTGATGTTTCTAAACAAGTTTTATGTATCTGTATTATGGTATTCGAAAATTGTATTTTAAAGTTAGTTTTGAGTCATATTTCTTAATTACTATTAGGTTTGTAAAGCAGTATCAAACTTTTGGTATTATAAATACTATCTTGTGTTGTTGTAGTATGTCCTGTAGAATATCTTAAAAATATGTTATGTTTTTAAATGTTTAAAAAGCATATCTTTTAAATGATATATATTTACACTTTTAGCTGTCTTATATGGGTTTACTTGTACTTAATTTGTATCTAAGCTTCATACTTGCACACAATTTGCACTTTAAGGTTTGAGTTCTTAATGCTCTGCTTGTATGGGTACGGTAGTGGTGAAAATGTTATGTACCATATCACCTCTATCATGAATTATTTAGTGCTTCTTCATTTTCAACACTACAGTTGTAATTTTTGGAGAAAATATGTTCATTATTACATTTGACTATAAATAAATTAAAATGTAGATTTTTTTCATCACAGTTCTAAACATCTCTTCATCTAGTAATACATTTAAACTTGACGTAGCTTTTTATTTATTTTAAAGATATCTTCTTATGTTATTGGCCCTGTGAATCTGTCTACTTAAAAGGGGTTTAGTCTGCTTCAATATATTGCAGTATAAACCATAATTAAAATCATTAAAGCAGTTCATTTCTCAAGAGTAATAATTCTGTAAACCATCTGAAAAATAACCATAGGCAACCCATTGCTTTGACAAAATCATTTACAAATATGACTAAAAAAGCTGTTAAGCCAGGGGTTGTGGGTTTGATTCCTACCTAGGCAATTGTATGATGTGCATGATCAAATGTTCTGTGTCTGGGTGTAATTTATCTACAATATGTATGTATTTAGAAATATATAAGTATGTTTATCAGCAGTCTGGTTACCATAGCACAGGCTATGCCTAATTTGGGATCAATTTTTCAATTTATCAGATTAAATGGCCATATGTGGGATGTATGGACATTATTATGTACCCAAAACATTCCTTTGCGGCATACCATTTCTACTCGCCTATAATTATTAAGATTTATATTATTTATTATTTGTACTAATATTTATAAAAAGGACATTTAATTTAGTGTACACTGGATTGTTCTTTCTTATTTTGCATCTCTTTTTTTTTCCTGTAGTCCACAATCAAATGGCTTTATGACCAGCCCACAATAGTCCACTGCTGGACATAGACCTCTCCTTCGAAAGAAGGTCTTAGCCTACTATATCACTTGTCAGATGGGTGCGTAGAGACTTTGTGTCAAGTTTTCCTTTTCCTTCTAGTGCTGTCATCCTGCTTAGTGTTGCTCCCGTAGTCGGCTCTTATGACACCCACGGGATGAATAGTGTTGACTCTCCAGATTCTTGATCCATCATCACACGGATTCTGATCAATCAAATGCTATATTTTCATAGCTTTTTTTTTATTATTTGGAATGATGTAGAACCAATGTAGCAAACCATACATAGATATTTTTTCTTCTTAATACCTATGCCTGTTTTCAAATCACCAAGTAGGTTGAATTCTGAACATGTTTTACAACTGGCATGTAGTTGTATCCTGAAAGGCAATTATCGTAACAACTTTCTATCAACTATCGGTCTCGCGACTGTCATAAAAGGTATTTTTGTAGTAAAATAGTAAAGTATTACTAGGACTAGCAGATTACCGATTAAATTTTCGGTTACAATACGATATAGTTGGATGTTTACTTTACTACAAAAATACCTTTTATGACAGGTATGAGATTGAGAGTACATCGGCGCTGAATTGTGACTGAACTTTTATTACGGGAAATGGCCTTCTGTGCTCGGTAAATTATTTAAATATTGTGTTTAGCAAAAAGAGAATTAGACTACTTTTTAAATGTTTAAAGTTAATAAGATGTATTGTTAAGCTGAACTGTCGAAACTGCAGTTGTATGGCAAATTGGTAAACTCATCTTAATGGTTTAAATGATGATATGTGTTGGTATCATTAGAACCAATTGCGGCGTTTGCGTCACTAGCTGAAGAGCTCACCAAACCATTCAAGCCAAGCAACAGCCAAGACTAAGGCAGGCAAGGTTTTCTCCTTGCAGTCCACCCGTATCCTCTGTTGGCACTTTTGTACATAGTAATCTTCTAATCAGATTCCCATTCCGCATTCTGTGTGGTGACGGATACAGAGTGTCACCACCCCTAATCATCCCATGGGTGTCGTAAGAGCCTACTAATGAAGCAAAATACGCCAGGACTACAGCACTGTAAAGAGAATAAAAACTTGACAGAAACCCTATACCAACCCATCTGGCCAGCATGGTGTAGTACTCTAAAATCTCCTTTCTAAGGAGCGGACTATGTCCAGCAGTGGACTTTCAAAGGCTGTTGATGATGATGAATCAGCGTAATGTGAGCTACCACTTTCTGTAAGATTTAGTTGTCCAAGTTGTGCAAAAACGCTTTAAACCAAGCGACTCTTAGAACCAAGCACCAAAGCACACATTGTATTTTACGTTTAAGTCTTGTTAACAAGCTGAAACAACCTTCTTAGGGTCCAATAGGTTAAACTGGTTTGCCCGTAGTAGTACTCGTGAATTCTTAAAAGAATTATTTCTTTTAATAATACATATTATTAGATTCCATATCGATTTCGGTACATTCCTCGGAGCCTTTTTTCCCGAACTAAGTTAGGGTCCGCTTTAAGTCCTGTGACAATACAGCTGAACTTAGATTTTTTACACGGAGCGCCTGCCATCAGATCTCCACCAAGCAAGTACTAAGTTATATCGTACTGTAGAAAGACTTGTCGAAGTTTTTGGGCTCCAACTACTCGTAACAATTGCCACAGAAGTTCGTATGGCTACCGGCACGTAGGGGTCTTAATGTGTTAAGAATGGTCACCCATCCATAGACTGACCTGGCCAAGATTGCTTTACTTTGCAATGTGTAAAGTTACTCTGTTACCACTTAGCCATTAGCCTCTCAATTAGCAACATTGCTTTCATGCTGATCGGATGAACGGCACGGTAGTGGTAGCATTTACATTAATAATACTTATTTATTACGCTTATATTTTTCTCCTCCGGATACATGTTGAAAACCCTAACTATATGTTGTGAAATCGTCGAATTGTTTTTCTCAGTTTCAGCAGTCATGATAGCTCTATTCTTTTGCTGGTAGGCCATTTTTTTAAGACAACTCCCGCACTAGGGATGTATCATGTGTCGCGGGGGACTTTACAAACATACGTGAAATGAACTCCCAGACTTAGAACAAAAATTTGTGGATCTATCTCCACATGGAACAACACTTTGTGTAAGTTTTGTTCCATGTGGAGATCGATCCCACAACACTCAGCGCAGTAGGAAGCGCCGCGTAAACAATTAACCCGTTTTATATCTCCAAGAATGTACTTCAAAATGACTACACGTTCTTTTCACTGGTTATAATGTTCCTTTGCAGTTTTGCTGTTTAATGTTAAAAATAAATCATCATCATCATCAACAGCCTTAATTAGTCCACTGCTGGACATAAGCCTCTCCTGAGAAAGGAGGTTTAAAAATAAATAAATAACTTAAATATGACGGCTGGACGGATTATCAATAAATTTGTATTGCAAGGTTTTTGTGATCAAATTAATAACAATCACTTCACACATCTAAAACACGGCAGTCTTATCCCAAATTAGCCAAAGCCTGTACTGTAGTAACCAGACTGCTTATAAGCTTAAATATTTCTAAATACATATATATTATAGATACCTACATCACACCCACGCACACTCCACTACACAATACACTATTTGTTCTGGAGTGGGAATCTAACCCACGACTTCCAACAGGCCCGTCACTTAGAAACATAATGAGAACACCATTTGAAGTTATGCTATTTCTTGAAATAAGCCAGGTATTATGTTCTAAGTCTTGGAAAGCTAGGTTTAAATTTACCGAATGTCAGTTAGTTACCATCGTGTGCATCAGCCAATTTGTTCAATTCGTGAGCACGCAATTGCTGGCAATGTTAGTCTTTATTCACTTAAATTTTTATTACCGATACCGGATTTAGCATTACTGGCTCTTAATATTTTTATTCGTAGAGTATTTTTTTTGAGATATTTATTAATGTAACCATTTAATCATTTTATTTCGTTATCATAATTTTTTTTCTTAATTTTTTAAAAGATAACTTTCATAAATAGCAAATAGTAATAGGAAAGGATTTTTAGGGGTAGAAAATGTCCCCTTTATTAAATTTAATGTTCCAATAAACTTGTTGAATGTAAAATTGTAAATAGTCGACTTCAGTGCCGTCTTCAGTGACAGATTAAGAATGCGGAGTGTCACCACTACTATTCATCCCTTGGGTGTCGTAAGAGCCGACTAAGGAAACAAACTACGCAACTAGGCCAAAACCTCCTTTCTAAGGGTATGCTTATGTCCAGCAGTGGACTTTTAAAGGCTGTTGTGTGATGTGATGATGATGACATGATGACAAGGGACGGAAATGTGTAACAAAAACGTGAACGTGAAACGTAACGTGCCCAAGCGCGCTTGCTTATCACCACGGTGTGATGTCAGATGTTACACACTAAATGCGACTACTTTAAGGCTCGCTCGTTTCTTTTTTTAAATTTAAGAATGATGCTGAATTTTTCAAAGAGCTTTTGCTGCAGAACAAAGGTTATTCAATAACTACGTAATATGTGAGAATCACTTAGGCATAGAATTTGTAGTACTACCTAAAGAATTCGTAGTGTCTGCTAAATCCAATGTTTAGAATAGGTTTCTAATAAAATATTTTATTGTTTTTGTGTCGTCGAATTTAAAAAATAAAATGTATCGTCAGTACTATCTATGTATAAAGATAAATGGACCAAGAATTGTGCCCTGGAGGACCACCACTTGAACACAACTCCCAAGAATCATTTTAAACTCGCATCATCTTGCCGAATACTGTTTAATAAATATTATATATGAATATAATTAGTGTGGAATTTAAATATCATATGTGTTATTTCCTAATGATTGTATCATGTTTAACAGTCTTAAAAGCCTAAGAGAAGTCACTGAAGATACTTAATGTTTCCTGTTCGTCTTTGCAAGCACCATAGATATGTTTTATAAGCTTATGACCAGCATATTAATACTAGGCCATATCCTTTGTAATTTTAGGTCTTTTATTACTGAAGTCTGAAATAGCTTATGTTAGATTTGTAGTTATGATATTTGATTACCGTTATTTAATAACTAAACAAATAGAAAACTAAAAGTAGAATATAATTAGCCTAATTGATTAATACTTAGTTTCACCAACTTGATGAAAATCGTAGTAACATGATGTATGAGCTTTTTTAGTCGATATTGATTAAAAATAATTAAGGACCTGTTGGTCTAGTGATTAGCGATTCTGACTACTAGGCCAGAGGATGTGGGTTCGATTCCCTTCAAGGAAAAATATTGTGTAATAAGAACGATCATTTGTTCTCTGTCTGGGTGTAATTTATCTATAATATGTATACATTTAGAAATATATAAGTATGTTTATTTAGAAATACAAGCCATAGATGACCCGAGGTATGTCGAGATACCAGGGATTTCCTTCCTAGGGAGCACCTAGTTTCCCGGCTACTGGTACCCGAGACGGCGTGCGGTTTTTAGTCGGTTCAACCACCCCACCGGTGGGTGGTATCCGAGGAGATTTCCGCTTAGAAAAAAAGTAGGTAAAATGCCTCTGTCTACCCCCTTCGGGGATAAAAGACGCGAGTGTATACTATGTGATATGCGTGAGAACTTTGTTAAAAAGTTCGAAAGGTCAGTAGTAGGGACTGGAATACCTAATTGTAAAAAAATACTAATATTTCAAAGCGGACGCAGTATCTGTAAGCCTACTGTAATAATTTAGTTTTATTACTATAAATATATTTTGTAACTGAACAATACATAGTTGCTAATAATATGTGATATAACATAATTTGTTACTATGTTTTATTAGCTTCATTTGTAAATAATTAATATTGTAAACAACCCTCTTGCAATAGGCTATTTGACATTAAAAATATTCTCCAAATTATGGTGATTCTATTAGATAATAGGATAGAAAAACATGATTTATTTTATTTCACGCTAATTGGTGTAAATTTTTAAGCAAATTTAGCGAAATAAATTTAATTTCATTTTATAAATTTTATCTCGGACGGGATGTCCTATGGTTAGACACAAGTCTGTGACGACACCACAACAGTCACAAGTGTCAAAAGTGAACCATAGATTAAAAGATATGAAGTGAACAAAACAAACAATCTCAATTTGTGGATTCCTTCGACCGATTTTAACTGCGCATTTTTATGTTTTTTGAGTGTTTTAAATAACTCTAATAGTATTTTCTAATAGGTTCTGAAAGAAGTGGTATAAATATCGCTAATTATTAATTGTAACCACACACAGACGTATTTTTACATGTTGACACTACACACCATTTATACGCCATTTCACATCACATCAACAGCCTTTAATTGTCCACTGCTGGACATAGGCCTCTCTTTAGCAAGGAGGTTTTGATCTATCAATTTAAAAGAGGCCATTCAATTTATCTTAATGATAAAACTCGCTTTATACCACGTCAGCTTTGTTTTGTTTATGTCATAATGTCAATTACGTTACCTCATGATCTTGGGGCCATGTCCCGTCCGCTCTTGCCTTTGAGTAGGTGACTGGCGCGTGACGTCAGGGCACGTATTTGCCGCGGATTTATAAATTTAAACCAATATCGATTTTTAAATATAAATATTAATGTACTATGTACAATATCATAATAGAATAATCTAAAACAGAGGTGGATCTAAACGTTAAATTTATCAGACGTGCGGTAAAATCCAGTGTCACTTTCCATCAGGTGACGCGTATGCTCGTTGCAAGTAATTGCAAGTAGTTGCAGTAATTAGATACTAATGTGGGCAACAGTACTAAACATCGATCTGATCAGGACCAGGACCCTGACGAAACAGGTGCCAAGTTTTTATACGCAACGATAATTTCTTGGAACCCTGTCGGTTAGGGAGCGGGTCTTGATCGATGCGTCACTATTTTATTAACGTGAATGGAACGATTATAGTATGGGTACTTGTTATTTGTAAACAATTTCAGTGCAACCACTCCATTACAAGTCCAACGCCAACCCTACCACCGCCATAAATATTTAGTAGTAGTACTACTACTACTAAATAATAAACTATAGCCCATTCGCGGTAAGAAAATAGTGACGCTATGATTAAACCCCGCCAACTAAAAACTAGGTTTCATGAAATTATCGTTTCGTATGAAAGCTTGGAACCTGATTGGTCAAGGTGCGAGGCCTCATCAATGCGTCATTATGTTCTTAACGCAAATGGACAATAGTAATGTTTACTGACCAATCCATCTTCAGAGTATTCAGCTTCTACCGTAGAGAGATATAAAGTGTTAGAACTGCAACCACCTTGGTGAATGCACACCTTATTGCCGTCAACTCAGCAAGGAGTCCCATAATAGTCTGAGTTTGGCCGACAATGTACTTTAATACAGACAGAATGCCTGCACTTCAAACACTGAAATGGTTTTAATCTGACATGTATATAACATCATCATCATCCTTTCATAGTCCACTGCTGGACATAGGCCTCTCCTTAGAAAGGAGGTTTTGGCCTATTATACGTCATGACAACAACTTTATTCTTTACCTCTTTTTCGTAACGCCATTCTAAAACACTTTCGTCATGCTCCTTGTGATACATTTCGGCTCCGCTCGCGTGTATAACGGTAAAAAGCCTATGTCCTTCCGTAAGAATCAAAGTCCCTCTATGACAATTTCATTAAAATCGATTCAGCGGTTATTGTTTGCCCGTACAAACTTCCACCCCCCTTTTCATCCCCTTAAAGAGAAAATATATATCCTATATCCTTTACCGGGACTCAAACTATCTCAATAACAAATTTCATTTAAATCGGTTCAGCGGTTTAAGCGTGCGGGGTTACAGACTTTAATATTAGTACGGATATGTATGTATTTATAAATATATATGTAAGTATGTTTATTTAGATATGTGCCCGGTTGACGGTAATACGCTTGCCATCTGTTACGTAATTGAGACTAAAATTATAGTGTGCATGATGTCGTTTTAATTTGCCTCTGTAATCCCTTCGGGGAGAAAATACATGAGTGTGTGTGTGATATTTTTATAGACATTAAAAATTACGAATATAAACTTCAACGAATTTTTGTAGGTATTGTTTTCAATCTATACTAACATTATAAAGCTGAGTTTGTTTATTTGGTTGAACGCGTTAATCACAATCAATCGGGCCTAAGTACAAGTACACAAGTAGCTTAGATATTCAATACAAACATAATTCCTTTGTGGTCTTATAAAAAACGATGTTTCTTTAGTGTCATGGATAATACGTATCAACGTCATCTAATTCAAGGCATATAAGTATTTTTGAATTCTAGGTTAGACTCCGAAACGGAGCATAAAACTAATTGAAAAAAGCAAGCATTTAAGCGGTCACCTAGCTGCTTCCTGATGCGCTAGGTGTTCGATTCTCACATGGGACAACACTGTGCGATCCACAAATATTGTTCTGAGTCTGGGTGTTTCTTGTGTCTGTTTCATGTATGTTTCTAAAGTCTCCTGCGACACAGGATTTATCTTTAAAAAATAAAAGAAAGAAAGTATTGTACCAATTTGAGTCGCCATGAAATAAGCAGTTACCCTAGTAAAGACTTCGTGTACTGGAAAACTAAATTAATTTAACATTTCGTTAATGAAAACAGCTCCAAGTAATACGATACATGCTGCGAATATGTACATTATTGCTAATTAATTATTTTTATAAATAAAGTGTCTCATTATGTGTATATTTTTTCACGGAACACATATTAAATAGTTGAAACTACATGTTGTGTTCGCTTGCTTTTATTTTTCCCACACGCACTGTTATGCATTTTCACACTCGTTATGGGGACGCAGAAGCCCGGAATATGTGGTGATTCCACTAAAATCCTTTAAGACAGTCGGCCTTAGGCGCCCCACTCTGGGAGGACTCGGAAAATGGGATTACAGGTCCTTCCTGAATCGACACCACGCCTAACCAGGTCCTAGCGCCCCTCAATCGCTGCGTGGCGGTCCGATTGCGTCTTAATGCGCTTCTGTAGGGTAGACCCTACAGGAGCCAAAAACCACTTATACTAGAGTATAAGTGTTTTTTTTACAACCGGGTTGTAAAACAAGCACACAATCCTTACGGTGCGGAGAACAGGACGCTTTATTAGTAGTCAGCGGTCTTCCATAGGGTTAAAATGTTTGGTTAAAGTGCCATGCCTGATATGGTCTAGGTGATAATAGTGGCTCCCCTTGACCAATCAGGTTCAAATAAATTAACGTTTCGTACGAAAGCTTGGAACCTGATTGGTCAGAGTGCAGGGCTTTTTCGATGCGTCACTATTTTCTTAATGCGAATGGACTATTGTATACCTTACACTTTGATATTAATAAGTGGACGTTGCCAACAGTGCTTGGATCGAAGACAACAACATCAAACCGTACCAAGAGTACAAAGAACAGCTGATTAAATCCTGCAAGACTGCTGCCTTCAAAGAGGCTGTCAATCAGATTGAAGAATTTATTCTGCATCCTGAGGTTGGTACCTGATTTTTAAATTGTGTTTTAGTTATGGGTGTGTTTCGCTTTCAACGTTGTGTTTTTTAGTCTCTCTGTTTATCAACTCTGGTGCCCAATCCAGGTTATACTCCAAAATATCAATTGACTGTAGGAGTAGCATCAACAAAAATATAAGAAGTCATACATATTGAGTAATTGATTGTTCTATAATTTAAAATAGTATTATTGGTTTATTTATGTAAAACAACCATTGTGACTACTTTTGAGCGCGTACGGCATCCGACAACCATGTCAAGGATCGCGGCTTTTATTCCCGCCCCGTTCAAAAAATTGTATTCCTGGGTGTATGTATGGTGTAGATTTGCTTAGTTTTGAGTATACAACGTAGTACCAAATATAATAGTATTTTGTAATCGTTGTTCTGGAGTCTGTATACCAGATTTTTTCAAGCAGTCAACTTAATTTGTACGTCTTTCCGCCTGCACCTTTCCAGGCGAATGTACTAAGAACTGTACTTTGCTAATTAAAAGTAATATGATACTCTTTTTTGTGTAAGAAGGCCATATCTTCCACTTCTATTATAATTCTGAAACAGAAATTCGGTGACTTGGATGATCACGGTCGCAATACTGAAGAAGACTTCGACAAGCTGAAAGATGAGATTGATGAAGAAGACAGTCAGGAGGAAAAAGCTGATGGTGAGGAGGAGCCCCCAGCCCCAGAGGCACCGCCTAAAAAGAAGAGCGCCACACCAAAGGTAAGAGTTTAAAATGTAGCTTGTAAATACTCGTCATAGTCGAATTCTCGTTGACCTGATCCTTAGCTTGTTGGCCATTCATAGAATCTAAACGTACAGCCATTTTGTAAACTCCTTCTCATGAATTTTCATCCCCATAATTTGAATACTTGGGACTCCACTATACCCTTTTCAAGAAACTTTCTGCCTTGCACAACTAACTTGTGGAACAAATTATTATCTGCGTTATTTCCGGAGCGACACGATATTCAAGTCTCCAAGAAGAGAACGCAGTCTCGCTTCAAAGACCGGTAATGCACTTATGACCAGTGGATGGTGGGCGGTGTCGCTGGAAGGATTTAGTCATTTACAGATGACCCGTTTGCCTCTTTGCACCCGATTACTTAAAAAAAACAGAATAGCTGTTCGCATGCGTTTATGTTTTAAAGATAGATAGAAAACTCTTTATTTGTACACCATTTTTACAAAAGTAGTTTCATATATATACAATTGTCATGACGAAAAGTACAAAGGGCGACCTTATTGCTAGGTGCAATTTCTTTTAGACAACCTAAAGATGGATCAAAATGTTTGAGACAAAAAGTACTAGTTAAAGGTGTTTTTCGGTGATGAAAATATTACGTTGTATTTATTACTTTATTATGATGTATCACTTTAATGCAACAAATATTACTTATGTAACCGTAACTGTAACAGACTCAGGTAGTACAAGCGTCAGAATATCTCCGGAGTATTGGTCCGTCCACACGTCACAGACTTGGTACAAACTTTTGTCGTACAGACTGAAAAGTCTGAGTGAAAAAGTTTACGCAAATATGTCGACAAAATGTTTGTCTAGACTTTTCATTACCTCCGACTTTTATTTTTGAACAAGCTTTTAAAAAAAAATTGTTACCAGAATCGACGCTAACCTCGGTGTGAACAATTGTAACATAGATACAACCTTATATAAAAAAAGACGTCAATTATTATTGGCATCAACTTGCATTATTATTATTAGTCTGTACGACAAAACTTTGTACCAAGTCTGTGTGATGTGGACAGACCATAACAAGTTTTTACAGGTTTGAGTCCCACCGTGGGAGATTTAAAGTTAAAAAAAAAATAGTTTTGCCGATGACCAGCAATTATCAGATCATATCACAATTGATGCAGGACGTCTTTTTAACTGTCAGCAGTGCAGTTCAATTGTTGCATTTTGGCTTATCACTTCATCATTCCCATAAGTGACCATTCTCAATATTTATAGATACGTTTGGGCATTTCAAAGGTGAAGCCTATGAAACGGTCATCCTCCGCTGGTATGAAGTCCACTCCTCGCAAGAAAAGCAAATCGAGCTTATCGAGGTCCTACACTGACACGGATATGGCCAATGAGAAGCCTTCGATGCTTAATCATTCGTTCTCCAAGAAGTCCAGCTTGCTGAATCGGCCATCAAACATATTGAGACCGGTAAGTAATATTTTACGTACATTTTTATCAAACATATTAATTTTAGTTTTTTTTAATAATCAGTGAATGAGGTCAATGGAGTCCAAATCCCCTCTCCCTCTGATGCTGGTGGGAAGGCGCACTTGTGACTCTTGAGTTAGAGGTGTCTGTGGGCGGCGGTAATCACTTACCATCAGGGTAGACGTTTGCTCGTTTTTTTGCACATTAGCGTCTAATGTACCTAAACTAAGGCTACGTTATTGTATCAGTTTATTTAATTAAAAAACTTACTCTAACTTCAGCTGAAGTATCAAAAAACTATATTTATGTTTAGGATAGTTGCTATTTACCCGTACTTTGTCACCTAACCTATCGAATTATTGTTTTGCTCTGCCATTAATGACCTTATTTCTTTCTACTTCTACTGATTCATCAATCATCAGGCAGGTTTTGGCGTACTATACCATTCTGGCCAGACGGGTTGGTATAGGGTTTGTTTCAAGTTTTCCTTCTCTTTGCAGAGCTGTTGTCCTGCATAGTTTGCTCCCTTAGTCGGCTCTTACGACACCCACGGGACATCCTTAGAAATGAGGTTTTGGCCTACTATACCACGCTGGCCAGACGGGTTGATATAGGGTTTGTTTCAAGTTTTCCTTCTCTTTGAAGTGCTGTTGTCCTGCATAGTTTGCTCCTTTAGTTAATTCGTCACCACACGGACCGCTTACATACCTATATATTGACGAATCGACGAAATGACGATAAAATCTATGTCAGTTAAGCTTGTACGTATTCTCAGCTAGTATATAATAGTCTAGGATTGTATCAGAATTCATAGAAAAAAACTTAGATGAAAGACCGGAGTGTTAAGAATTAGCGTACAACCCGGTAGTACCTTGCAAAATTTGGAGCGACGGCGGTATTGTAATAGCATCGTCGGACGATAAAAGATGGTTGCGGGTTCGAACCTTGCTCAGTGCACTATGGCCTTGAGCCCTCTTCTAGCACAAGCATATAGTTAATTTGATGGCGTTAACGAGAATACAATAAAGTGTAACTAAAATAAAGTTTAACCGACTCATTTTATCCTCCTCAGGAAACTCCACCATTGGATCTGGAAAATGTATCCGAGACTCTTTTGGAGAAGAACATAAAGGCGAGTCAGATGAAGTTTGGCTTCCTCGGTCTCGGGATCATGGGCAGTGGCATTGTGAAGAACCTTCTTAATTCTGGACATAAGGTCATCATTTGGAACCGGACGGCAGCCAAGGTAAGTGACATCTTCAGTATCACTTGAGGCGACGGAATAATTAAACACTTTTACTGGATAATATTGTCAAAAAGCTCACCGTTCTTTAATTTAAGCACGTTGATGGAACGTTAACATGTCTATATTGTTTTTTTTTAAATTTAGGTCGTATTAAGCCTATAAACTAGATGCAATATATAATTCGGAGAAATCATGAACTATGAAAATATTTTAAACAGGAATCTCTGGATTTCGCGGAGCTTACTTTCTATCTAGACCTAGAATATCGACTTGCGTTTGTCTTTGTCTGTCTGTCTTTATAGAAAATCTGTATAAGGTTTCGTGACGTACTGATTTGCGATGTAAATGCCAGGGCTGATGCAGTTGAACACGAATTACGCCGTTGTAATAACAATAATTTGTAATCTATATATTAATACGTGAAGCGAAAGCTTTTTACTTCTGAATTAACAATGGAACCCAAGGATGTGGATGAAAGTGAAATTTGACAGTTAAAGTTTATATGGAGAAGAAGTGCATAAAGGTATTTTTTATATAAAATACATTAGAAAAAATATAATAATTAAAATAAACATAAACACACTACTGCTTGAATGTACACACACAACACATACAAACCATAGTTACTCTTTTGTTCATGGTTAGAATCTATGGTCAAACTCTAAGTTTATAACAAATATAGTATATTTATGATGAAACCTTTGATTATAGAGGTGTAGCTTTTGACAAAAGTTCAAACTTAAAAAATAATTTATTATGGTCGAATTTCGACCACTGGGCGACCACTAGTATACATAATTCGTTGTACAGGATGTTTGCACGTTGGTTCCCAGACTGAATCATTCTTGTATTGTTGTGTTTTGTACAAAATACGACCAAAATACAGATGGATAGCGGCCTCACGTAGAACCATGTTGTTTCGTAGGTCAGTATCTTACAACTCTTACTGTAGGAGAGTCACGGTCTTGGTCACAAATGGGCTGGATCGAGTGATACCGCGGACTCACAGATAACCAGTGGTACCCAAGTGTCCTGCTGGCGGTAGTGTCCTGTTCCGGGTTGATCATGACTATATCGTCCGTATGGACGGGCCGACTCAAAACTATGGTCCTTTTTTGAAAAGGCCAACCCAGACCCTATACACATAGTTCTATTTAACATTGTACACGGACTTAAAAAAAGGATGTTTCCGCGTTTCTTCCTAAAGTCAGTCTTAGGAAATGTCGACGCCTTCTCGCTGTAAAGTCCGACTTATAAAAATATTTTCTATCGAGTGCTTGAGAGTCCGGAGCCCAAACCTCCTCAGGAAGGCAATGCAGTTTTGACTTGCGCTGTAGATGTCTATGGGAGGCGGTACTTACCATCAGGTAACCCATCTGCTCGTTTGCCACCCTTATAAGATAAAAAAAATAGTGGCACTCCGGAAGTGATGACAGAAGTAAAAACTTAGATACAGAGATGTCGGCAACGGTAACAGTGTCGAGAGTTCAATTGTTTTTCCCATCTCGAAACAAAAATACATGGGTTGTTGTTTAAATATGCTTGCATGCAAATGTTGTTTTCACTTCAAAAAAAACTCAACAGGTGACCAGATTTGTAGGCATTTAAAAACGCTTATATAAACTTTATAGTAACTACCTCATAACATTGTCAGAAATGTCGTGCTTTGCCACGCTATAGTTTTAAAAACTGTGTTTACTTAATAAATGAAAATTTTCAGTACATACATCAGTCCTAGATGACACTTTCACTATTAAAATAATAGCAGACTAACATAAGTAAATATTTGTGTCATACAGTCATTTAAAAATGTAACATTCGAAATTAGAAGACAGTTATGATGTATATCTGTCCTCTTCTTTCGAATTTTTCAAATTAGTCATCGTTTGTTTGTAAAATGTAAGTTAGAAACTTGGTATAAAGGTGCTCAACTTTTAATACATTGATTCCATTCACAGCCTTTACTAGTCCACTGTTGGACATAGGCCTCTCCATAGAAAGGAGGTTTGGCCTACTATACCACGCTGGCTAGACAGGTTGTGTGCTGTTGTTGGTCAGTGCTGTTATCCTGCTTAGTTTGCTGCCTTAGTCTTCTCTTACGACACCCACGTATTCTTAATCCGTCACCACACGGAAGACTTTTAATACATAGGAGATTTACTTTTACCATTCTAAATATTTTTTTATCTATATAAGAACATTTTGCGATTTGAAATCTCTGAAACAGACCTGTGTTTGTGACATATTAATTATGTCAATCTTAGTAAATTGCCGGTGTGATTACTCTCGCACTGTGAAAATTGTTACTAGGTATAATAGCTACAAATTACAGGGAGGTCACAGAAAACCAATCGGTTTATTTACTTTATAAAACACTGCTGATCCGCGTCTTATAATAAATTTGACCCGTTTTTGCATCATTTTTTATCGATGTTTGGCTCCTTTAGCAGTACCGTGATGCTATATAGTCTTCAGTCTTTCTCGATAAATTCGAACCAGTAGTTTCTGAGATTAACGCGTTCAAGCAAACAAACTCAGCGTCATAATATTGGTACAGATAATTTGTAATTACACAGTCCTTTAAGGTATTCATGATCATATTTTACATAGGTAGTTGGTTTAAAATTCTTTATTTCTCTGAGACTAACGACGACACTAAATAAAAATTAAATAAAGGAATAATAGTATGTTTTGATAGAACGTAATTCGTAAGTAGAAGACGGAATGGCGCAGTACCGAAGCACGGATGGCGAAGTGGTTTAAGTGGTCGCGCCGCTTCCTACTGCGCCGAGTGTTGTGTGTGTGGTTCAAACCACACATGGGACGACACTTTGTGTGATCCACAAATTGTTATTCTGAGTCTGGGTGTTCTTTGTGTCCGTTTCATGTATGTTCGTAAAGTCCTCCGCGACACAGGATATATTCCTAATGCGGGAGTTGTCTTTTTTAGAAAGAAAGAATTAGAGTATAACCTGAAAATGAAACTCACATATAAATGGATAAATAAATCATCCGTTAATGAAAGCCAATAGCCTGCAGTTTGCTTCTGTCCTTATACGTATTTTTCTTATACATTATTTAATGAGAAAAGAGTTAATAGGATAGCAGTTGGTAGGCTTGGGATAAAATTACAACCACCTGTGCTTATTCAAAGACTTTAAAATCATTTAATGAAACATGAAACCTCATCTGCAACATCACTGCGCCTAATTATTATTTTTAGCGCCAGACGCGCAAAAGGACTAAATCTTAAAAAAAATCGTTTTCAATGATTTTCAATATAAGTAGTGATTTTTCACAGGTGAAGTTACAGTGACCATAACCAGTCATTTCATCAAATGAATGTGATTTCATACTAGCAATAATTTCAATGTCTAGCAGTTGGTGATTGTTATTGGAGAACAGCTCCGATCTCTACAATAACAAACGGCCATGACTTTTGTCTTGATCGATACATATAAAATTACTTGCCATGACTGATTAACTGATTTATCGACGCAGAACCTAAAGAGCTGGGGATGCAAACTTGAAATTTTGGCAACTTGATGCTTTTTATGTTGTTAGCACCCACTATGAACGTATTTTGGAAAGTAAATTAATTTAACCTAAGTTCTCCTTATATCGTCGGTTATGTGCCAGTGAAAGTCCAGAGAGCCTAGTACAAGTTTATTTCACGTCGACTCGAGCACGTTCAGCGGAGATTTCAGTGCGGGCATATTGTAGAGCCGCACGCGGTTACCGTGACGATCGAGTAGATGTAAAATCAACTCGCACTTGGCGCTCTAAACTCGGTTCATCCGTTCCACATATTGACTAGAAGAAACAGAACCAGAAATTTAAAAAAGTATTTGTTCATGTGAATGCATTTAGTAAATATCTGTCTATCTAGTTCATACCTGGTGCCCCGGATACTAGTAACCTAGACAGCGGTTGTAGTCTGTTCGCGCCCGATATAACCACTCCACCGGCCGTTCGGTGGGGTTTATCCGAGGGGATATCCTTAATATTTTCAAGTACTATGAATCATTGTGAATTATGATATCTATTTCACTTGTTATGTTGAAAACATATGTGAAATGTTTAGGATGCTTACGTGGTCATTTTCGATTTATATTAAAACTATTTCGCATACTTGCAAGATAGACAATATGTTTGTTTAGCGTCATAGTGGCGCAAACGAGTTATTGCATTAGTTGTTTTTATTGAGTTTTTTATTTTCTTGAGGATTCCTTATAAAATGCATACTTATTAGATTTCTAAGAAATAAAATGGTGAATATGAAGATATTTAATATAAGTAGTGTATAAGCAGTGGTAGGTACCTAACCCCCTTAATGATGACAAGAGTGAATAAAATATTGAGATTGTTTTAGTGTATCCTAATGAAGTAGAAAGCGAGATACGTCTTCTTATTATTAGTTTATTTGTAACTGGCTTTTCGCTGCTCCGTCCGCGTAAATGTTGGTTATCGCGTTAAAAGCCTATGTCTTTCCTCAAGAATCAAAGTATCTCCATACCAAATATCATCTAAAATCCGTTTTGCGGTTTAAGCGTGAAGAGGTAACAGACAGACAGACAGACACATTTTCGAATTTCTAATATTAGGGATGTGTACAGGAATAATTTCCAGATAACAAGGCGCGTTGATAGATGTTTTACGTACAAATGTAATATTAGGTCTTTACCTATGAATTGCAGATGTGACCACCAGACCTTGCACCTACCGACTATTACTTTTTCCAAAATTTAGACAACTTTTTAGTGGGTAAAAAATTCCATTCCCGAGAAGCAGTACAAAATGCATTTGAAGAGTTTGTTGCCTCCCGTCCAGCTGATTTTTACAAGAAGGGCATCAATAAACTGCCAATGCGTTGGCAAAGATGCGTCGATTGCATGGGTGATTACTTCGAATAACAGAAATAAAAAAGTTTGAAAAAATAAGTACTTTCACTTATTGCATACAAAACGGCAATTTCATAGGTAAAGATCTATTATATACGAACCTGTGGGTCTAGTAGTTAGTGACCC